ATTTTGTGAGGTGGTAGGAGAAAACCTTGGGGTGTCAAAAAAAACTCGGCATATCTGGGAAAACTTCGTAAAGGGGTCAAAACTGACCAGTTGTATTTCCCTATATAATCTTTGTATTTTATGGGAAAAACAGAGGGTCATTTCAAAGCAGACTTTAGGGTACTTAAACTCAGTATATCTGACTAATTTTTTGCATACTCTTAGGTGAATGGTTTGACCTTTAGAGAAAACTGTCGGTTTGACTCAAAGCCCTCGACGAGGGCTAAAAATTGACCGCGAGTGAAATTCTCTTTATATGAGCTCTATTACGAAAAAACAATTCCTCCGACGACCCCCCTTGAAATTTTGTGAGGTGGTAGGAGAACACCTTGGGGTGTCACAAAAAACTCGGCATATCTGGGAAAACATCGTAGGGGTCAAAACTGACCAGTTGTATTTCCCTATATAATCTTTGTATTTTATGAGAAAAACAGAGGGTCATTTCAACGCAGACTTTAGGGTACTTAAACTCAGTATATCTGGCTAATTTTTTGCATGCTCCTAGGTCGATGGCTTGACCTTTAGGGAAAACTGTCGGTTACACTCAAAGCCCTCGACGAGGGCTAAAAAGTGACCGCGAGTGAAATTCTTTTTATATGAGCTATATTACGAAAAAAAATTTCCTCCGACGACCCCCCTTGATATTTTGTGAGGTGGTAGAAGAACACCTAGGGGTGTCACAAAAAACTCGGCATATCTGGGAAAACTTCGTAAAGCGGTCAAAACTGACCAGTTGTATTTCCCTATATAATCTTTGTATTTTATGGGAAAAACAGAGGGTCATTTCAACGCAGACTTTAGGGTACTTAAACTCAGTATATCTGGCTAATTTTTTGCATGCTCCTAGGACAATGGCTTGACCTTTAGGGAAAACTGTCGGTTACACTCAAAGCCCTCGACGAGGGCTAAAAAGTGACCGCGAGTGAAATTCTCTTTATATGAGCTCTATTACGAAAAAAAATTTCCTCCGACGACCCCCCTTGATATTTTGTGAGGTGGTAGAAGAACACCTAGGGGTGTCACAAAAAACTCGGCATATCTGGGAAAACTTTGTAAAGCGGTCAAAACTGACCAGTTGTATTTCCCTATATAATCTTTGTATTTTATGGGAAAAACAGAGGGTCATTTCAACGCAGACTTTAGGGTACTTAAGCTCAGTATATCTGGCTAATTTTTTGCATACACTACTATAGATGACTAGGCCGTATGGAAAAACTGTTGGTCAGACTCAAAGCCCTCGACGAGGGCTAAAAGATGATCTTGAGTGAAATTCTCCTTATATGATATATATATATATAAATAAATTGACGAACGATCCCCTTAATATTATGTGACGTCGTAGACCGACCCTGGAGGCTAACAAAAAAACTTTATTCCCGTTGGAAACAGCCATTATAGTTGTTAAATATGTTCATATACCGTAATTTCTTATATAAGCATAGCAACTGTTTGTAAAAAAAAAAACAAAGACATACGTCATACGTGCAGTTTTCAAGGGAGGTAACGTTTTTTAAATTATTATTTTTCAAATAATTGTATACTATTTTAAACAGAAACAGAAAATTACGAAGTATAGCATTTGCTTTAGTACAAAATTAAGTTGTTAATTTTGTTACGTATCCCAATTAAATAAATAAATAAATTTCAAAAGGCAATGTAATAAAAACTATGAGATGTACTGTTCATGGAAGCTGTGTAGTTCTAATTCCATTTTACTTATACATTGCGTACTTTCCGATATTTCTCTGCGAACGGTATTTAAATGACAAACTAAAACATTTTTTTTCTAAAGTTAGCATTACTGTTTAAATTAAAGCACTCAACACCAAATCCATCGCTAAATAATTAAGTATTCAAATTCTCAAATGTTATTTAAAAACCTAAGCGAAGCTAGGCAGTATGCCTAGTATAAATATATATATAAATATATATATAAATATATATATATATATATATATATATATATATATTTATATATATATTATATAATATTAAGTTTAGGCTGTATGATAACAAGTTCAAATAATTTAACAGAGTTTGAAGGTCGTATTTAAATGAATTCGATGAATTTACAAAGTACAAAATGTTTGAAATATATTTCCAACGTTTTCAAATGTGTTTCCCCAGCTTGATTATAGAATTACGTATTTACCTTGGTGTGTGCAGCTATACAAAAAAAAACTATTACCCGTTATATTATATATTCGTGCAATTTGCATTTCAAAACCAAACGTCAAACGGGGTAAAATAAAGGCGCGGACATCTAAAATGTATATCATGTGTTGACTTAAGAGGTGGGTATGTCAGGTTACCCTAGCTATTACTGCTCTAGTTTAAACAGCGATTTGTTGAGACGAGTGGGAATCAACGAATTAGACAGCACGCAGTATACAATTAGGAAGTAGGGACTTACATGGGAACAAGAATTTGTTGACCCGAGGGGAATCAGCGAATTAGACAGCACTCAGTATACAATTAAGAGGTAGGGACTTACATGGGAACAAGAATTTGTTGACCCGAGGGGAATCAGCGAATTAGACAGCACTCAGTATACAATTAAGAGGTAGGGACTTACATGGGAACAAGAATTTGTTGACCCGAGGGGAATCAGCGAATTAGACAGCACGCAGTATACAATTAGGAGGTAGGGACTTACATGGGAACAAGAATGTAATGACAGTGTTCCTATCCTAACTTCAGAGTTATCTTGCTCTAATAATTACGTAGGAGTAAGGAAAGGAAATCATCTGTGCTCATACTTGTATGTATGTCTATATAGTAAAGATTCCTATTTAGAACCAGCGATCCATTGGGTATATGAAGTGGAGTTCATGTTTCTCTACCAGTAGTCTAACACGGAATATGATGGGACAATGAAGTCAGCACTATGCCCAGCCGCTTTTACTTTTCCTAACGTGAATTAGGTACCCATTAAAGCTGGGTGGACATGGGACGTGAAACTGACTTGAACCCGGATTCAAAATCTAGACTTTTATGTTAGCAGTTTAGCGTTCTACCGCTAGGCATCTAAGCTCCACGATGTCTCTATAGACATATTCGGTAAAAAAAATAAACACGCACTGCATTTACACTTTCACCTACTAAGTAACATTTGCTTATATACGAATATTTGTAAACATCATCATTACTAATGCAGGAGTTGGTTTGTGTTTTATTATGTTTATATACAATCTTTACGCAAGCAGTTATCAAATTTTGTTATCTTTTCTCTTTACCTCTTTCAGCCTACAATGAAACAGCCATTTACATCTTTATATGCTTTATTTCTACTTGTCAATAATGTATTTTTACACGACTTTGTTACTTATTTCCTGGTCCTTGATTTTGTCTTTTTGACAAGTTTATGTATAGCAAAATTCTAATTATTTGTCGAGGTTACAGATAGGGACGACTTCTACTTGACTTATCTCACGGGCCTCAGGAATCTTTACGTAATCACTACCAGTCGCCAGGGGCGTAGCGACCCTTCCCGTCGCCCGGGGACAAACTTTTCGATTTGCACCCCCCCCCCCCTCGAGATTTTGATTTGCACCCCCCTCAACCTTTCTATTTATTTTTCCAACCCATTTTAGCGCCCCCTAAGGTCGACGCCCGGGGACATATGTCCCCCCCCCGCCCCCCCCCCCCTCGCTACGCTACTGCCAGTCGCTTCTGATGGGTTATACGCTGTCAGCCAACGATCCACAGAGTCCATTGTTCCGTGCCACCTTCTGAACTTGTTCCTGGTGTAGCCAATCTTTTAGTTTCAGCCTCTAGGAAGAGGCGTCGCGAGGCGGGGGGGGGGGGGGGGGCTGCGGTCCGCACCGGGTGACACCATTTGTGGGGTGACACCAAGACAAAAACCTGTAAGATATATAGAATAAATATGTTGTTTTTTTGCCAGTTCAATGAATGGTTAATTAGAGTTAAAAAGTATTTACGTATATATTGAAGATCACAACAATGGAGGGTGGGGGTGACACCAAGACGTAACCTGCTAAATATAGAGAAAACAATGCTACACCCAGCTGTATTAACAACCGACTGTAGATAAACATCGTTAGCCTCATCTCCATGGGACTTCCTCTGAGTTTTAATTTGTAGGTGCCAGTACAGATTTTCCTTGGTGATTTTACTCAAGGGAGACAAATGCAATAGTATTATAAATCATTACATTTAACATAGTTACCTCTCTTAGTCAGAAAATCTACAGTATTTTCTATCCCAGTTCATATAATTTAAAAAGTGGTCTAGACCCGGGCCCCTATACACCCCACTCAAAGAAAAGTTGTGTTTGAAGCGGCACATAGTCTAGTTTGTCTGGGACGTGTGTCTTGTGGTTTGATTCCTCAGATATAAATAATATTAAGAAAGACAGAAACAAGACACCGCGGACACGTAGCAATGGGGGAACATCATATATTTAAAATAACACGATTCCTCTAATTCCATATCCTTAACAAATGTTGTTTTTTTTTTTGCTCTGAAATAAATGTTTATGTTAAAAATTAAGTAAAAATTACCTTTTAGAAATTACGAACAGTCTATGTTGTTTAACTGCCTAGTTGTAATTGCTCACATCTGATCATATCCTCTACACCTAAAGGTAACGTCTGGAAGAAACACTGATTTGTTAAGTGGTGCGCGTATAGCTACAGAAACAATTACATGTCCAATTGATTACCCGTCAATTTGAATGTAAAATTATATTTACCAACACAATCACGTTAATATGTACAATTTATGTATAATTATATGTCCAACTAACTATGCAATTAGAGTCTACATCTAAAAGTAATGTACAATTCCATGTAGACTTTCATGCTCATGCATGCTAGAGCTCAGACTACGGTATAATTATATTTTTACCAAGAGTGTGCATTTTGTCGCGTTTTTTTATATAAAAAAGATTCGGGATTTCCCAATTCTTTTTCTTGTTCACACTGCTCCTAAACGGAAGATCGTTCCTTGGGGTTGCCTTAACAATCAACAATTCTGCCTACGACTTTGTTGAAATGGGACATCCTTAACAAATACACATGGATTACATCATATTGTGTCTGCTGATAGCAGCCATACTCCCCACGTGTAAAGCCGGTGGGTTATATAACATTTATCCAAAGCAATTTCTTTCCTTGTTTTCAGGTTTGACAAAGTTTAGCTCTGTGTGTTTAACGTTTAGAAAAGAGCGGAAGTTGATCTTTCAACGTCACTCATTAGTGTAATAGTCTACAGAAATAAAGATCTAGATCTAGAATCTAGATCTAGATCTAGATCTATCTTGATTGTTTAAAAAATTGTTTAAAACAATAGTCTTGAATACGAATGCTCTTACCGATACAAAAAGTGTAATTGTTCTATTAGATGTAATACTTATTGATAGATCTAGTAATTAATAGTCATTAGTAAGAAAAAAAATATAGACAAACACATGTATACTTAAAGAAAGATAATGGGTCATGATACGGAAATAAATTGCAATAAGATTACTAGCAAACAGAGGCGTAGCTACCCCAGCTCGGCGCCCGGGGCGAAATTTTAATTTGCGTCCTACCCCCACCCCCTTCCCCGCCAGGATAACCTTGCCAATACTAACACCTTTGTTTGTATCCAAAATATCGCCAAATATGGGCTACTACTGTCTGTGATAAAGGGATGGGGTGGTCGAGTGGTAGAGTGTTTGACTGCTAACATATCGCCAAATATGGGCTACTACTGTCTGTGATAAAGGGATGGGGTGGTCGAGTGGTAGAGTGTTTGACTGCTAACATGAAAGTCTCTAGTTCGGATCACGGGCTCGTGTCAATAGTGCGGCTTTGATTCCATCCAGCTCACATATGTACCTGACTTATGTTAGTGTAAACGGGAAAATAAAGGCGGCCGACCACAATATCGCTTCATAGGAAACAAGTTGGAGGTAAGGTACGCACCCGATGTTCAGGTGTTAACAGAGGTCACGGTTCTCGTGAACGTCGAGGTTGCTATCTACAAGCTTAGAACAAAACATGGCCTTTTCAAATCACTGTATGCTAGAAGTGAGTTTTATTCATTTCTGCGAGAACAACTGCTCACAGTGCAGTACATGGGCACTAAGGAAAGGTCACTACGAACTAATCACTGACCAACGATGAAAGCTCTCTGACTGATCAAGCATAAACAACCAAAAGTGCAATGCGGTTTTACAGAAGGTGCAATAACTAATCATATGATGGTGATTACAAGCAAGACGTTCAGGTTAACGACAAAGCCTACGATGGCGGCGACGACAACGACGACGATAAAGATAACAATAACGATAAAGATGATAACTGAAACACGGAAACTGGAACATTGATCGTAATGGCACTAACTCTTATGACGCTGGTACTGACACTTATGACACTCACTGACACTTATGACGCTGGTACTGACACTTATGACACTGGTACTGACACTAATGACACTGGTACTGACACTAATGACACTCGTTTTGTGACTGGTACTAACACTTTTGACACTAGCACTGACACTTATGACTGACACTTATGACACTAGTACTGACACTTTTGACACTGGTACTCACACTAATAACACTAGCGTTGACACTTTTGACTGACACTTATGACAGTGGTACTGACACTTATGGCACTGGTACTGACACTTATGACACTGGTACTGACACTTATGACACTAGCATTGACACTGGTTCTGACACTTATGACACTGGTACTGACACTTATGACACTAGCATTGACACTGGTACTGACACTTATGGCACTGGTACTGACACTTATGACACTAGTATTGACACTGGTTCTGACACTTATGACACTGGTACTGACACTTATGACATTATTTGGACACTGGTACTGACACTTATGAAACTAGCATTGACACTGGTACTGACACTTATGACACTGGTACTGACACTTATGACATTATTTAGACACTGATACTGACACTTATGACACTAGCATTGACACTGGTACTGACATTTATGACACTGGTACTGACATTTATGACACTGGTATTGACACTGGTACTGACTTATTACACTAACACTAACATTTATGACGCTGGTACTGACACTTATGACGCTGGTTCTGACACTAATGACACTGGTACTGACTCGATTGACAATAGCACTGACAATAGCACTGACAATTATGACTGACACTCATTTCACTGGTACTGACACTTATGGTACTAGCACTGACACTTATGACACTGGTTCTGACACGTATGACACTAGCATTGACACTGGTACTGACATTTATGACACTGGTACTGACACTTATGACACTGGTACTGACACACTAGCACTGTCACTTATGACTGACACTTATGACACTGGAACTGACACTTATGTCACTGGTACTGACACTTATGACACTAACACTGACATTTATGACGCTGGTACTGACACTTATGACGTTGGTACTGACACTTATGACGTTGGTACTGACACTTATGACACTGGTACTGACACTTATGACACTGGTACTGACACACTAGCACTGTCACTTATGACTGACACTTATGACACTGGAACTGACACTTATGTCACTGGTACTGACACTTATGACACTAACACTGACATTTATGACGCTGGTACTGACACTTATGACGTTGGTACTGACACTTATGACGTTGGTACTGACACTTATGACGTTGGTACTGACACTTATGACGCTGGTACTGACACTTATGACGCTGGTACTGACACTTATGACGCTGGTACTGACACTTATGACGTTGGTACTGACACTTATGACGCTGTTTCTGACACTGATTACATGAGCACTGACATTGAGTTTAACGTCTACTTCTGCTTTAACCTTAACCATAACCTAAAAAAGAATTAGCCATTTGAATAACTTCACAGACTGCCCTGGTGGATATTTCGGCGTTGGATGCACACAGACCTGCAAATGTCTTTACGAATTCGAATGTCTAGCAGACGGCACATGTCCCGATCGATTCAAGAATGGTAATTTTGTAATGATAGTTTGAGATTGTTTAGCTTCTGGTCTATGTGTGTGTGTGTGTGTGTGCGTCCGTGTTTGTGTGTGTGTGTGTGCGTGCTAGTGTGTGTGTGCTGTTATAATTTTTTAGTATTACTAGCTATCGTTAACTATTTCTATACAAAAAAAAAATTGTGTGTATGGTTGTGTAGCGTGTGTGGGAGGTTCAGTGAGTCTGTGTGTTTGTCCTTTATGCATTACTACACTTTTCATCCAATACATATCAAACTTTTGAAAGCTGTTGAGAACACTGGCGTGAAGTTTTTTGCGATAAACATATTTAAATGCGGCGGCGTCTCAGCAGTTAGGTGCGGTTTGGTGCCAGCATTACACAGCAGCAATCTTAGCAATCTGCTGCTTGTTAGCACCATGGGGTCAAACGCTCCATTTGATTCTCTGGTCAATGGCGGGCGTATGCCCCGGTGAGAACCGGAAACTTACGACATGTTGTTTTTTTTTTAAATTGCGCCCTATGGATAACTGTTGGCTGCTATAAGCGTTGACTTATTCGAACCAGACGAGTAGTCGTTTGACCTTGATAGCCCCTTATCCCCCATGAGCGCTATTGCGCTTACATTCAGTTAAACAGCGCCCAAAGAGCTACTAAAATCGATGACTAAATCGAACAATGTGCGTCCTTCGGGATTGCAGCGGTCCTATGATATTCTGCCTCTACAATCGATGACGTAACCGAACCAGGGGCCGCTCCCTAGAGAGCCTCTGACACCTACAAAGTAGTGCTCTATTTCACTGTTACGTAAAAGGATTAACGTACACTTAGTACATTCATACATCACTCCCTAGATAGACAGAATTGTACTGTGGGAAAACCCGCTCCTTAACTACTATGATCGAAGAAATATATGCCGGCTTTGTTTATATTAAAATAACTCTTGTTTAAAAACCGTGTCGCCGGTCTAAAAATAGATGATAATAATATGAAATGCTTCGCCACTCTGGTGCGTAGAACTAGCGCGCAGCAACGCGCGACGGTATACTAGCAGTTTAATAAAATATTAGAGAAGCCTATCACGAAGGGAATTCTATCTAAATTCTTTTATTTTAAATAAAGGCGCTCAGTTCTATTTCTTTGTGGAGAGTCAGACTTCACACGGAGTAACCTTTGATGCTTACCTCGTGTCACCCGTTGAAGGGCAAGTTACGGTAAGTTCAATACGTGCAGTAACTCGTGCGCTAGAATTGTGTGTTGTCCTTTTTTTACAAATGTAATACATTTAATGCATCACTCGCTCGAGACTGTTTGATTTGCTTGTCTTGTCTTTATATTTGAAGTAATAGCTTCTTCTGCAGTGTTTGCTTAGAGTAATCCAATATCAGAGGCGTAGCGACCCTTCCCGGCGCCCGGGGACAAACTTTTCGATTTGCACCCTCCCCCTCGAGATTTCGATTAGCCCCCCCCCCCCTTCTCAAACTTTCCATTTGCACCCCCCCCCCCTCAAACTTTCGATTTGCACCCCCCTCAACCTTTCAATTTATTTTTCCAACCCATTTTGGCGCCCCCCGCCCCCCCTCGCTACGCTACTGTCCAATATCAAAGATTACTTTTTTAAAAATAGTTTTACGTTTCGTGGCATCAATAGCATTTCACTAAGAAGAAAATAACATTTGAAATGGGCGGTCTGCTGAATATATTTTGGCGATCTACTAGTGACTTTATTTTAGCGATCTACGGATGGCAATATTAGGGCGATCTATGGATGGTAATATTAGAGCGATCTACTAGTGACTAAATTTGCTTTCTTTTAATTAAAGCTCTAACCCAGTGGTTCCCAACCTTTTTCGAGTAACGACCCCCTTTTATAAAAAGTAAGTGACCCGCGACCCCCATAGAATTAAAAAGCCGAAATTAGTATGGAAATTAATAAGCACTAAAATAAGATTTTCTAGTAGACTTTCAATATGAACTACTCTTGATAACTGTTTTAATAGCATGAGTAAAATTGCATACTATTCACTAAACCTTCGTGGTTAAGTTTTTAATTTTAAAATTTTTTTGTTAACGCCAACCTATGTCATTATAATTATCTTAATTTTGTTTTTAATAGAAGAATAGTGTTGAAAATATATTCTCGAAAAGTCAATCAATTTTACGTTTGGGTATGAATGGTGAATACCTACTACACCAAAATTGTGCCTGCAGTTTTTCATCTTACTCGAAATCATTCTGCAAATCAAAGAATTCATCTTGTCCGTCAATGCAGATTCTTCTTTTTTCAGCTCAGAGAAATAGCGATGCAGTTCGTTTTCAAGAGATTCAAGATGCCGAGAAATCGCTTCTTTCAAAAGTTTAATTATCTCACAATCAGATTCATCTACCACACAGCAGAGTTTCTCAAATTTACAATATTTCCACGATTTGGTTTCTTTACCGATTTTGCAGCTGTGATAAAAATGCCCCGAGATTATCATGGAAAGTTATAATATTCGTTCATTTTCCTTGAGGCTTAAGGTTAAGCTTATGTTGATGTTCGAACACATCTGCTAGGTATGATACTCTCTCCAACCAAAAAGTCTTCTTTCCTTTGCACTCCCCAATAACAATTTGATTTCAGATTTCAATTCAAAAACACAATTTACAACATTTCGTTTGACAACCAGCGTACTGTAGTGTAGAAGAGCAGAACCTCGTGATCTATATTAACGTTTTTGCTCAGTTATTTGAAGGCTCCAGATTTTATATAATTTACGACTTATACTAGCAATGGACTCTTGATGTCGATTGGATAGGGCAGTGGTTAGGGAGCTAAATCTTTTCTGTTTTCTGAAAGCCCGATTTTGAGCTAAACATAGATGGCGCACCATCCGTACGAACCCCCACAGCCGTTCTAACACATTTTAATCATCCAGTTTTTAAAAAAGGTATTTATTTTCTCCATGCTATCTTCACAAAATAGCAACTCTTTTATCTTTGCTATCATCCGCATGAATATAGACACAGACCAGCAACTGCGAACACAAACTCACGTATGTTGATTTATCAACTTGAAAAGCAAACAATGGTGAAATCTTAATTTCAATAAAAATGTGTTATTTAACATTTACGTACATGCAGCGTTTGATGAGATTTTCTCCTATTTTTTTTTTTTTTTTTTTTTTTGCTTGGCATTTTCTATCGCGACTTTATTTGATGCTTGCACTAATGCTGGTGAAAACTTCCTGTTCGATCAAGTTTCTGGCGTTTGCAACTAGCTTCTTACCGACGAAAGAACTCCATATATTTTTTGGTGTGTTCCGAATGACTCGTCTCAAATGGCGTTTTAGTTTTGAGGATTTCATAGATTCGTGACTGAGAACAACTTTGTACAGTGCGCTTTGTTTCTTCTCTATTACATTTCCAGTGATGTTAATGAAGTCGAATTTCAAAAATTCTTCTAAATATTTATATTTTGTTTCAAATTACTAAAGTTTAGTATACCAGTTGGCGACCCCCCAGAAAGACCTTCGCGACCCCCAGGGGGGTCGGGACCCCCAGATTGGGAACCCGTGCTCTAACCGCTCTTAAGACGTTTCATATATTTAGCGAAAAGTCTAAACATCGTAAAACTTAATTTAAAAAATAAATAAATAAAAACGGATTGTCCATTCATTGCTACCAGAGTTTCTTTCATGCATCTCTTCGTGTAGAATCGCCCCCACCCCCTCAAAGCACGTGTCTACACCCCCCCCCCCCCCCAGCCTACCAACGAAATAGAATTTACATAGGAAAAAATGAAAATGTATAAATTTATCAGTATGCATCCTCCCCTCACCCCTCCACAAAAATCAATCCGTCCCCTCTCGTGAAAGTTTCAAGTACCCCACTGAGAAAAGGTCTGAAAGAAACACTCACTGTTACTCATCCTCGCAAAAAACAAAAATGACAAATTCACCCGCCTCCTTTATGTTTGTTAGAGTTTTCAAAACAAAAAATTGATATTACAATTCAATTAACTTTTAATATACATCACATTAAAACATTATTAAATATAAAAGTGTGACGTCACGCTCTTTCACCCCCCCCCCCACTACCCTAAGTTCACACATTTTAAAAGTTCTGAACTTTAATTCGTTCCAATAAGTTGAATAAAAGAGTTGGTTAAAAATATAACTCACATTTCAGACATTGAATTTTCCAGACATCCTTTGAAATTAAACCTTTTGATATATTAAACTTCAGTGATCATGCAGTGTTTCTTACTATATGCAGGGCACCCATAACTACTCCACAAACTACATTTTATCATTATTGGCTGCTTATAATATTTATACAATTATTTTTTTCTTAAATCCCAAATTCTTTCTTCTTCTTCTTCGTTCTTAATTATTAGTGTTGAAGGGGATCGAGATTTATCTGGCAGTGGGTTTGAACTCGAGACTTTGTTCGAATTTATCAACCATGAGCTTTTTGCCGACTCGACCACGCCTCCAACACGATTAAGCGTTACGTGTCAACTGGTTATGCGCCATTGAGGCCATTGACTCCGATTTCAGCCTGCTTTTCTTTTTGGATTTGCTTCCATAGCTTTTGTCCAACCAAGAACAAACTACAAGGCAGCAGAAGAGTGGCTATCCCCAGCTAACGAGCCTCATCTGCCCGAGGGTTCGAACTCGAGACTTTACGGTTTAGCAAACATGAGATTTACCGACTCGACCACGCCAAATTGATTTAGGCTCAAAAAAATGACCTTCTATTTTTCTTTAAACTTTAATTACACATTTGCATTTCTATTTTTAAAAATAAAATTGTTATGAGACGTTGTATATTATATATGAGTAAACCATCTTAAATGAATAAAAGTACACGTCAGAAAGAAGTATAACTACTGCAAATCATTATCAGTCCTCACAAGCTGAGGATTAAAACTGTAATACTAAAGCGAACAAGGCAAGGCAAACATACGCTATAAATTACATGCGAAAAAAAAATTGTTAAAAACCGATAATCTGTGTCTGGTGTTTTAACAGCTAAAGACCTACAAAGATCAGCAGCTTGATGCCACCAGGAGTGTCAGACTACAGCGGCAGGTTACCAAACAAGAGGCACTGCGCAGGTAAAAAAATGTTGTCGTGTACTTACAGTTGCAGTTGTTGTTGTCGTTTACTTACAGTTGCAGTTGTTGTTGTCGTTTACTTACAGTTGCAGTTGTTGTTGTCGTGTACTTAAACTTGCAGCTGTTGTTGTCGTTTACTTACACTTGTATTTGTTGTTGTTGTGTACTTACAGTTGCAGTTGTTGATGTCGTTTACTTACACTTGTAGTTGTTGTTGTCGTGAACTTACAGTTGCAGTTGTTGTTGTCGTTTACTTACACTTGTATTTGTTGTTGTTGTGTACTTACAGTTGCAGTTGTTGTTGTCGTTTACTTACACTTGTAGTTGTTGTTGTCGTGAACTTACAGTTGCAGTTGTTGTTGTCGTGTACTTACACTTGCAGATGTTGTCATGTATTTACACTTGCAGTTGTTGTTGTCGTTTACTTACACTTGCAGTTGTTGTTGTCGTGTTCTTACTTGCAGTTGTTGTTGTTGTGTACTTAAACTTGCAGCTGTTGTTGTCGTTTACTTACACTTGTAGTTGTTGTTGTCGTGTACTTACTTGTAGTTGTTGTTGTCGTGTATTTACACTTGCAGTAGTTGTTGTGTATTTACACTTGCAGTAGTTGACGTGTTCTTACAGTTGCAGTTGTTGTTATCGTGTACTTACAGTTGCAGTTGTTGTTGTCGTATACTTACAGTTGCAGTTGTTTTGTACTTACAGATGCAGTTGTTGTTGTCGTGTATTTACACTTGCAGTAGTTGCTGTCGTTTACTTAAACTTGCAGTTGTTGTTGTCGTTTATTTACACTTGCAGTAGTTGTCGTGTACTTACAGTTGCAGTTGTTGTTGTCGTGTATTTACAGTTGCAGTTGTTTTGTACTTATAGATGCAGTTGTTGTTGTCGTGTATTTACACTTGCAGTAATTGGTGTCGTTTACTTAAACTTGCAGTTGTTGTTGTCGTGTATTTACACTTGCAGTAGTTGTCGTGTGCTTACAGTTGCAGTAGGGCTTGTACTTGGTCACCAACTTCTCGCTCTCTTACTTGCCAGCTAATATGTTGCAAACCAGATAGTAATATATTTTTATTAAATCGTTAAAAATGAGTAAATAGAAAAGTTAGTTCCGTTATAAAAATGTTATTAAAAACCGTAAACAATTGTAAAAATTGACAAAAACATTAAATCTAGCTGAAAATATAAGCTACGCTAAACTGTGATTTTCTTTTTAGAGAAACGTTCATGTTATTATTTATTAGAATCCGTAACAAGTTATCTTAGATGCAATTGTAATATTAATTTAATATTAATAACTTAGGGCTTAAAGTATTTAATTTGATTCTATTATTAGTAAAATTGTTGTATTTTGAGTATTCTTTGTATTTTAAAATCTTGAAGGGAGGCCTAGAAAAAAAAAGCCGCCATGTTTCTGTTATCAATGGGAATCATGTTAACAACAAGTAATTTAACTCGAAATTTATATCTTTCTCTGGCTAGCGAGATATCGAATTACGGTAGAGAACGAACTTACAAGTCGTAATGCTTTTAGAATATATCTATGTATTGTAGTTTATATTATTTTAGAAATTATAAACATTAAGAAAAGTAAAGAAAGACCTAGTAATATAGGGCAGAAGTAGAGTTCATTTGTTTATTGGTCTAAAGTCTAAGCTTATGACAAGGCGATTGCTAGTATTTAGTGATATAGTTTTTTTTTTTTTATAATTACATTATCAATCTAGCAAAAGCCTTTAGTTAGATCAACAATTGAATATTCTTGCATTGTCATTCATAACCTCCCACTGTTCCAAATTTCAGCCACTTGAGCAGTGGGGTGTGTTAAATCAATATTCCAAAATTAGCAAAACAACACATTCTTAGTGAACGTTATACAAGCCTTGAAATAGTTTAGTAAAAGTAAAGTTATCTAAAAGGAAAACTCTTCACCCGTTAATGTCTTTTAATTTTATGAACACGGTGACGTATTATGTATGAACTCCTATGGACAAATTTGTACGTGTTTATAATTTGCTACTATGTAATGATAACGTGCTCTATATGTTGATTTTCAGAGGAAATGAGTTCGCGAATGGGTATGTCTATCACTTTAGTGCTACTGAAATCGAGTTCCTGGTCAAGGTTTTCTTAACAGACAAACGTAATGTGATTCAGCTACTGCGTCTGTTTGAAGTCAAAACCTGGAACCGGCACTACCACATTTTGGTCACTCGGTAAGTTGCGCCTCTGGTGTTGGGGTACGTCATCACGAAACGCCCCCACTTCTTGTGGCTACTTTCTTCTTCTTCTTCGTTCTATATTTAGTATTGGAAGTGATCCCCGGTCGAATTAGATGTTTAAAAACAGAATTCGAGGATCACAGACTTTGAAGAACAGGGCCTATTTTTGTGATTGAGTCCCCTGAGGGTTTAAGTTGCCTTGCGCTAAGAGCAATAAGGTTAAACCAAAATTCTATGTTGACGGAAATTACGAAATATTGTTTTAGTGTTATGCTTGCTTTTGTTTATTTGGATGTATTGGTTTTATAATTTAACGAGGATCCATTGCAGATTTTGTTGTATGCGAAGTGTACGGTAATACTTTTTAAATTATCATCATAAAATTACTTTATACACACATAAAAAAAAAACTTTGTACATATACCCCATTTTAATACTTAAGAAAAATTTCATAAAAATAATATCATAAAATTCCAAAATTACACACATATCGTAAAGTGATAAAATATCTCAATTCAACGCTTTATACAACTGTGTACACTTAGTAAATATGTATCCCTTAATATTAGCTTTCTTTGTTATCCTTGTGCCAGCGGCCACCGAGGGGCATTGGTTATGAGCGTAACGAGTTCAAACGTTACATACAGCCCATCATTGAGATTCAACGATGTGATTGAGCTGCCTGGGTAATATGAAACGTTAATTTTTCTTTTCTATGATACGTGCTGTGTTCTCGGCTGTTAGCAACCCGACTATCCTACTTCCATCTTAAGACTTCCTCTACCGTACACGTGTAGCTGTTGTGAATATTTTAAATCAAATTGTTTGCTTAATGTGGCACAAATCTATTAACTAGCAAAATAAATATTTCTTTTCTCTGTGTACATTGATGTATTAAAAATAAAATTAAATGTGGTGTTCTTTCTAGCCTGAAGCCCCACCGTATAACATTTCAGTGGACCCATTTAAGTGCATTGAGAGGTAAGAAACAAAGAGCTTCGAGGCCATGCAGATAATAACAATGACTAAAGAGCTCGAGAAAGAATAGCCTTAATCTTAATCCAAGCAGTAACATATAAATATAAGGGAATACATTGATAAAGACGTAACCAGTACAGTATTTATAAAAATAAATAACAATTCTTAAACGCGCTACAAAGAAATTTATTTTTTTATAAATTTAACTTGCATTGTTTCGATTTACGTTTGTACAGTTCATTTTCTCGAATAACGACTGTATTAGTAGTTACAGATCTTGGTATAGTGATATATGCCTGCTCTAATTATTTTTTTCTAATTTTCTGCCTCTAGGAGGCTGCATCATGTCATCAAGCCCCTTGAGTGTAATTATGCTTGGGAGTAATAGCACAATGGTTAAAAACTTCGTTGCAAGTGGTATGATTTCAATTATTTTTTGACTTCGTGTTAAAAATATATGTGTCTGCCTCTCTTCTTCTTCTTAGTTAATTGTAATGATGGGGGGGGGGGGGCGGTCCAATCCAGAGTTCCACATGTTTTTCCTTTTGAATTTGCTTACGTAATCTTTATCCAACTAAGAACAAACTACAAGGCAGCAGTTTTATATCCTAGATGGGTTGCTGTCCCCAGCTATCGAGCCTCATCTACCCGAGGGTTAGAACCTAGGGACTTTTAGGTTTGGCAGACATGTGCTTTAGTGGCCCTACCACACTGACCCACCTAACAGTTGTAGATAAACTTTTTTTTTTAAATAGATAAATATAATAACGCTTAAACAGTAAGTTCTTCGATTTGAGCAGAACTAACTCCCGCTAGTTCTATAGTTTGAAAAAAAGGGAAGCAGACTTTCGATCCTGTTGGGGCAGGTGAAGTAGAGTTTGTCTGTTTTATTATCTTGACTAACGAAGAGATTGTCTGGTCAGCACAAGATCCCGCCGCCTTACTATCCCCAACATGACAATTTTCGGGGGGGGGGGGCGGACACTGTCAAAAGTATATATTTTCTATATAAATTCCATTTCGTTCGGGGGATGGTAGACTTTCTTCGGGGGGGGGGGGGATGGCAGTGCCCCCCCCCCCCCGAAGAGGGGCCTGGAAGAAACACTGTGTTGAAGCTAAATCTGAACGGGCTATTTGTTCGTTTTTTTTATTTTAAATGGGATTGAATATTTTTCTTTCTATAGAAACGATGATGCCAGTCAATATGTTCGGGTTTTCCTGGTTTCCGTTCTATAGCGAAGGAACATTCGAAAGCATGTTTTATTACGTGCTTCCGGGATTCTCCGAAACTTTCTTCACATTGAGAGCCAATTCACTTTCTGTTAAGAGAGCAAGATACACCAGCCGCCAGGCTTACTATGAAAGGGTAAGCGTATCGTTTACCTTGTTTAAGATTCCAATAGGCTCTCTATAAAAAGGTAAGCGTATCGTTAACCTTGTTTAAGGTAAGCGTATCGTTAACCTTGTTTAAGATTCCAATAGGCTCTCTATGAAAAGGTAAGCGTATCGTTAACCTTGTTTAAGATTCCAATAGGCTCTCTGTGAAAAGGTAAGCGTATCGTTTATCTTGTTTAAGATTCCAATAGGCTCTCTATGAAAAGGTAAGCGCATCGTTAACCTTGTTTAAGATTCCAATAGGCTCTCTATGAAAAGGTAAGCGTATCGTTAACCTTGTTTAAGATTCCAATAGGCTCTCTATGAAAAGGTAAGCGCATCGTTAACCTTGTTTAAGATTCCAATAGGCTCTCTATGAAAAGGTAAGCGTATCGTTAACCTTGTTTAAGATTCCAATAGGCTTTCTATGAAAAGGTAAGCGTATCGTTTATCTTGTTTAAGATTCCAATAGGCTCTCTATGAAAAGGTAAGCGCATCGTTAACCTTGTTTAAGATTCCAATAGGCTCTCTATGAAAAGGTAAGCGTATCGTTAACCTTGTTTAAGATTCCAATAGGCTTTCTATGAAAAGGTAAGCGTATCGTTTATCTTGTTTAAGATTCCAATAGGCTCTCTATGAAAAGGTAAGCGCATCGTTAACCTTGTTTAAGATTCCAATAGGCTCTCTATGAAAAGGTAAGCGTATCGTTTACCTTGTTTAAGATTCCAATAGGCTCTCTATGAAAAGGTAAGCATATCGTTTACCTTGTTTAAGATTCCAATAGGCTCTCTATGAAAAGGTAAGCGTATCGTTAACCTTGTTTAAGATTCCAATAGGCTTTCTATGAAAAGGTAAGCGCATCGTTAACCTTGTTTAAGATTCCAATAGGCTCTCTATAAAAAGGTAAGCGCATCGTTAACCTTGTTTAAGATTCCAATAGGCTCTCTATGAAAAGGTAAGCGTATCGTTTACCTTGTTTAAGATTCCAATAGGCTCTCTATAAAAAGGTAAGCGCATCGTTTACCTTGTTTAAGATTCCAATAGGCAGAGCCCATTAACATTATATTGCTCTTGTGTACAGAAACTGAAGGAGCTACCTCAACATAAGTGTATATCGAGGTGGGAAAAAATAATGGTAGTTGTGTGTTTAATAACAGCGTACCCGTCATGCGTTGCTGCAATATGGTCCTGTAATAAACATTGTATAAGGGTTTCATCAAATTGTAACCGATTGTCTATATTTCTAATTGTCCTAATTGTTGGTGTACGGGTTTTTTCACCGCCGAGACGTATCAGGCGTGCTGAGGGAACAATTAGTATAAGTCAATCACCATCCGTAAAAGTAAGATAAAACACCCCTGGACGACCGCCCTTGTATCAAGGGTGTGGGGGTGCGTTCTCGGGAGCCACCGGTTACACTACCAAAAAGCGCAGGGTGCGACCCTTGGTTCGGCATAGTCATCAAACGTATCGGTCAAACCTGCCGTTAGAATAAGATGCTTTTTAAAACGAATTTAGGTTAAATAGTGCTCAAAGGGAATTTCTGGCCACTCACATTCACACGATTTATTTATAGATTTTAGTAGCCCACCGTATTTTAGTGAAGGGCGCTCTTTAAAACGAAAGTAGGCGCCATAGAACTCACGTGTGAGACAGCGGCAAACTAGGTCATAATACAGCCGGGCAGCGGGCGCACGCTTGATTGGATTTAGTCAACGATTAGTGTAGCTATTGTGTACATAGTGTATATTACTATTAAAACTATCAACGGCGTGATAGCGCTCATAGTGAAGACTGGGCGCCCTGAAGCCTAAAAACGAAATGGAGATAGTGAATGCGCCTGTTGCAGTTCGACCATTGCTCGAAGTAGTACCACTAACCAGCTGTGAAGGATGCCCACTCTATGGGTCTCAGATATTAAGGTAACCTCTAGAGAACTTTAGGCGCTACTGTCGGAGCAACGCCCCTACGAAGTTTATCCCAGAAACATACCTTTTCAGGAATTTCTCAGTAAATTCCAAAATAGCGATTTGATGAACGGTGTAGCATTTCACCAGACTCCAACAAAAAGACACCTATACATATATATTCGTATATATAAGTATATGAAGTGAGGAAAAATGCCTTTTGTGCACCTGGCAGTCCACGAGGCAGACGAAGTAGAGTTTATCTATTTCAGTGACTTTTGCCTTAATTCAGCTGAATACAGCGCTGTGGACTCGGACGTATGAAGGATTAAAGCCCGTGTTCTGAACTCGAGATTTTCGAGTTGGCAGCCACCTCACCACGCCATCCCACTCTTCGAGTTGGCAGCCACCTCACCACGCCATCCCACTCTTCGAGTTGGCAACCACCTCACCACGCCATCCCACTCTTCGAGTTTGCAACCACCTCACTACCCCATCCCACTCTTCGAGTTAACAACCACCACACCAGTCACCACATCCCACTCTTTGAGTTGGCAACCACCTCACCACGCCATCCCACTCTTCGAGTTTGCAACCACCTCACTACCCCATCCCACTCTTCGAGTTAACAACCACCACACCAGTCACCACATCCCACTCTTTGAGTTGGCAACCACCTCACTACCCCATCCCACTCTTCGAGTTGGCAACCACCTCACTACCCCATCCCACTCTTCGAGTTAACAACCACCACACCAGTCACGACATCCCACTCTTTGAGTTGGCAACAACCTCACTACCCCATCCCACTCTTCGAGTTGACAACCACCTCACTACCCCATCCCACTCTTCGAGTTGGCAACCACCTCACCACGCCATCCCACTCTTCGAGTTGGCAACCACCTCACTACCCCATCCCACTCTTCGAGTTAACAACCACCACACCAGTCACCCCATCCCACTCTTTGAGTTGGCAACCACCTCACCACGCCATCCCAGTATTGAAAAAATCATTCAATCATATAAGCCAAGTTAATTTCTATATTTGCGCCTAACGTATACGTAAAAGTTATGTTCTTTTGTAAGTAAACAATCAGAACAAAGCTAACAGAGTCATGAATGTTATTGTATTCTTCAGGTGACGTATGACAAAGCGTTAACTTCGGTGCATGCGAGTCCCAACCCTGGTATGGTATCCCTATTGTTCGGCCCGAACGAAAACGTTGTCACACTCTCTTGTGCCAAATTTCTCCATTACAGATACCATTTCGTGTATGTGTTTTTTTTTTTTAAATATAAATTTACATTTATTGACATGTCGTTATGTTTATATTTCTTGCAAAATATAAATAATTCTATTTATTTCTATACAAAAAAAATTTACTATGCGTAGTAACAATATTATTTGTTTTAAATAGTAATATAGAATAGTGTAGTAATAATACATTTTGTACTTTTATACAGTTTAACCAGACATGAACATAAATTGTATTTATAGTAATGTATAGTAATTAAAAGGAGAAAATAAAAAGGCATAAGCACTGCCAACAGTGTATTGCACTTTGGTTTTTAAATTTAAATATTCTTATATAAACATATCACCATATGGACCTCTTATAATCAATCATCATTATCACCAAAACAAACAAGTGTTTATTTATTATTAAATGTATCGATATTTTAATAGATTTGGCAATGTTTTAATACATTTTAAGCCAAATTTTAAGGTTTGAACAAATTGGTAATTTGCATTTTGAACCGTTTCAGCGTTCCGGTCGTAGATATTCCCAATTTTGAACAAATGATGATGATTATGTCCGAGGATTTAGAGAACTTTCGTATCAACAATTACACCTTGACGTAAGTAAATCATATTAACATAGTAACTGTTACTGATGGCGGTATTAGTGAACTCTGATTGTAAAGCACCGAGAAAAATCGTGGCGCACATATTCTAATCGACTTTCGACGCATCCACTTAATCAGTGGCGTACACACACAGTGTGTGTAGGGGAGGAAGGCCCCACCCCATTACAAGTTGTCTCACATTAAGCTACGTCAGCACGCGGCGATGGGGACCCGGTTTATATATTTTTTTAAGTCAATTTCTTTATCACGTACTGTCTAACTTTAATCTTGAATCGTGACATTGAGTGTTTGTAAGTATACACTAGTTACATACGTTATATATATATATATATATATATATATATATATATATATATATATATATATATACATTACTTCCAACGATCAATACCCACCTACACCACTATAAAAATTCTGTACCAGTCACCGCCTTCAATTAGCTAATTTATAGCTATGAGATAATCATTACCGAGGTAAAGTAAACCATTGAGTTCAATTATTTTTCATCTGCAGTCGCTTTGCAATGAGAGGTACCGTCTCGGCTACTTTAAAATATGCTGCCTTTGTTATCAACCCCACCGATAACTTCATCATTTCGCGTAGTGGACGAGTCTTCGGTTGTTATCTGTATGGAAGAATCAGGAATGTTCTAAGCTTTGGGTACATCCATGGCGTGCCGGAACCGTATGATTTCAAAGATGCTACAGCTCAGCCAATGACCACCGTCCGGCCAATTAAAGGTAAAACAAATTATGTCCCTTCACGTTGTTTTTTTATTGTGTTAGTTTATTTTATTCAGTAAAACTCGAGATATATAAGGTAATTACGTTTATCATTACTTAATAGATATATAGGTTAATTTTTCTGAATATATCAAAATAGATATATAGGTTAATTATTCTTAATATCTCAAAATAGATATACAGATTAATTATTTTTAATATCTCAAAATAAATGTATTTATTTTTTATACATTTTCTTAAAAAAATGCTTAATAAGTAGGTTATAAATAATATTTTATATTCCTCCCACTAAGAAATCAAACTTAAAAACCTTGTATTATGATTGGTAAATCTAAGAACAAACGAAAACACGAACTGCCGAGAAACATAGCCCGAATTGTATTTGCTCCTTACAGTCTAGCCTAGAAGTCATCAGATGTAGATCTAATGTAAAAGCTGATCTTGTCTTTGAGCCGAGGTGTGAAGAAAAAAAAACTTTTTTTTAATTTAAAAAAAAAAACGATTTTCAAATACTAAAGATTTTTAAAATACAATGGTATGAAGGGATCAGAAGAGGGTATAGAGGAGAATACTGGGGAAGAAAACTAGCGATGGTGCTGTCATATTCTGAGGAAGAATACCAAGAACAGAAGTCCGAGTTGAACCATTTGGAGGTACGACGTAATGAACGACCCACGTAGTGGACGACCCACGCAGTGGACGACCCCCGCAGTGGACGACCCACGCAGTGGACGATCCACGCAATGGACGACCCACGTAATGGACGATCCACGCAGTGCACGACCCACGCAGTGCACGACCCACGCAGTGGACGAACCACGCAGTGGACGAAACACGAAAACATAGGGACGTAGTGTTATGGGGGAGACCGAAAAACTAAACAAAATAAACCGGGAGTGATCTCCCCTAAACTTTCTCGAATATTCTTCTATAAAACAACAGGGGATGGGAACTCGGGATATAGTTATGATTTTTAATCAATTTTAAATACATAAACTTTTAAAAATAAAATAGAATCTCATAGAAAAAAGTATTGCACATCAAGCGAACGCCGAATAAAGATGTTCATAATGGTGCGCAATATTATTAGTACTTTATAAATTTAGATGCGTTTTTGAGAAATCGGAAATAGCGTAAATTAGTACTTCCCGTCAACGGAAATTACTCAAAATTTAACAGAAGGTAGAGAATTAGATCTTTTACTTACATGTGAAATTTCATTTATCTATCTGAAATAGTACTCAAGTTATAGGCTTTTGAAAAATTCAAAGTAGGAAAAGTACCACTTCCGGTTATCGGAAATCGCTTAAAAGTTGATACGGATCTACGATTTTGATAAAATACTTATATATGAAATTTCATCAACCTAGCTGTAACGGTACTCAAGTTATCGTGTTTACACACGGACACACAGACAGACAGACAGACACACAGACAGACACACAGGCATACGGACAAGATTGCAAAATTATGTTTTTCCGTATCAGTGAGGTGTAAAACGTCGAGATTTGTAAAAATCTCGATTTTTTTTTTGCACGATTACAATACTTTCTCTATACTACGTATATACGAGAAAGTAAAAATTGACAGGAGATTAATAAGCGGAGAGCTTGAACGGATTAAAGTTTGTCCCCGAGGAATCAGTTTTAATGAGACTATTACTGTAAGGTAGACAACTTTCATTATAGGGATGCATTTAGAAAACCCCTAATAGCTCACCACCCGCCTGCAGGCTAACTAGTGTGTAGCATTCATCAGAGCTGATGTATCGATGGAAAGAATTGGTTAACAGCAGCTGACAAATTACATATGGGAATAATTTTAGTGTCTTTATGTCAACTTAATGTTTAACCGGCTCTTTATTTTTTAAGCAACGGAAAAGCTATAAAAACACATTCTTAATGATAAAATACCACTTTAATATTCCACAGACTGTGATGATCTGTTTTACGGAGATGGGTGTAAAACTAAGTGTAACTGTCCACATACGAATGTATGTTTCCAGGATGGCAGATGTCCACTTCAATGCCCAGCAGGCTCACATTCGATGACCTTTTGCAAAGACGAACGTATTTACCTTTCATTGTGTTTATATATATATATATATATATATATATATATATATATATATATATATATATATATATATATATATATATATATATATATATATATATATATATCTAGATATATAAAAAGCAATGTATGTGTGTCTGTGTATCTGTCTGTGTGTCTTTTATGCATTACCACACCTCTTATCACATCGCCGTGAAACTTTGGGAAATTGTTGAGAATATTCCTGGGGAGGTTCTGGCGAAAAAAAATTTCAAATTCGCAGGGGTGGCGCCCCGGCAGGGCGCGATTTGTTTTTCTCTATGTACGGTATATAAAATAAAAGTCTATTTTGATTTCACACTGTTCATCCGATAGGCATGAAACTTTGGGGAGTTGATTAGAACACTCTAGGGAAGGGTTCTGTACAAAAATCATTTTTAATTTCGCAAGGGCGGCGCCAATGGGAGGGTGCGATTTTTCTCTATATACGATATATAAAAATAATAACAGTGAATTGCCGTAACACCGTTCACGATCGTCATGAAACTTTAGGAAGTTGTTGAAAATATTCCTGGGGAGGTTTCCGCGAAAAAAAAATTCAAATTCGCAGGGGTGGCGCCCCGGCAGGGCGCGATTTGTTTTTTTCTCTATATACGGTATATAAAAAATAAGAGTCGATTGCAGATTCACACTGTTTATCCAATCGCTGTCAAACTTTGGAGAGTTGATTAGAGCAATTCAAGGAAGGGTTCTGTAAAAAAATCATTTTTAATTTCGCAAGGGCGGCGCCACGGGAGGGTGCGATTTTCCTCTATATACTGTATATAAAAATAATTAAAGTGAATTGCAGTGACACCGTTCACACAATCGCAATGAAACTTTGGGAAGATGTTAAGAATATTCCTGGGGAGGTTTCTGCTTAAAATACATTTTCAAATTCGCAGGGGTGGCGCTCATGTAGGGCGCGATTTGTTTTTTTTTTCAATATACGGTATATAAAATAAAAGTCGATTTTGGTTTGGCATCGTTCATCCGATAGCCATGAGACTTTGGGGAGTTCATTATACCACCCTTGGGAAGGGTTCTGTAAAAAATAGTTTTTAATTTCGCAAGGGCGGCGCCACGGGAGGATCCGATTTTTCTCTATATACGGTATATAAAAATAATAAAAGTAAATTGCAATAACACCGTTCATCCGATAGGCATGAAACTTTGGGGAGTTCATTATAAAACTCTGCGGAAGGGTTCTGTGAAAAATCATTTTTAATTTCGCAAGGGCGGCACCACGGGAGGGTGCGATTTTTCTCTATATACGGTATATAAAAATAAAAGTCGATTTTGGTGTGGCACGGTTATCCGATAGCCATGAGACTTTGGGGGAGTTGATTGGGACACTCCAGGGAAGGTTTCTGTAAAAAAATATTTTTTTTTTTATTTCGCAAGGGCGGCGCCACGGAATTGTGGGATTTTTCTCAATATACGGCATATAAAAATAAAAGTCGATTTTGGTTTGACACCATTTCTCTGATCGCCATCAAACTTTGGGGAGTTGATTTGAACAATTCAGGGAAGGGTTCTGTAAAAAAAAAATCCTTTTTTAATTTCGCAAGGGCGGCGCCACGGGAGGCTGCGATTTTTCTCTATATACGGTTTATAAAAATAAAAGTCTATTTAGATTTCACACCGTTCATCCGTGTACCATGAAACTTTGGGAGATGATTAGATCACTCAATGGTAGGGTTCTGCAAAAAAAAATATGTTTTAATATTGCAAGGGCGGCGCCCCGGGGGGGGGGGGGGGCGATTTTTTTCTCTATACACGGTATATAAAAAATAAAACTCGGATGCGGTTCATCCGAGTGCCATGAAACTTTAGGGAATAGATGAGAATATTCCCGAGAATATTTCTGAGAGAAAGAAAACTAAAGTTTCTTATGGGCGGCGCCATATAGGGTACAACTTTCGTCAATACACGGTTTGGCGCCCAGAGTTTTAGAGCGACTGTGTTGGCACTTGGCATCCGTTAATCGAGCGTCCTGCATAGCGAGTAAGGGGTACTACAATATTCAGCGGTAAAACTACAACAGGCTTCTAAAAATAACTTTGTAACGCTAGGAAATCCTTCTGTACAGTTTCGTCACCTTGCGAAAGATAAAAAAAAAAACTTTGAATATGAGGGTCGTCCACTGCGTGGGTCGTCCACTGCGTGGGTCGTCCACTGCGTGGGTCGTCCATTACGTGGGTCGTCCATGGCGTGGGTCGTCCACTGCGTGGGTCGTCCACTGCGTGGGTCGTCCATTACGTGGGTCGTCCATTACGTGGGTCGTCCATTACGTGGGTCGTCCATTACGTGGGTCGTCCATGGCGTGGGTCGTCCACTGCGTGGGTCGTCCACTGCGTGGGTCGTCCATTACGTGGGTCGTCCATGGCGTGGGTCGTCCATTACGTGGGTCGTCCATTACGTGGGTCGTCCATGGCGTGGGTCGTCCACTGCGTGGGTCGTCCACTGCGTGGGTCGTCCATTACGTGGGTCGTCCATGGCGTGGGTCGTCCATTACGTGGGTCGTCCATGGCGTGGGTCGTCCACTGCGTGGGTCGTCCACTGCGTGGGTCGTCCATTACGTGGGTCGTCCATTACGTGGGTCGTCCATGGCGTGGGTCGTCCATTACGTGGGTCGTCCATGGCGTGGGTCGTCCACTGCGTGGGTCGTCCATTACGTGGGTCGTCCATGGCGTGGGTCGTCCATTACGTGGGTCGTCCACTGCGTGGATCGTCCACTACGAAACTGGATTTTTTTTACGAACAAAAAGAAACATCCCTGTTAATAATTTAATTTAACCTTGGTTAATTTTTTTGATTATATAATAAAACGTATTACATGACCCTCAGCGGCCCATGCGAGCCTTTCGGAGCCGAAACTGAAATTTTTGTTTGCAGCCAATTCGCACCCTACCAGGGCGCCGGTGGACACGCCTGATTCAATTTAGTGAGCGCTTGTAACGCCCCACCCTATCCATTGTCTATCACACTGTTTAGACCGAACGTATTCTCCATAGCGCTCACGGGATAGATTAGGGCGCCAAATCGCAGCCTGCCGGGGGGGGGGGGGGCGCCCATGCAAAATTAAATCCCCCTCCAACCATCACCCACCCCCTCTCCTACCTCAGGAACCTTCTCGGGAGTATTTATCAACTCCCCAAAGTTTTATGGCACCCCGATATACTGTGTCGTACAGCAATCGTCTTTAATTTGTATAAGCCGTTTGTAGAGAAAAACCGCACCCTCCCGTGGTGCCGCCTTGCAAAATTATTTTTTTTTTCAGAACCCTTCCAGGTAATGTTCAAATGAACTCCCTAAAGTCTCATGGCTATCGGATGAACTGTGTCAAAGCCAAATCGACTTTTATTTTTATATACCATTATAAAAAAAAACTATATATATATATATATATATATATATATATATATATATATGTGTGTGTGTTTGTATGTGTGTCTATGTATGTGTGTGTGTGCATGTGTGTATGTGTATGTATTGCGTATGAAAAGGGATAGGCAAATTTATATACATATGTAGATGCTTATGGCTATGCGTGCCTTTGTTTATCTGGGTACATTTTGTTTTCTATGTCCCTGGTAATAATGATGTTTCTGGGTAGATCTAGGTGTATTTTAAATCCATGTTAAACATTGAACTGCTTTTACGATAGAATTTACGATAGAATTTTATTGATCGATTTGTATTCTTTCTGTGACAGACAGAATTGATTACTTTCCCGCATCAATTTCACCCCGAGCTCTTGCTGATAAGGATGACAAAACGTGCGCACTTCCTAACAATAATCAAGTGGATATAAACTTAGTTCAGGAAACTTACTTAGCTGGAGTCTCAATCGTCTTAGAAGTAGCTGGTATGTTTTGTAAATTATTTGAGAAATGAAAGTCTTGCCAGCACATGATAGTTGTGAATGTAAATTATATTTAAAGTGGCATAATTAAAATTTAAAATAAGCGAAATGTTGAATCTACTTAATATAGTTTGCTGGCAATTCTTTTTGGTAGACAAATATGATGTATCTCTATGATTTGATGGCAATTATTTTCTGTAGGCGAATATGATGTATCTCTATGATTTGATGGCAATTATTTTCTGTAGGCGAATATGATGTATCTCTATGATTTGATGGCAATTATTTTCTGTAGGCGAATATGATGTATCTCTATGATTTGATGGCAATTATTTTCTGTAGGCGAATATGATGTATCTCTATGATTTGATGGCAATTATTTTCTGTAGGCGAATATGATGTATCTCTATGATTTGATGGCAATTATTTTCTGTAGGCGAATATGATGTATCTCTATGATTTGATGGCAATTATTTTCTGTAGGCGAATATGATGTATCTCTATGATTTGATGGCAATTATTTTCTGTAGGCGAATATGATGTATCTCTATAATTTGATGGAAATTATTTTCTGTAGGCGAATATGATGTATCTCTATAATTTGATGGCAATTATTTTCTCTAGACGAATACGATGTATCTCTATAATTTGATGGAAATTATTTTCTGTCGGCGAATATGATATATCTCTATAATTTGATGGAAATTATTTTCTGTAGGCGAATATGATGTATCTCTATAATTTGATGGCAATTATTTTCTCTAGACGAATACGATGTATCTCTATAATTTGATGGCAACTATTTTCTCAGACGAATACGATGTATCTCTATAATTTGATGGAAATTATTTTCTGTAGGAGAATATGATGTATCTCTATGATTTGATGGCAATTATTTTCTGTAGGCGAATATGATGTATCTCTATGATTTGATGGCAATTATTTTCTGTAGGCGAATATGATGTATCTCTATAATTTGATGGAAATTATTTTCTGTAGGCGAATATGATGTATCTCTATAATTTGATGGCAATTATTTTCTCTAGACGAATACGATGTATCTCTATAATTTGATGGAAATTATTTTCTGTCGGCGAATATGATGTATCTCTATAATTTGATGGAAATTATTTTCTGTAGGCGAATATGATGTATCTCTATAATTTGATGGCAATTATTTTCTCTAGACGAATACGATGTATCTCTATAATTTGATGGCAACTATTTTCTCAGACGAATACGATGTATCTCTATAATTTGATGGAAATTATTTTCTGTCGGCGAATATGATGTATCTCTTTAATTTGCTGGCAATTATTTTCTCTAGACGAATATGATTCATCACTATACGATGTTGACAACTGCGCAACAACGCCAGGAATACCCATACCGTTGACTCATAGAGTGGGCATTCCAGAAATCTCCAAAGAAATCACTTTAAGATTTGTCGAGATGCAGATTGTGAAATGTTTGAGAATAAAAATTGGAGGGAAGATACAAATATGTGAAGTTAAGATCCACGGAGGTAAGTACACATTTTGTGTGTGAAGTCTTGCACGTTTTAACTCAGTGCATTAGATTGAGGAGTGTGAAACAGTGGAATACTAATCAATCCAAACACATCTTACCAGCGATAAAAAAGAACAGAATAATTAAAATAATTAATTTCATATATAAAATAATTTACAAAAACAAGTAGATTTAGAATACGTGTAAGTCTATGCAGTCGTATAAGATTAGGTTACGTTACATTTATCTATAATCTACGCATGAACTTGCACATAAACACGTATATGTACGTGTAGATCTATACGCATATATATATAGGGATATAAATATATAGGGATATATATATAAGGATATAATTATAGGGATATATATATATATATATATTTATATATATATATATATATATATATATATATATATATATATATATATATATATATATATATATATACTAGCGTCTAGCGTCCCGGCCAGGCCCTGCTCTGGCTTCTGTGAAAAACCTTTCTGTTAAAGACCATTACCTGTTTGTTTAGTAATCATCATAAACCCGGCATTGCCCACCCAAACCACAACCAACCAAAACCAAAACAACAAATCGCAAACATAACGCTAACACAATTACAAATACAAACGAAAACAAAAACCTAACAACAAACACAACCAAAAACACCAATACAAACACAAAGAAAAAACAAACAATAAAGCAAATGAAAACAAAAACCTAAAAACAAACCCAACCACAACCACAAACACCAATACGAACACAAAGAAAAAAACAAACGAAAAAGCAAACGAAAACAATTCAAATCCAACCGCAAAACCAACCACAAACACAAACCCAAAGAAAAAAATAAACGAAAAAGCAAACGAAAACAAACCAAATCCAAACGCAAAACCAAACACAAACACAAACCCAAAGAAAAAAAAACGAAAAAGCAAACGAAAACAAACCAAATCCAAACGCAAAACCAACCAAAAACACAAATACAAACCCAAACAAAAAAACACAAACAAAAACGAAAAAAGAAAGAACAAAAACGAACCAAATCAAAACGCAACAACTAACGCAAACCCACCTAAACACAAAGAAAACACTAACGCGAACATAAACGCCCGGGGCGGAATCACCTGTTTTAGCTTAATGAACGACTATAGTACCCCAACTTATTCATAGTCTTTTGCACTCACTTAAACGAACGCGCCTGTTTCAATTTAATGAACAATTTTAATACTCCAAGCTTATCCGTAAAATACCTACAACATTTGCACTTGATCAATCCCCGCTAATTATGTAATTATTTTTTTCCCAACACCAAAACAAAGTAATTAAAAAGAAAATTCTTTACACAAATGCAATGGTTTTATAAAGGGAAGTAATTGTGTTTTCCTAATTTATCAAAGGGAAGTAAGTGCTATAGGACTAAATAAAGACATAATTAGAATTTTTGTAAAAAAAAACTTGTGTTTAATGAACATGCCGACAATTATTACTATAATTTGAAAAATGAAAATTATTTCCCAACACTTTCAATAGTAATTTTTTAACTCATAAATTTAGACAAATGCGCACGATGATTGTCTAACACTTAAATCCATCCAAGACCAACGACAAACATATGCGTTACATACAGAACTGAGCTTTATATTATATATATATATATATATATATATATATATATATATATATATATATGTATATATATATGTATATATATATATATATATATGTATATATATTATATAATCGTAATATCTTAAATTTTAGGTCGCAGTCTTCTTTATAAAGACGCCGATATCGGAACACCAGAGAGCACTTCTTTAATCAGCACCGTAGATGAAATCAACAAATGTATATCAAACACGCCACAGAACAACTATCAAATCACTTTAAAATCGGAAACTTTGGTCACTTCCATAGCATTTTATACTATAGGTATCTCATCAATTTTAGCTTATCTTTTAATTTATTTATATTGGCCTTTGAACCTCTAATATATATATATATATATATATATATATATATATATATATATATATATATATATATATATATATATATATATATATATATATATATATATATATATATATATATATATATATATATATATATATATATATATATATATATATATATATATATATATATATATATATATGTATAGGCCCACAAACTGGTTCCCCTAATGAGAATCAGGTACCCATTTTAGCTGGGTTAACTCAGGGACTTTCTGCGATCACGAGACCACATTTTATTTTCACCACGTTTTCTCGAATTAAAGCTTTTGTACTAGCAATAGAAGTTGCATTCGACTTTTTAAACAGCTTGTACAAAACTGTTTACAAACTTCGAGATGCAGTTTAATATTGTTTATTTTTTCGGGTACATTCAAATGATGGTCCAAATGTATCGATTTAATGTGCAAACCCGCTTTTCCGTTATTCCATATATATATATATATATATATATATATATATATATATATATATATATATATATATATATATATATATATATATATATATATATATATATATATATATATATATATATATATATATAAAATATATATATATATACACACTATGCTGTATATTTACCATTAGGAAACATGGTCACCATAATATTTGTAAATGTTCAGATCCAAATTCACACCCCCGAATAGCAGTGGTTGTCTGCGTGGATAACGACAATCGGCTGGTTTACCACAAGGCACTCAGTACCAACAATGGAGGTCCCACTTTCTTTAATTTAAATCTAAACGTAAAGAAAATTTACTTTGAGGTAGTCGACAAGTCCTTCCATCCATGCGAAGTGCAAGTTTTCGGAGAAAACCGTAAGTCAGTCGCACGCTGTTTTTTTTTTCTGGTTTAGGGATTGACTAAAAGACTAATTCATTCATTCCATTATATTCAGTCGCAACAATCTCAATGTATTCTACCAACTTCCAAGAAAAGAAAAAAGGAGAAGGTGCACATGTTGTAACTGGCGTGCTACTCTACCTCCTGTTAACTTCTTTCATTTAAGGCTGAACTATTTATTTCAAATTGCCAAAACAATGTTTCCCAGGTAATATTTTAGATCGATACTTTGATAGTAAAAACGTATTTAAATTTGAAACTGTCTTAATTTAATCCACAATTTAATCCACAGAAATAACATTGTTTTTCAGTATTCAAATACTTTTTTTGGAATATTTATGAGATAAATGCATTTTAGATAACAAATAAAAGTAATATAATAAAAAATAATTAACTCAGCAGTATTTGATTTTTTAACTTAATTGTAATTTCAATATTTGTTTTTGTTGCGCGTGTGTGTGGGTATTTGTTTTAATGTTCTGACTTGTATATATATATATATATATATATATATATATATATATATATATATATATATATATATATATATATATATATATGAAATACATTAGTGTGTTCTTTGCATAATTCATTCTTTTATGATTTTAGCTTATATATTTAACCTTTTCTCCAGATGCGCAAGACACCCCCGTTTTTGAGATGAGCAAAATATCCATGAATTTTTTCTTTAAAAGGCTTTCATTGCAAATGCATAATTAGAGAAGATGTGCAACTTTTTATGTGTGTACCCTGGATTGACTCAACATCCGTTGTAGAAAATTGATAATTTTCCTTGCCATCGATGTTGTAAATAACATCTAACTTTCTGCAATGTCAGCGTTAAACAACAAAACCAAATTTTTTTATCTTTTTATTTTTAAAGAGCAGTAAATTATCGAATGCAAATGTATAAACAGAGTTTGTCTTTCATTTAAATGCGTTACATAAGTGATACAAAAACAGACACATTTAACATAAACAGAAGATACTTTTAAAGGACTTTTAATAAGTTCTTAATTTTACAAACGTTTATTGCTTTCTTTGTCGTCAATCTTTCTATCTGTTGGGCACTTCTAACTGACAGATCCTGTTCAAAGTTGGCACTTGGGTCAAGACATGAAGACAATGTAATCTGACATTAAATTCGACTTAATTGGATGCCAAATTATTTTTTATGAATTCATTACCTATTCCGCACTATTATACTCGCTTTGTCATGTTCATGTGTGCAATCGGTTTTAGTCATTCAACTCTATAGTAGTTTAAAAAAAAATTAAAGTACTAAAAAACAATTCATAAAAAACGTTTTAATAACAAGCTTTTATGTCATAATGCACTAAAAAGTAGAAAATAACGTATACACTACTATTTAAATAACTATAAAGAAAAGCGTGGGTCCCTTCCTAAATATTAGTAAAGATATCCAATAGATACTAAAGTTACCTACGCTTTTCTTTAAAGTTATTTAAATAGTAGTGTAAAATGTATTTGCATTTAGTGCATTATTACATAAAAGCTTGATATTAAAACGCTTTTTTATGCTTTTTTTTTCCTAAACAGACCATGGCTATAAGGATTTAGACACATCTCAAAACAAATCAGGGGGTTGAAATTTTAATCATAAACTATTAACTTTTCACTTGAACTAAGTCTAATGTATTTTGTTAAGTATTGTGAAATGAATCAACTGCTATTTCATTTTTACTAAAACATATACCCGGTATGCAAATCGAAACTTGGATAAAATTAGAATATGGTAAATGTTTTTATAGATATGTCTCGTACGTTTAAATGCAGCTTTCTTGTAATCTTAGATCTATGATTTAATATTGTATGAGTAAACGTGCATTAAAAAAAACATCAAAACAATTCATATAAAAGTATAATTATAATAATTATAATTTGTTCTATAATTGATTTATAATAATCTGGAATGATAGATTTATAATTGATCAACGGTATTTATACTAAATTACAAATTCTAACTAACAATGTGTAATTATCTCTTTATAACATTATGGGGACGGTGTCATGGGATGTAAGAGCATACTACTGCAAACCCGAATGTCCATAGACCGTCACTGAGTTTATGTAGCGTTGATGGGTACCTGATTCACCTGAAGTAAAGACGGCTGGACTTGAAGCTGACCATCCCTTCATACGCCGAGGTCACTAAAACAGGTGAACTCTACTCCTGGGCCGTCCAAATCAAAGTGTCACTAACCAACTGTACTTTATGCCATGCTAAATGAACCGCGTCGGCCGTTACTTAAATGAATATCCTTTCACTATACACTTAATACTGATTTGTTCATATATAACTTAATGCCGTATAATACTGTTGCATGATAAACCAAGCTTCATTTCTGAAAAAAAAAAAAGAATTAAATTAGATCATAATTAAACATTAGCACATTATTCAAATTTAAATTTTAGTGAAAAAAAAAGAGTAGTTTATGGACTTGTTTTCAGATTAATTTAAAAATAGGATATAGGCAATATACATTTCCGCTCTAATTAAATGTTTATATCAAGAAAACAATAACATGATTAATTTAATTCAATACAAATTACCTTATTTTAAAAGTATTTAGCCAGCTTTGTTCCTGTACTTAACCGGTTCATTTTAAACTTGGTTAACCTATCGATAGATCTATGTATATCCTAAAACATTGACATCTAATCCTCAATGTAAACTTGGTTAACCTATAGATAGATCTATGTATATCCTAAAACATTGACATCTAATCCTCAATGTAAACTTGGTTAACCTATAGATAGATCTATGTATATCCTAAAACATTGACATCTAATCCTTAATGTAAACTTGGTTAACCTATAGATAGATCTATGGATATCCTAAAACATTGACATCTAATCCTCAATGTAAACTTGGTTAACCTATAGATAGATCTATGTATATCCTAAAACATTGACATCTAATCCTCAATGTAAACTTAGTTAACCTATAGATAGATCTATGTATATCCTATATCCTAAAACATTGACATCTAATCCTCAATGTAAACTTGGTTAACCTATAGATAGATCTATGTATATCCTAAAACATTGACATCTAATCCTCAATGTAAACTTGGTTAACCTATAGATAGATCTATGTATATCCTAAAACATTGACATCTAATTCTCAATGTAAACTTGGTTAACCTATAGATAGATCTATGTATATCCTATATCCTAAAACATTGACATCTAATCCTCAATGTAAACTTGGTTAACCTATAGATAGATCTATGTATATCCTAAAACATTGACATCTAATTCTCAATGTAAACTTGGTTAACCTATAGATAGATCTATGTATATCCTATATCCTAAAACATTGACATCTTATCCTCAATGTAAACTTGGTTAACCTATAGATAGATATATGTATATCCTAAAACATTGACATCTAATCCTTAATGTAAACTTGGTTAACCTATAGATAGATCTATGTATATCCTAAAACATTGGCATCTAATCCTCAATGTAAACTTGGTTAACCTATAGATAGATCTATGTATATCCTAAAACATTGACATCTAATCCTCAATGTAAACTGGGTTAACCTATAGATAGATCTATGTATATCCTAAAACATTGACATCTAATCCTCAATGTAAACTTGGTTAACCTATAGATAGATCTATGTATATCCTAAAACATTGACATCTAATCCTCAATGTAAACTTGGTTAACCTATAGATAGATCTATGTATATCCGAAAACATGGACATCTAATCCTCAATGTAAACTTGGTTAACCTATAGATAGATCTATGTATATCCTAAAACATTGACATCTAATCCTCAATGTAAACTTGGTTAACCTATAGATAGATCTATGTATATCCTAAAACATTGACATCTAATCCTCAATGTAAACTTGGTTAACCTATAGATAGATCTATGTATATCCGAAAACATGGACATCTAATCCTCAATGTAAACTTGGTTAACCTATAGATAGATCTATGTATATCCTAAAACATTGACATCTAATCCTCAATGTAAACTTGGTTAACCTATAGATAGATCTATGTATATCCTAAAACATTGACATCTAATCCTCAATGTAAACTTGGTTAACCTATAGATAGATCTATGTATATCCGAAAACATGGACATCTAATCCTCAATGTAAAGTAGTCATTGAAAACTGATTCTGATTTTAAATTGTACAATAATAAATAACAGTCATGGAAACTAGTGGCGTCAAAAAGAGGGTGGGTAGGGTGGGGAGTAGGGAGGGGGATGCGGTTTGCGCCATGTGACACCATTTGAGAGGTGTCACCACGATGAAAAATTTCAAACTTTACTGTCAAAAATATATGTATCCAGTTAAAGAAAACAAGGTTGAAGAGGAATAGTTGCGGCACTAAACCGAAATGCAAAAATATTTGAGGGGATGGGGTGACACCCTCAATTACCGCACCGGTAAAAACCCGCCATAGTGTGCATACATTTTCTTTCGAAACCAATTACACAACAAGAGTACCATTTTTTTTAATTTATTTTTTTTTTACACTAAAAGAAAAAAAAGTTCAGAACGTTCATATGAAATGTTTAAAATGGTCCTAATTGATTTAAAATATCAAGTTATAAATGTAAGCCTGTAGGGAAGCAGATTTAAGAAAACAAAAATTTTTACAATCATACACTTTAAATATAAAGAATCTTAAAATAGGCAAACACGATTATTTATTTATAATATTAAAAGCATTTGGCACTCTGAGTATTTTTTTCAGTTGGCTTGTTACACAGAAGTCTAATTATAAAGTTATTCGTTTTATGATGTATTTACCTCGCGAGGGTATCAATCGAGTTCTAATTACGTCATTCGATCTTCTGAAGTTCGACCTTTCTGAGTTGTCTACAAACTGCAAATTTAATATTTCAATCAACTCCTTCAATTAACAGTGCCTTTATCTTGATGAAAATAAATAGATATGTAGCCTTAAACTCAGATAAATATTTTTAAATCTCTTAGTTTGCAGTTTCCATAAAATTGATTATAAAAATATTATATTTCTGAAATATCTTCAGGTTTATGGTTTTTTTTTTAATTTTAGTTTTTTTACGATTGCTTTGATTGTGAAACCTATAGAAAAAAAACTTAGTTTGTCCATGTGAACAATAATAATTTAAGTGTTTTAATCAAATCGGTCCGGTCCATTATTCCTAAGAAAATACTGTTTATGAATTATTATTGAAAATTAATAGCCTCGACGATTATTATTATTATTATCTATATATATAATTCTCTTCTGGGAGACGTTAGAAAACAAGCTGCAAAGCGCCTTACAGTCCCCTCTCTTCCACTCTATCGTTACCACCCTCACCCCCCTCACCCCCACCCCCACTCACCCCCCCCCCTCCCACCCCCACTCACCCCCCCCCTCCCACCCCCACCCCCCACCCCCCACCCCCCTACCTGACATGGTCTGGTGAGCTGTTGTTCACGCTAAATTTTTACAATCACAGAGCCGGATTTGGTGACGGCTGATAGGGGCAGATAATTTAGTTTGAAACGATTTTTAAGGAGGTAACTAAGAGGAGGCTGCTTTCACGTTGGGGAGAGGGGGGTTTAGTGTGGTTTAAAGCAAATATTTTCATTGGTACTGTCGAATTCACAAATTATGAATTACTGAAAAGTAGAAAGAACAACAACTAAATAGCGGCGTATGATGCACCGCGGGTAGGCTCGTTATTATTATTATTATTATTATTATTATTATTATTATTACGATTATAATTATTATAATTATTATTAGTATTATTATTATTATTATTATTATTATTATTATTATTATTATTATTATTATTATTATTATTATTATTATCATCATCATCATCACTCTCATTCTCATTACTATTATTATTTTATTATTATTGTTATAGTTATTAATCATTTGTATTTTTAATTATATTGTTTCCGTTTAATTTGATGCGCACAGCAGTTGTTGTGTTATTCGGAAATATCAATTAGATCAAATTATTTAAGGATCTACAAACACTATCCAAGAGTGATTCTTTGCACATCATGGTGCGTAACCTATTGTTACCATATAAACAAAACGTCACAGAATCTTTGTTGTTGCAACTACCGGTATCTGCTACGAAAACAATGACATCAACTATGCTTTCTAAGAAAAGCATTTGCATATGTTTTCTCATACTATTTGTATCGAAGCTAGCCAATGCAGGTAGATCCTACTATTATAAAAAAAATAGTGCCCATTTATTTATTCGAATATTAAAATTGTAATGTAGTCTAGTAATCTATCTAGATCTAGATCTAGATCTTGATTCAAACACTAAAGTCAGATATAAATCTAGATTTAGATCTAGATCAAGATATAGATCTAGATTCTAGATGATCATATAGATAGATTTAGTTCAACTAGATTCAGATCTAAATCTAATTTAGATCTAGAAATCTAGATCGAGATCGAGATCTAATCTAGATGCCAGATCTAGATCAAAGAATCTAGATCTAGAATCTAGAAATCTAGATCTAAATACTAAATATAAATAAAATAATCGTTACATTTATTTCTAGGTTTTCAAGTAAGGTAATAAAGGATTTTGCTATTTTAAATTTTTACTTTCTTTATCACTAAAATAAAAGGGTTCTCAAAAATGTATATATGTGTAGATCTAGACGAAGCTATATTACATAAACTCGTGTTTGTAAATTGATGTGATAATTTTGATGAAATAATAATAATTATCACCGTCACTGCTCTGGGCCCTTGATAGAGTACAGGCCTACAGGTGTGGAAAAATTTTGTGATGTCAGCATTGTAGTGTTTAAACGTGTGAGGGGAATGGAGGAAGTGCATGCGTAGAGACTAGTGGCGTCACTAGTCAATATTTCCTGACATCAGTAGTTTCACTAGAATCGTAACGAGATTTCCTTACATAAAAGTTACATCAGTGGCGTCACTAGAATCGTAATAAGATTTCCTTACATCAGTGGTTTCACTAGAATCGTAACGAGATTTCCTTACATTAAAGTTACATCAGTGGCGTCACTAGAATCGTAATAAGATTTCCTTACATCAGTGGTTTCACTAGAATCGTAACTAGATTTCCATACATCAGTGGTTTCACTAGAATCGTAACAGGATTCCCCTTACATCAGAGGCGTCACTAGCATTTTAACTAGATTTCCCTTACATCAGAGGCGTCACTAGCATCTTAACTAGATTTCCCTTACATCAGAGGCGTCACTAGCATCTTAACTAGATTTCCCTTACATCAGAGGCGTCACTAGCATCTTAACTAGATTTCCATACATCAGCGGCGTCACTAGCATCTTAACTAGATTTCCCTTACATCAGAGGCGTCACTAGCATCTTAACTAGATTTCCATACATCAGCGGCGTCACTAGCATCTTAACTAGATTTCCCTTAAATCAGCGGCGCCACTAGCATCTTAACTAGATTTCCATACATCAGTGGCGTCACTAGAATCGTAACATGATTTCCTTTACATCAGAGGCGTCACTAGCATCTTAACTAGATTTCCCTTACATCATAGGCGTCACTAGCATCTTAACTAGATTTCCATACATCAGAGGCGCCACTAGAATCGTAACAAGTTTTGCTTACATTAGTGGCGCCACTAGAATCGTAACAAGATTTCCGTACATCAGTGGCGTCACTAGGTCGGGTGTCACCCGGTGCGGTTACCGAGGGTGTCACTCCCCCCCCCCTATTCCCCTTCATTCATTGTGCATTTTCGTTTGGTTTCGCCCCCTTCTATTCTAATGTTATTACATTAACTGGACAAATGGTATCACCCGGTGCGGACCGAACTCCTAATTGTGACGCCACTCTTAGAGATATCATACAATTTAGCTCGTGGTATCTACGTCACTGTTAAATAGCATTCAGTGAGTATGGATTGGTTAAAATACACTATCCATTATTCAGTTTACGTCAATGCTAATTTGGAAAAATAGCCAAAAATCTGGTCTTGTTTATCTAAAATATAAACTAACATGCATTTTTCAAGTAGCTGAGTTGTTTTTTTACCTGGGCGTAAAAATGTTTTTTAAAGCTGATGATGATGATGATGATGATGATGATGACGATGATGACGACGACGATGATGATGATGATGATGATGATGACGATGATAAAAAACGGAAACCTGGCAAAGCTGGAAAAAAAACAGGTAGAACAAAGTTGGGGTATATAAGTTTAACTGAAGAGTTTTTTAAGTCTTTAAGGCATTTTGTTTCATTTTGACAACACCTGTTTAACACGACTAATGCATATGTTTATGTGTATCATTATGTATGTTTATATCAGCTCTATCCATATGCTACTTTCTGTATGGCTCCTCCGTATTTGTATATATAACACTTTAGTAAGTTTATGTTACTTTAATTTCATCTGTATGTATGTGTATATCTTCTCTGTATGTATATGTATATCGTCTCTGTATGTGTATACCTTATCTGTTCTATGTGAATATTTTCTTTGCATGTCTTTTCTGTAAAACATATGCTGTGTTTTCTGCCCTAGTTATACATGTGCCCTGTTGTCTGACCTAGTTAAACATGTGCCCTGTTGTCTGACCCAGTTAAACATGTGCCCTGTTGTTTGACCTAGTTAAACATGTGCCCTGTTGTCTGACCCAGTTAAACATGTGCCATGTTGTCTGAACTAGTTAAACATGTGCCATGTTGTCTGACCTAGTTAAACATGTGCCATGTTGTCTGACCTAGTTAAACACGTGCAATGTTGTCTGACCTAGTTAAACATGTGCCCTGTTGTCTGACCTAGTTAAACATGTGCCCTGTTGTCTGACCTAGTTAAACACGTGCCCTGTTGTCTGACCTAGTTAAACATGTGCCTGGTTGTCTGACCTAGTTTAACATGTGCCCTGTTGTTTGACCTAGTTAAACATGTGCACTGTTGTCTGACCTAGTTAAACATGTGCACTGTTGTCTGACCTAGTTAAACATGTGCCCTGTTGTCTGACCTAGTTAAACACGTGCCCTGTTGTCTGACCTAGTTAAACATGTGCCCTGTTGTCTGACCTAGTTAAACACGTGCCCTGTTGTCTGACCTAGTTAAACATGTGCCCTGTTGTCTGACCTAGTTAAACATGTGCACTGTTGTCTGACCTAGTTAAACATGTGCCCTGTTGTCTGACCTATTTAAACATGTGCCCTGTTGTCTGACCTATTTAAACATGTGCCCTGTTGTCTGACCTAGTTAAACATGTGCCATGTTGTCTGACCTAGTTAAACATGTGCCATGTTGTCTGACCTAGTTAAACACGTGCCATGATGTCTGACCTAGTTAAACATGTGCCCTGTTGTCTGACCTAGTTAAACTTGTGCCCTGTTGTCTGACCTATATAAACATGTGCCCTGTTGTCTGACCTAGTTAAACATGTGCCCTGTTGTTTGACCTAGTTAAACATGTGCAATGTTGTCTGACCTAGTTAAACATGTGCCCTGTTGTCTGACCTAGTTAAACATGTGCCCTGTTGTCTGACCTAGTTAAACATGTGCCCTGTTGTCTGATCTAGTTAAACATGTGCCCTGTTGTCTGACCTCATCTGCCCTATTGTCTTTACAGAGTTAGTCTATGAGGTGACCATTTGGACCGGTTCCAGATTTGGGGCAGGAACTGATGCCAATGTATTCCTTCAGTTGTTTGGGGAACATGGCCAAACAGAGGAAATTATTTTAGATAACCCAGGCGACGATTTCGAAACGGGAGATTATGATAAGTTCATTGTTAGTCTCTTTTATTATAACTGGAGATTATGATAGGTTTATAGTTACCGCTTTTATTACAACGGGAGATTATGATAAGTTCATAGTTAGTCGCTTTCAATACACAAATTATGTTGCTTTCTTTACATGTAATACATTTAATACATATCGTTTAATGAAATGAAATTGTGACAGAAAGTTTAATGAAAATGAAAATGTGATAAGTAAAAGTGTGACAGAATAAGTTACCTGTGAATGAAAATGTGACATTTCATGACTTTCAGCTTAAGGCTCCAGATATCGGGGTGTTGGTGAAGGTCCGAATCGGTCATGATGACGCTGGTAGGATGGCGGGCTGGTACCTGGAGAAGGTGAAGATGTTTGTGTATAGGTGGTATGGCCATATTGCATGTGGGGGAGGGTGGCATACTACATGTGTAGGAGGGGATGGGAATATTCCATGTGTAAGGGGGGGGGGGGGGCATATTGCATGTGTAGGTGGGGGGATGGCATATTACATGTGTAGGTGGGGCATACTGCAGGTGTAAGAGGGGGCATATTGCATTTGTATGTGGGGGGGATGGCATATTGCATGTATAGGAGGGCATTAGAATATTGCATGCATAGGTGGTAACATTGCACGTGTAGGGGGCATATTGCATTTGTAGAGGGGGCATATTGCATAGAGTGCATATTGCCTGTGTAGGGGCATATTGCATGTGTAGGGGGGTGGGCATCTTACACGTGTATGTGGGGGATAGCATATTGCATGTGTAGAGGGGGCATATTGCATAGAGTGCATATTGCCTGTGTAGGGGGTGGGCATCTTACACGTGTATGTGGGGGATAGCATATTGCATGTGTAGGGGGACGGGCATATTACACGAGTAGGTGTAGTGAGCGTGATCTGCCACATGCGACTCCTTCAGATGCTGATACAGAGAAGGGCCCCCAAGCCTGTGGACAATGAGGACTATTGGTTCTTTGTCTTTTCCTGGCTGGCCAAGGACGAGGGGGACGGGTCAATCGTTAGAGAGTTACAGCCAACTGATGAAAACCGGAGACCAATCAAGATTTATCTAGAAGGTAAAACTAAATATCTGCTAAAGCAGAAATCAGCGCTTTGTATTTAATCTGGGTTTTTTTTCATTAATTTACCGCAGTCTTTAGTACCTAAGAAATATACGCTATTTTAGGTTTTATAAAATGTATTTTTAAAATTATTATCTTTAATTTTCACTTGATGTGTAATATGCAATATTTTATAACACATATTAAACTGTATACTCTCTTGATGTACGCGAAAAACGTTTATTAACTAATGCGACAAAAAAAATTATTATGAACTATGGTGCTTCAAGAAAAAGCTAGCTCTGTAGAAAGCCCTTCCAGGTTTTAATATGCCATAACCAATCAAATTTTGAACCGCTAGTCATGTGACAGCAGTAACAGAACTAGCTCCCCAGCTGAGCACATATAATTGGTTTGTTTACATCAGTTTTTTTTTTTTACTTACTGAAAATCGAATACGTTTGCTATCAATTGAAAACCACAGCAGTTTGTTAGTTTTTGAAATTTAAAAACGTGCGTTAGTCATTAATAATCATACCAGTTTGTTAGTTATTGAAAATCACATTTCTTTGTTAGCTATTGAAAATCTAATTAGATAACCTCAATATTTAAATATTTGTGGTAGCTTTATTAAGTACATCTTTTTGATAACTGTAACTATTTGATATCCTCACTAATTATATCTTTTTGATAACTACACTCTTAAATGTTTTTTAATCCACTTAATAAAACATTGTAATAACTTCATTAATTAAATATTTATGATACCTATAGTGATTACATTTTTGTAATAAAATAAACATACTAGCTTTAATTGAACCCTGCATCAATTAATATATATTTTTTAATAATTGTAAACAAAAATTTTATATTAAGAATTTGTTCATATAAACTATTCACCTTCTCATATTATTCTAGTCGTTAAATTATTTTACACTTTAGACAATACAAGGAGAGTTGAGATGCGCTTTTCCTACAATATTTAACTAATAGAGCGTTTTCTACTCGGTGTGGCAATAAGACGTGTTTAATTAATCGGGTCTTAATTTTCATTGTACATTAGATTAGTGCAAACGTTTTTAAATTATGCTTTAAATATTATGTTTTTTATTCATAAACGATGCAAGGTCACATATAAGTCGACAATCTTGTCCTTGTTTGTTGTTTATATGTATATATCTGTTCATTAACTGTGACTAAAATATGACTTGAATACGGTTCCAGAGAGATCCGATGTGAAGCAGCTGATCACACTACTGTTGGATGTCTCCTGGCCGTGGTTTGGGAAAGAGTGTTCCGCGCATTGCGACAAAGAGAAAAGCATTTACTCTCCGTGTTTCAATTTACGGTAAGCATCAAAGCCAGTTTACACTCCGCCTTTTTAGATTTTCATTGAAATCTTCATCTTCTTCTTTTTAGATTTTCATTGAAATCTTCGTCTTCTTCTTTTTAGATTTTCATTGAAATCTTCGTCTTCTTCTTTTTAGATTTTCATTGAAATCTTCGTCTTCTTCTTTTTAGATTTTCATTGAAATCTTCGTCTTCTTCTTTTTAGATTTTCATTGAAATCTTCGTCTTCTTCTTTTTAGATTTTTATTGAAATCTTCTTCTTTATTTTTTTTTTTTAGATTTTCATTGAAATCTTCGTCTTCTTCTTTTTAGAATTTCATTGAAATCTTCGTCTTCTTCTTTTTAGATGTTCATTGAAATCTTCGTCTTCTTTTTAGATTTTCATTGAAATCTTCGTCTTCTTCTTTTTAGATTTTCATTGAAATCTTCGTCTTATTCTTTTAAGATTTTCATTGAAATCTTCGTCGTCTTCTTTTTAGGTTTTCATTGAAATCTTCGTCTTCTTTTTAGATTTTCATTGAAATCTTCGTCTTCTTCTTTTTAGATTTTCATTGAAATCTTCGTCTTCTTCTTTTTAGATTTTCATTGAAATCTTCGTCTTCTTCTTTTTAGATTTTCATTGAAATCTTCGTCTTCTTTTTTTAGATTTTCATTGAAATCTTCGTCTTCTTCTTTTTAGATTTTCATTGAAATCTTCGTCTTCTTTTTAGATTTTCATTGAAATCTTCGTCTTCTTTTTTTTTTTGGGTTTTCATTGAAATCTTCGACTTCTTCTTTTTAGATTTTCATTGAAATCTTCGTCTTTATTTTTTTTTTTTAGATTTTCATTGAAATCTTCGTCTTCTTCTTTTTAGAATTTCATTGAAATCTTCGTCTTCTTCTTTTTAGATTTTCATTGAAATCTTCGTCTTCTTTTTAGATTTTCATTGAAATCTTCGTCTTCTTCTTTTTAGATTTTCATTGAAATCTTCGTCTTCTTCTTTTTAGATTTTCATTGAAATCTTCGTCGTCTTCTTTTTAGGTTTTCATTGAAATCTTCGTCTTCTTCTTTTTAGATTTTCATTGAAATCTTCGTCTTCTTTTTTTAGATTTTCATTGAAATCTTCGTCTTCTTCTTTTTAGATTTTCATTGAAATCTTCGTCTTCTTTTTAGATTTTCATTGAAATCTTCGTCTTCTTCTTTTTAGATTTTCATTGAAATCTTCGTCTTCTTCTTTTTAGATTTTCATTGAAATCTTCGTCGTCTTCTTTTTAGGTTTTCATTGAAATCTTCGTCTTCTTTTTAGATTTTCATTGAAATCTTCGTCTTCTTCTTTTTAGATTTTCATTGAAATCTTCGTCTTCTTTTTAGATTTTCATTGAAATCTTCGTCTTCTTCTTTTTAGATTTTCATTGAAATCTTCGTCTTCTTCTTTTTAGAATTTCATTGAAATCTTCGTCTTCTTCTTTTTAGATTTTCATTGAAATCTTCGTCTTCTTCTTTTTAGATTTTCATTGAAATCTTCGTCTTCTTCTTTTTAGATTTTCATTGAAATCTTCGTCTTCTTCTTTTTAGGTTTTCATTGAAATCTTCGTCGTCTTCTTTTTAAATTTTCATTGAAATCTTCGTCTTCTTCTTCGTTCTTTAATGTAATGACTTACTTAAGCTAATCCTGTGTGGCCCCTGGGGAGCGTAGGTCTGCAATTACACCTCTCCACCGGACTCGGTTTTGGGCAATTCTCCGTATATTCGCCCTAATTATATGCGTACGTACAGAATCCTAATTTTACACCAACGTACAGAACCCTAATTTTACACCATTTTACAGAACCCTAATTTTACACCAACTTACAGAACCCTAATTTTACACCAACTTACAGAACCCTAATTTTATGCGTACGTACAGAACCCTAATTTTATGCGTACGTACAGAACCCTAATTTTATGCGAACGTACAGAACCCTAATTTTACACCAACTTACAGAACCCTAATTTTACACCAACTTACAGAACCCTAATTTTATGCGAACGTACAGAACCCTATTTTTACAAGAACGAGCAAAACCTAATTTTTACAAGAATTAATCCAACGGGAAAATGAACAAGAAAAACTGTTTTAACTAGTTTTGAACCCTACTCTACGACCAAAATAACTTGATCGATTGTGTTGTTTATTAGAAAAGATATTGTCGAATCAGTCCTGGAGAGAGGTGGCATCCCTAAAGATGTAAACCTGCAAACCATACTCAGCGTTCAGTTTTCAAGCCCTGAAGGTATCATTTTGCATTCAGCTAGCTATGAAAGTTGTTTATGAATTAATTTTAATTAATTGTTAATACCTCCATACTCGATTATACTTACCTTTAGCACCAGCCACAGTTCCAAAAAAAATTAATTTTCAAGTTTATTTTTCAATAAAAGTAAGTAAAGTTTCCCTTTCAAACCTGACGGTCTTTGGGGCAAGTGAAGTAGAGTTTCTGTAACCTCGGCATATGAAGAGATAGTGTGTTCAGCCGCCTTTACTTTCCCTAACGTGAGTTAGGTACCCATCAGAGTTGGGTGGACTCAGGGACGGTATACTGATTTGAACCCGGATACGAAATCGAGACTTACGGGTTAGCAGTCCAGCTCTCTACCGCTAGACCACTCCGTCCCTTTTTTTTTCAATAGTGGTTAATAAATGTATTAAAATTATTGCGAGAACGTTCATATTCTACTCAAAATGTCGGCATGAAAATATTCTGACAAATACTCTAAATGCAGAAAAAGTGGACGTGTGCGGTAAACTAGTCTCAATGCCAGGGGTCGAGAAGTTTCAACTAAATAGGAGAGGGGAAGCAAATCAAGCAAGATTAAAGGTAAAAGTCGACGTTCTAATACTTACTGCTCGAGTTAAAAGGATGAGTGTATTACATAAAGTAAAAAGTAAAGAATTCTCTTTAGACCTAGCGATCCATTGTGTGGATAAAGTTCATATGTTTCTTGACATCGGAATTTAAAGGGAAGGTGTGATCGGCAGTCGGCGCCTTTACTTTCCTTTTATTCTTCTTCTTCGTTTTTAATTTTAGTGTTGAAACGGATCCTCTCCAACACTATACGGACTCGAGACTTTTCAGTTTAGCAACCATGAGCTTTACCGACTCGACCACGCTGACCCCTTTCCCTAACGCAAGTTCAGGTACCCATCACAAGCTGAGTGGACTCAGGGACGATCTACTGACTTGGACCCGGATTCAAACTCGAGACTTTCTAGATGTTAGAATACTTCTCATCAGAGGCGTAGTGACCCTTCCCGGCGCCCGGGGACAAACACTTTTCGATTAGCACCCCCCTCCTTAAGATTTCGATTTGCACCCCCTCACCTTTCAATTTACTTTTCCAACCTATTTTGGCACCCCCTAAGGTCGGCGCCCGGGGACATATGTCCCCCCCCCCCGCCCCCCCCCCCCCCCCCCCTCACTACGCTACTGCTTCTCATCTTGACTGGTAACCACGTTATGTCCCTAACTATTTGCTGGTAGACCTCAACGAACATACAGTATACCACGAATGCCAGAGTAACCAGGGCCTTTCCACACTAAATCTAATAACTAATTAGTTGCATTTATTTAAATACTAAATCAATAAAGCAAACGAGATTTTATTGTTTAATTTTAGGGTAAAACATTTGATAAGACCCAGGTAGGTGACTCATATAAATCGACAGGCTAGGCTCGACATCAGAGGCGTAGCGACCCTTTCCGGCGCCCGGGGACAAACTTTTCGTTTTGCAACCCCCCTCCCCTCAAGATTTCTATTTGCCCCCCCCCCCCCCCGCTCAAACTCTAGATTTGCACCCCCCTCAAGATAAGATTTCGATTTCCACCCCCACCCCCCTCAAACTTTCGATTTGCACCCCCCTCAACATTTCAATTTATTTTTCCAACCCATTTTGGCGCCCCCTAAGGTCGGCGCCCGAGGACATATCCCCCCCCCCCCTCGCTACGCTACTGCTGGACATATGAGGCTCGTTAGCTGGTGACAGCAACCCTCTTAGGAGAGACAACTCCAAAATCAAACAACTGCTGCCTTGTAGTTTGTTCTTGGTTGGACAAGAAATTGTTGGCTGAAATCGGTCAACAGCCTCAATGCCGAACAACCAGTTGACACGTATACTTACTTCCAATACTAAAAATTAAGAAAGAAAAAGAAAAAGACAAACTAGGCTTAAGAAACTTGAACTCAATTATGCATGCACGGGTTTTATATTTCTCCGAGGGCTTGTTTCCTGGACCTTTCTTCCATTTTCACTCAAACATAATGAATTCGGTTCTCATACAAATCATAATTATTAATCATTCAAGTGTTGTTGTTTTTTTGTAAAGTGTCAATTGAATTTTTAAAATGAAAAAGGTTTTGTTCATAATTTAATCAGTATTCTGTTTTATTTTAAATAACTGGTTTCATGTGGGTTGTTTAGCTAGGCGCAGAAATCTATCGCAGAAAGCCTGCCTTAAACTGGGATTTGAAGTCTGATGTCAAGTACACAGTGCTGTTCTGGGACGTGGGGCTGCTCAAAGTCCGTGGATATTGGTCCGGCGTCACTAAATCAGATGAGAAAATTATGGGCAAGGTATGTCGTTTGGGGGTCTGTTGGTCCGGCGTCACTAAATCAGATGACAAAATTATGGGCAAGGTATGTCGTTTGGGGGACTGGATATTGGTCCGGCGTGAATAAATCAGATGACAAAATTATGGGCAAGGTATGTCGTTGGTGGTTTGTGGATATTGGTCCGGCGTGAATAAATCAGATGACAAAATTATGGGCAAGGTATGTCGTTGGTGGTTTGTGGATATTGGTCCGGCGTCACTAAATCAGCTGAGAAAATTATGGGCAAGGTATGTCGTTTGGTGTATGTGGATATTGGTCCGGCGTCACTAAATCCAATGACAAAATTATGGGCAAGGTATGTCGTTGGCAGATCGTCGTGTAGGACTTGTGCGGCGTTTGAACAAACGCCGATACCAGCGGTTTCTTGTCTGGGATTAATCCAGAGGCGTAGCGTACTATTCCGGTGCCCGGGGCGAACTATCAGTACTACAACCCCCCGCCCCCACCCATTTTTTTTTTAAATTTATTCACGTTGAAGAAAAAGCGTCATTCCCCTCCCCCTCCCACATGTGGTTGCATTTTTTCGCCGTATCATAAACCGCCCTTAGAGCCAAGTAGCCTTCTTTTACTTAATTGAAACTGTAATGCAGCTTAAAATAAGCTTTTTATTTTTTTTTTATATCCAATTTGGCGTCCCTTAGGGTCGGTGCCAGGGACGGCCGCCCGCCCTCCCCTAGCTACGCTTCCGGTTAAATCGAAACTCAGGTATTCGGGGCGTCCGTGTTATTGGTTCTGTGGCTGTCCAGACATACAACCGATTCATACGGTTAAGGATCAGGTTTTGGCAGGGAGTAGGATAGAACTGTTAAGATGGGTTGGGTGAATGCGCATATGAAACTGGTGAGGTGGAATCTGGTGAGGTTGTATCTGGTGAGGTTGTATCTGGTGAGGTTGTATCTGGTGAGATTGTATCTTGTGAGGTTGTATCTGGTGAGGTTGTATCTGGTGAGGTTGTATCTGGTGAGGTTGTATCTGGTGAGGTTGTATCTGGTGAGATTGTATCTGGTGAGGTTGTATCTGGTGAGGTTGTATCTGGTGAGGTTGTATCTGGTGAGATTGTATCTGGTGAGGTTGTATCTGGTGAGGTTGTATCTGGTGAGGTTGTATCTGGTGAGGTTGTATCTGGTGAGGTTGTATCTGGTGAGGTTGTATCTGGTGAGGTTGTATCTGGTGAGGTTGTATCTGGTGAGGTTGTATCTGGTGAGGTTATATCTGGTGAGGTTGTATCTGGTGAGGTTATATCTGGTGAGGTTGTATCTGGTGAGGTTGTATCTTCAGAAAGGGAAGTAACCGCTGTCCCATACTCTTACGTATTTTAAATTCTAGAAATATAACACTGTTGCATGGGTTATGTATACGTATGAGTGTTTTTGAAACAAACTGATTTCTGTTTGCTTTTTTAAACGACTTTGTCGAGGTATACGCTAGGCTAGGTTGATAGATCACACCTACACTACTGGTAACACAAATCTTTTGTACCCTCTTTCAACAGAGGAACATGCCATACGAACCGCCGGCTAATCCATCAAAAACTGTAAATCCTATCCTAATCCTTATTGTCAAGGAATCCGGCGGCTTTGATTCAACCGTAATTGTGAATAAATGTATGCACAGGGTAGTAAGTAAGGAAGGTGCTGAGGAATGTCGGAAGGCGGTCATCGCAATGATCGGGGACGTTGCAAGTGAGAATACATCATTCATTTCAAGCATTCCATTGCACGTTCGGGCTATCAAGTTATTCGTTTACTTGATTCCCCGAGCTTGCTGTTATCTGTAATTATGGGAGGTAACTTGCCACGAGAGGTTGCCCCTCTTCTATCGATCGAACCAATCGATCAGGATAACTTAACATTTTGGCATCATTAGAGTTTTTACTTTTATTTTTAGACATAATTCAAATTACTAAATAAAAAGCTGGAGTGGCTTAGCGGTAGAGAGCTAGACTGCTAACCCGTAAGTCTCGAGTAGACCGTCCTTTAGTCTACCCAACTCTGATGGGTACCTAACTCACGTTAGGGAAAGTAAAGGCGACTGGCATAGTGCTGACCACACTATCCATTCTTATGCCGAGGTCCCAGAAACAGGTGAACTCTACTTCACTTGCCCCGTAGAACGTCAGGTTTAAAAGGGAACCTTATTATATAAACAACTAATCTTAAACAGAACGCATTCTGTTCGTTGTAATAACGCACAAGTATTTATTGTTACACATGGTAAAATATATTAAAGTCTTACAAAAAACTATAACAGAAGATATTTAATTAAAATGTTTACATAAACAAATGTGTGTACATGACTAAAAAGTAGTAAATACATTATTTTCTATAAATATTAAAAACATAACGCTTTATTAAACTATAAATAAAATCGTAGGTTAATATATTGTATAGACCTAATTTTAAAAGTATGGAAAGTTGTAGAACATATCTAAAACAGAGACTTTTAAACCGTCTAAAATATTATAGGCCAATATATGTTCCGAGTTGTATAATATTCTCACGCACTACTGATCAGGTAGTCAAATACTGATAAAAGTATGCTTGCGTCTGAATACCCTTCATACAACTTCATGATTTAACCACACAAAAATTATTAGTATTTTAAAATCATTTTAAAAATGCATATAGTTATATATATATATATATATATATATATATATATATATATATATATATATATATATATATGTATATATATATATATACATATATATATATATATATATATATATATATATATATATATATATATATATATATATATATATATATATATATATATATAACGCATGATGAACATACTATTGTTTTTCAAAATATTTTGAAAATGTTTTCAACTAGTGTTTTCTTTTTTTTTTTTTCAAAATTGATTTTGCAAAAACAGATATTATCGGCATGCAAGCCTACTATACCGATGGCTCTTCACTTTATGAACAGTACAGGGCATGCACTGAAGGCTACATCTGCTCCACAGAATGCATTGCTAAATATCAGGCTTGTATGTCTGTAAACACATTTTTTAGCACTTCTGTTTCCATAATTATGTTTCGAGTGTGTTTTATCGTTGACAATAGCAAACGGCTGAAGCCGAGACATGGGCAGAGGGGAGCCGGTGGGATCTAATTAACCATAATTAACTTAAGTTTTAATGTTATCATTGTTAGATTTATTTTGGATAAAATTAAATAAAAAAATATTCATGCGGTGAAACTGAATAAACGTTCAGGAAAGTGTTATTGAAAGTATGAATTCGTTATGAAACCATATATATATATATGGTGTATATATATGGTATATATATATATGGTATATATATATGGTATATATATATATATATATATGGTATATATATATGGTATATATATATGGTATATATATATATATATATATATATATACATATATATATATATATATATATATATATATATATATATATATATATATATATATATATATATATATATATATGTACTTTCAGATGCATGTGATGAATACAAGAAAATCACTTTTACTACGCTGCAAGCAGACAAACTTGATATGTTCGTTAGCATAAAATTTTATTCCCTGTATAATGAAGTTATAACTGCGACCAAATGTGGAGCAGGCAGTCAAATGACTGTCCCGTAAGTGTTTACAATTTACATGCTAGATATCATCTTGTTGTTTCTTTGCGTTGCGCATTTTTCACTTTCTTAATACTGTTTAGACCTCTGAATTATAGTATGAGATTATAAAGTTTTATTCACCCAAACAAAAAAGTTCATTTCGTGGAGTATTTCTGTTTCCTTATGCACCTTATACATTAAGTTGATATAACTTTCCCCATGTAGTTTTAGTATGATGTAGCGCTTTAATGAGTTAGAAATAACATCTATTACACGAATATAAGTTTAACATATCTGGCATTGTTGTTATTATTTGTTTTACAAGTACACTGTAGTTTTTTTTGTTTATTTATTTATTTCCTTATGCTTAAACACGTTTACATCTTTTTGATCAACGTGAAATATTGATTTTTATTATCTCAAATAGACAAATCCTGCTTACTGTTTATATTGTGCATCATTTTGGCTGGTGTTTTTTTCACAATATTTTTTTTAGCCTCAGACATGTAATTTACAACGTCAGTTTGCTTTGCATGTTCGCTTTAGTATAACAGTTTTCATCATCGGCTTGTGAGGACTGATACAGATTTACAATAGTAATACTTCTTGCTTACTTGTAGCCTACTTTCATTCATTTAAGATGGTTTACTTATACATAGATCTAATACAAAACACATCTAATTACAATTAATAACCTGAAAATGCAAATGTGTAATTAAATAATGATCCAAGGGATGTTTTTTTCCTTCGGCGTGGTGGGCTGAGGGGAGTTTAGTGTTTTAAGTAGAACTGAAATAAATTTGGGATTGCAGAAAATTAAAATGATACAAATTTTAAGCAACCGGAAAGATTATGTTGATTACGATAAATCAAACATTCTTCCCTTCCAAATATTTATATCTATAGCATTTTTTTAAAATTCATGAATTAATTTTAAACATTTAATATAGTAATAAAATAATTTATTTGGTAGTTTTACACAGCTTCAAGGACATGAACATCAATTGCATATATAGTAATTACAGGGAGAAAATAAAATGGCATAAGAACTCAGTTTCTTTTGAGTGCTTAGTTTACTGTGCCCCATCCTTAGCTGCGAAGTCAAAAGTTCACATTGTAGCCACCCATGACCAGAAACAGAAACTACCCTGGGAGAAGGTTCTCTGTATACTGATCTATCATTCCAGAATTTTCCATGACACAAAATTGACCCCTCGCCATGAGGGTACGCTGCCCTTGATTTTTCCGCCAGTCCGGTTGGGTGGGGGGAAGTGTGTGTGTGTGTGGGGGGGGGGAGGTGAGTACCTCATTCTACCATTCAGATTGTGCCCTTTTAAAGCCTGAGAAACCTAAGACAGTACTAACGTTAATTTACTCTGGGTCTGATCGAGTGATGTTTGGCTTGAGACTGTCTTAATTAAAATTAATACTTTATTAATGTATATATATATATATATAAGTAGTAGTATATTAGGTCGCTTTTGGTTAGTATTCCTGGCGGAGGTGGGGAGGGTGAGGAACAATGACATATAGGAAAATACTCGGGAGCAGGATGCGCGCCTGGTACAATGACATATAGCAAAATACTCCCAGCCTGGCGCATCGGGAGGGTAAGGGTGGGTGAGCAGGATGCGCAGCCTGGTACAACGACATATAGTAAAATACTACGCCAACTAGGGTTGGCGGAGGTGGTGGGGAAGTAGGTCACCTTTTGGTGACCTTGTGACGTAATCATTGACCTTGTGACGTCATCATTGACCTAGTTACGTAATTTTAATGCGTTTTTAATGAGTTTTAATGAGTTTTAAAAATTTTAATTAATTTTTATTATCGAGTTACGTAATTTAATTACTTTGATTGTATTTTTATTTTGTTTAATTTGTTTGTTTTTAATTTTATTTTATTTTATAATTAGTTAAATTATTATTAACTAGTTACGTAATTTGATTTTAATTTTTTAAATTTTTAAATTTTTAATTTTATTTTATAATTAATTTTAATTTTAATTTAATTACTTTGTTTATATTGTGTAATTTTTATTGACTAGTGACGTAATTTGATTTTAATTTTTTTAATTTTTAATTATTTTTTAATTTTTAAAATTTTTAAAATATTTTTTAACTTTTATTTTTTTTAATTTTAAATTTTTTAAATTTGTTTATTTGTTTACTTTTTGTTTAATTTGCTGGTTTGTTTATTTGATTGTATGTATGTTTTAAATAAAAGACTAACACTAGCATGTACTAGAACAGTCTTTGTATACCAGCCTTTAACCAGCCGGGCAACATGTGTTACTTATCGATCCGCAATCCTTTGTTTTTGTCAAACACTGGACAAGGTCCAAGTACACGGTTCGAGTTAATATTGGTAACACCCAAAATTATTATTAACTAGGTACGTAATTTGATTTTAATTACTTTTGTTTATTTATTTATTTGATATATTTCTTTTCTTTGTTGTTTATTTATTTGAATGTATGTATGTTTTAAATAAAAGACTAACACTAGCACGAACGTTACAAAAATATAACATCCATTAAAGATAACGATCAGCCACAGCTGTTACGTATCGACCCGCCCGCGAAGTTTTCTCACCGCTACCCGTTTTAATGGGAATGTATTGATCGCAGCCGCTGGCCCATCACAGCATGATGTCCCACCTAATTAAATTTTTTGTTATGCTTCACCGAGTTACCCCCGCTCGGTTGACGGGTTATGGTAATTAACGACATACATTAAGTAGCTTTCCGCGAAGCACTTAGGTCATTATGCAACAGCTGTTGTGCGACAGCTGTTGCTGTAATTAGTCACGGCTCTCGGCTTTTTTCATTAGACTACAGCTGTACATGAACTATGTTCACATATCATACGCCCGGTCATTCTTTGATCAAATTAAAAAATTTTGTTTCCACATGTCATGCGAACCGTCCCTTGCTATGTATGAAAGATTAATGGTTGTAACTATTCGCTTATAGCGAGGGTCAGCGAAAACAAAAATATATTTAAGGGTCGGAATTTTCTTTCAACCACCGTTAAGTCAGGTTTTGAGACGAAACGAAGTCTCGGTAGGTTCGTGTTTTTTAATGGGCGACAGGGCGACTTGGGGCGTTGGTACGTAGGTATGCGGGGTAGACATGTTTTTTACAAGTCTGGAAAAGTAATTACGTTTTTTTATGACCGTTCCGATTTTCTTTTGATCTGACCACCATTTGACCACACTGAGCCAGATAAATTTAACAATCGTCGCAGCGGGGTTTATTTTAAGTGCACCCCGTGCACGCTTGTTTACATTTTAAAAGACGTGTCGCGTGTCTTCCCCTTACGGCTTCCCTAATAGAGAAACGAGAGGAAAGACAACTGTTCTAAAATTAGAACAGCCTTGTTTACAGCCACGAGTATCGTCCCTTGTGAAAAAATTCGCGTCAGAATCATTAACTAAACATTCAATTTCTTTAACAAGTTAAAAAATAATTTAGGAAGACAAGGGTTAACAACATTAGACGCCACCGTTTTTGTTTCCTGCGACGACAAGGCACAATACATTTTTTTATTTTATGTCTCAAGTAGAGGGGTGGGATATTTTTTCTTTGTAAGCGTGTTGTAAACAATAGGTAGACGAAGCGATTACTAAGTAAGAGGGGAGAGAAGTGACGTACATCGCGATATTTGAAAACATGGCGATGTTTAACCTCAACCAAAAAAGGCAATGAACCTAGAAGGAAGACGAATATATATCTTAGTCTTGCAGCAGATTACCTTCCCATGTTCGCTTTAGTATTACAGTTTTCATCAATCTTCTTTTTGACTTGAACTTCTTTAATTTTTAAGAAAGTTTACTTATACATAATACATTACGTCTAATGACAATTTTTTTATTTTTACCACTCATGTATTTTCTTTTTTCTATATCTTACATTGTCATCTTAATTTTTGATCACCTTAGGTGGTGGTAAGGTGGTAAGGTGGTGGTAAGGTGGTGGTAAGGTGGTGGTAAATTTGCTTAAGATTATAAACTTCAAGTTTTAAAAATCAACAACGTTATAGTACGTCGTGTCAAATGACACACCGTTAAAATGTCTACATTTAAATTTCACCAAAATAATGATGTATAAACTAAATATGATATGACGTTAACATACATATCATTCAATCTAATCACTCTAAAGTACAAATCAATAATTTTTATTGATTAAGGGGCTGGGTGAGTTATTTTTATCACTATTCACCCTTCCCCTTCCCTTTGTCCGCAACCCCTTTCCCCTTCTCCCATCCAACCTTGCGTCATCACACTAACCTCAATACCAACCGCTAGATACACAGACCGTACCACTACCCATTCTATTCCATTTAAGAGACAAAGGCTGTATGACAATCCTAAAGACAAATATTTATTCAACTAATATCACAACCCCTAGACACTACTCCAACAGACTGGGCTATGTAAGTTGTAGACGCCACTCCTCGTTGAATATCTCTTGCACCCTACCTACATCGACAACTTTGTCCACCGCCCTCGCCCTATCCCTAAACACCCGCTTGATAAACACACCATACCACTACCCACACTATTCCCTTGGACAGACAAAGGACAAAGTAACAGACAAACATTTATCCCCCTTCGTTTACTGTCACAAGTGACAACGTTCCCATCCAACTCCGAAACATCCATGCCCCAATTTCGAAACCAACCTCGTTGAAAACTCCCCTGACCCTAGTTTAACTTTGCCTCACCGATTCCAAAACAGTCCTGGACCAAACATCCATGTACCAATTTTGAAACCTGTCTTGTTGAAAACAAAAAGACCGTCCCACTCTAGTGTAAACTCTACCCCGATCAACTCCGAAACAGGGATGGTCCTCGTTTGAAACCTGCCTCGGTGAAAACAAAATCCTTCCCACTCTAGTATAGACTCGGCCTCTAACACTTCAAAAACATCCCTGTACCAACTTTGAAACACAACTCGGTGAAACCCAAACTCCCCCAACGCTAGTTTAAACTCTTCCCTCATCACTTCAAAAACATCCCTGTACCAACTTTGAAACACGCATCGGTGAAACCCATACTCCCCCCGACGCTAGTTTAAACTCTACACCAATCGATTCCAAAACATGCCTGTAACAACTTTGAAACCGGCCTCGATGAAAACAAAAACCATCCCCCCGTAGTATAGACTCGGCCCCTAACACTTCCAAAACATGCATGTACTAACTTTGAAATCACCCTCGGTGAAAACTTCACCGACCCTAGTATGGACTCTATACCTATCGAGTCCAAAACATGCATGTTCCGAGTTCAAAACCAACCTTCACCGACACTAGTATGAACTCGGCTACCAACAATTCCAAAACATGCATGTTCCGAGTTCAAAACCAACCTTCACCGACACTAGTATGAACTCGGCTACCAACGATTCCCAATCATGCATGTACCAACTTTCCAACCTGCCTCAGTGCTAACAAAATTCCCCGACCCTAGTATGAACTCGACTGCCAACAATTCCTAAACATCCATGTACCAACTTTGTAACCTGCCTCGGTGAAAACTTCACCGACCTTAGTTTAACTCTCCCTAACAATTCCAATGATGCATGTACGAACTTTGTAACCTGCCTCGGTTAAAACACCCCCGTCCCTAGTATGAACTCGGTTACCAACAATTTCTAAACATGCATGTTCCGAGTTCAAAACCAACCTTCACCGACACTAGTATGAACTCGGCTACCAACAATTCCTAAACATGCATGTACCAACTTTGCAACCTACCTCGGTGTTAACAAAAACTCCCCTGACCCTAGTATGGACTCTACACCTACCGATTTCAAAACATGCATGTTCCGAGTTCAAAACCAACCTTCACCGACACTAGAATGAACTCGGCTACCAACAATTCCTAAACATGCATGTACCAACTTTGCAACCTACCTCGGTGTTAACAAAAACTCCCCTGACCCTAGTATGGACTCTACACCTACCGATTCCAAAACATGCATGTTCCGAGTTCAAAACCAACCTTCACCGACACTAGTATGAACTCTAGCCCTACCGATTCCAAAACATACATGTTCCAAGTTCAAAACCAACCTTCACCGACCCTAGTATGAACACGGCCCCTAACAATTCCAAGGATGCCTGTACCAACTTTACAACCTGCCTCAGTGTTAGCAAAACTCCCCGACCCTAGTATGAACGCGACTGCCAACAATTCCTAAACATGCATGTCCCAGCTTTGTAACCTGCCTCGGTGAAAACTTCACCGACCCTAGTATGAACGCGACTGCCAACAATTCCTAAACATGCATGTCCCAACTTTGTAACCTGCCTCGGTGAAAACTTCACCGACCCTAGTATGGACTCTCTACCTATCAATTCTAAAACATGGATGTATCAACTTCGAAACATCCCTCTGTGTTAACAAAACTCCCGCGACCCTACTATAGACTCGACCCCTAACGATTCCAAAACATGTATGGTCTAGCTTCGAACCCTGCCTCGGTGAAAACGTCACCGACTCTAGTATGAACGGTGCCCCTACCCAACTCCAAACCTTCCCTGGGCACCCGAATAAAAAATAACTCACCCAGCCCCTTAATCAATAAAAATTATTGATTTGTACTTTAGAGTGATTAGATTGAATGATATGTATGTTAACGTCATATCATATTTAGTTTATACATCATTATTTTGGTGAAATTTAAATGTAGACATTTTAACGGTGTGTCATTTGACACGACGTACTATAACGTTGTTGATTTTTAAAACTTGAAGTTTATAATCTTAAGCAAATTTACCACCACCTTACCACCACCTTACCACCACCTTACCACCTTACCACCACCTAAGGTGATCAAAAATTAAGATGACAATGTAAGATATAGAAAAAAGAAAATACATGAGTGGTAAAAATAAAAAAATTGTCATTAGACGTAATGTATTATGTATAAGTAAACTTTCTTAAAAATTAAAGAAGTTCAAGTCAAAAAGAAGATTGATGAAAACTGTAATACTAAAGCGAACATGGGAAGGTAATCTGCTGCAAGACTAAGATATATATTCGTCTTCCTTCTAGGTTCATTGCCTTTTTTGGTTGAGGTTAAACATCGCCATGTTTTCAAATATCGCGATGTACGTCACTTCTCTCCCCTCTTACTTAGTAATCGCTTCGTCTACCTATTGTTTACAACACGCTTACAAAGAAAAAATATCCCACCCCTCTACTTGAGACATAAAATAAAAAAATGTATTGTGCCTTGTCGTCGCAGGAAACAAAAACGGTGGCGTCTAATGTTGTTAACCCTTGTCTTCCTAAATTATTTTTTAACTTGTTAAAGAAATTGAATGTTTAGTTAATGATTCTGACGCGAATTTTTTCACAAGGGACGATACTCGTGGCTGTAAACAAGGCTGTTCTAATTTTAGAACAGTTGTCTTTCCTCTCGTTTCTCTATTAGGGAAGCCGTAAGGGGAAGACACGCGACACGTCTTTTAAAATGTAAACAAGCGTGCACGGGGTGCACTTAAAATAAACCCCGCTGCAACGATTGTTAAATTTATCTGGCTCAGTGTGGTCAAATGGTGGTCAGATCAAAAGAAAATCGGAACGGTCATAAAAAAACGTAATTACTTTTCCAGACTTGTAAAAAACATGTCTACCCCGCATACCTACGTACCAACGCCCCAAGTCGCCCTGTCGCCCATTAAAAAACACGAACCTACCGAGACTTCGTTTCGTCTCAAAACCTGACTTAACGGTGGTTGAAAGAAAATTCCGACCCTTAAATATATTTTTGTTTTCGCTGACCCTCGCTATAAGCGAATAGTTACAACCATTAATCTTTCATACATAGCAAGGGACGGTTCGCATGACATGTGGAAACAAAATTTTTTAATTTGATCAAAGAATGACCGGGCGTATGATATGTGAACATAGTTCATGTACAGCTGTAGTCTAATGAAAAAAGCCGAGAGCCGTGACTAATTACAGCACCAGCTGTCGCACAACAGCTGTTGCATAATGACCTAAGTGCTTCGCGGAAAGCTACTTAATGTATGTCGTTAATTACCATAACCCGTCAACCGAGCGGGGGTAACTCGGTGAAGCATAACAAAAAATTTAATTAGGTGGGACATCATGCTGTGATGGGCCAGCGGCTGCGATCAATACATTCCCATTAAAACGGGTAGCGGTGAGAAAACTTCGCGGGCGGGTCGATACGTAACAGCTGTGGCTGATCGTTATCTTTAATGGATGTTCTATTTTTGTAACGTTCGTGCTAGTGTTAGTCTTTTATTTAAAACATACATACATTCAAATAAATAAACAACAAAGAAAAGAAATATATCAAATAAATAAATAAACAAAAGTAATTAAAATCAAATTACGTACCTAGTTAATAATAATTTTGGGTGTTACCAATATTAACTCGAACCGTGTACTTGGACCTTGTCCAGTGTTTGACAAAAACAAAGGATTGCGGATCGATAAGTAACACATGTTGCCCGGCTGGTTAAAGGCTGGTATACAAAGACTGTTCTAGTACATGCTAGTGTTAGTCTTTTATTTAAAACATACATACAATCAAATAAACAAACCAGCAAATTAAACAAAAAGTAAACAAATAAACAAATTTAAAAAATTTAAAATTAAAAAAAATAAAAGTTAAAAAATATTTTAAAAATTTTAAAAATTAAAAAATAATTAAAAATTAAAAAAATTAAAATCAAATTACGTCACTAGTCAATAAAAATTACACAATATAAACAAAGTAATTAAATTAAAATTAAAATTAATTATAAAATAAAATTAAAAATTTAAAAATTTAAAAAATTAAAATCAAATTACGTAACTAGTTAATAATAATTTAACTAATTATAAAATAAAATAAAATTAAAAACAAACAAATTAAACAAAATAAAAATACAATCAAAGTAATTAAATTACGTAACTCGATAATAAAAATTAATTAAAATTTTTAAAACTCATTAAAACTCATTAAAAACGCATTAAAATTACGTAACTAGGTCAATGATGACGTCACAAGGTCAATGATTACGTCACAAGGTCACCAAAAGGTGACCTACTTCCCCACCACCTCCGCCAACCCTAGTTGGCGTAGTATTTTACTATATGTCGTTGTACCAGGCTGCGCATCCTGCTCACCCACCCTTACCCTCCCGATGCGCCAGGCTGGGAGTATTTTGCTATATGTCATTGTACCAGGCGCGCATCCTGCTCCCGAGTATTTTCCTATATGTCATTGTTCCTCACCCTCCCCACCTCCGCCAGGAATACTAACCAAAAGCGACCTAATATACTACTTATATATATATATATATATATATATATATATATATATATATATGTATATATATATATGTATGTATATATATATATATATATATATATATATATATATATATATATATATATATTCTTTTTTATTAAAGTGAGAGATCCCAGTCTATGTCTTAGCTTTGCTTTAAATATTTCTTTTAACTCGATGTCAGCGTATTTTTAAAACAGAACCTGATCTTATTCTTTATTTCCCTATATAGTCGATCTATAAATAGCCGTTGCTACTAGTCTGTTTTCGTCTTCTGTTCTTTGCCTTGTCGTCTTAAGTGTGATTGTTTTATTTGTTATGACTGTTTGATTGGTATTTTTAATATTTTCGCAAGTGTTTGCTTTGCTTTCTGTACTAATATACAATCTAAATAAATGTGTTTCTCAGTTTCTTGTATATTTTGTTTACACGTTTGAAGTGCTATTTTAACATTTTGATTTGACTTTGTATTTCATTAGGATGTATGAGCTCCGACCCTTGCCGGGGGAGAACACGAAAATTGATCAAAACTATCAAGTTTCCGATCAGCTGTTAAACTACTATGTCCATTTTGTGCTAGAAATCTCCGGTTCTGCCGCTCAACTTGCAGGTATTATAGATTTACAAATAAAAAGATACAGTGTATGGTGATCAGTCAGTATGTTGGTTAACTTTATGTCAATTGTTATTTTTCAATTATCAGTTTTAGAGCATTTAATTTAACAAAAACTAATTGTTACGTCCCTTTACATAAAGCGTCCCCCTGATTGAGGGTGTATTGTGTGTGTTTTTTTTTTGGGATATAGTTATAGCCCTTGGTTGAGTGTGTTTATATAGAACGTAAGGGTTGCCAAATGACGAGTGACAGAGAGTGTGCTAGGGTGTGTGGCAGTTGGTTGGCGTGTGGGTTCGGAGGAGGACGTGGGGTGTGTTAAGTATTGTGCATCGTTTTTCGTGTTGTAAACATTTCATTAATAATTATATTATTTTGGTATTATATATATATATATATATATATATATATATATATATATATATATATATATATATATATATATATATATATATATATATATATATATATATATATATATATATATATATACAATATATTTTTTTTTTCTTAGTATTATCATTAGTGTTTTCTATTCTGTTGTATCCTACACTAGACGCTTTGTTTTGACTCTGAATACCACTAGTCAGAAAAACCCAACACAAATCAGGTTCCAAAACACACATCAGTTGCAATGAGTACAATAAGACAGTGCCTTTAGCAGTAATCAGTATATTACTTTTCTTGCAAATAATTACAAAAAAACATCTTTCAAAAATAATTATGTCATTGATTTCAAATGCAGTGATTGATCGATACTGATCCATTTTTTACTGCATCATATACAATTGAATACAGTCTAATAATTTTGAAGTAATGATTAAAATTAATGCTAAATTATCTCCTCCAAAAATCGCTTCATCAACAGAAACCTCCACCTTTTATGCCGTTCTTATTGTGTCCCCTGATGGGCACATTAACAAGGGAGACTACGACCATCCCGTTGGCTGTTTATTTTATGCCAATATGCACTTGCCATGTAAGTGTTCCGTAGCCTCCATTCTACATATTAAGTTAAACATATCTAACCATGGCCACAGGACATTATCTCCCCCCCCCCCCGGAAATTAACCCCCGGACATTTCACCTCTTATTTACCCCCCGGAGCAATTACCCCCCTGTCAATTACACCGGGGTGTTACCCCCTCCCCCCCAAGATAGAATCCTAACTCTAAGTAGAATTCTATACCTATATATTACCTTAATCCTAACCTTAAGAAAAAGACAAAAACCTAAGCATCCACCTCAGCCTAAAACCTAGCACATTACCAAAACCAACGCTAGACATTGGTTTAAGCCTAACCCTAACCCTAACCCTAGCAATAGCCCTAACCCTAACCCTAATCCTAGCCCTAGCCCTAGCCCTAGCCCTAGCCCCAGCCCTAGCCCTAGCCCTAGCCCTAGCCCTAGCCCTAGCCCTAGCCCTAGCCCTAGCCCTAGCCCTAGCCCTAGCCCTAGCCCTAGCCCTAGCCCTAGCCCTAGCCCTAGCCCTAACCCTAACCATAACCCTAGCCCTAGCCCTAGCCCTAGCCCTAGCCCTAGCCCTAGCGCTAGCCCAAGCCCTAACCCTAGCCCTAGCCCTAGCCCTAGCCCTAGCCCAAGCCCTAGCCCTAGCCCTAACCTTAACCCTAACCCTAGCCCTAAACCTAGCCTTAACCCTAACTCTAGGCCTAACAATGTCCGGGGGGGGGGTAATGTCCTACTGGGCGGGAGGTAATAGGCAAGGGGTAATTACTCCGGGGGTAATGTCGGGGGATGTCTGGGGGGTAATTGACATGTTCCCTTAACCCTACACCAGTTGTATGATATTTCTACACTTTCGTATTGGTATTAAAACTGTTACTAAATTATTAGGATTTATATTTGAACTAATTTGACCCTCATGTTTTCAAAACTGCCATCACTTCGTTTCAGTTTTCAATTTTCAATTGCAATTTTCAACGTGTGGTTTATTTGTATGTGCTTTTGGTTATCAAATTCCACATTTTCTTCAAATTACAGTAAATATTTCAAGCATTGATAAGAAAACGAATATTATCCAAGAATATACCAGAGTACAACAGCTACACAATGATGCCCACTATTTTATTTTACTGTACTCTCACAAAGAAAAGATTTCCAGTAATCCCCTCTGGTAAGTCAATGAACCTGCATCTTAATAAGGGCTGGGGACTAAAAATCCAATTAAACATGTGATAATATGTAAAACCATGTGTGGTTGCAGCCTTTTGCTCCCCGGGGGCCACAAAGGAACGATGATGATGATGAATATGTAAAACCTTCTAAAATGAACAAAGAACAATAAACATAAGCTTATTAAGAAACAATGAAATGGATAAAATTGGTAGTTTAAAATAGAATAAATGCATATTAATTAGTACGATAAGTCAAAGCATTTGGGTTGAAACGTGCTTCTTACATACAACAAGCTAATTTGAAAAAAAAAAGTAACTTTTAACGACTGGCTCAATACAAGCACTATTTTAACTTAATCTACAAACGTCAGATAAAGAGTAGAGGTAATAATTTAATAGAAGAAACGGTGAACAAAAAGAGGCCGTAAAAAAAACTAGATTTTTAAAAATAATGTGTTCTTTTATTGGAACACTTCACTGTTAAAATGTAGTATTCTTAGTATGCGCATTGGGTTATTGACATATGAGTGATTTGTCGCAAGTCGGCTTTCTATTTTAAAGCTCAGAGTGTTCAGTTCGGTGTATTTTTAGTGTGATGCAGTGTTTTGTTTTGTACTTTTGGTTAGTGTTTAGTTTTATGTTTGGTTACTGTGATGTAGTGTTTAGTTTTTTGTTTTTGTTTAGCGTTTAGTTGTATGTTTGGTTAGTGTGATGCAGTGTTTAGTTTTGTGTTTTTGGTTAGTGTTTAGTTTTATGTTTGGTTAGTGTGATGCAGTGTTTAGTTTTGTATTTTTGGTTAGTGTGAAATAGTGTTTAGTTTTGTATTTTTGGTTAGTGTTTAGTTTTATGTTTGTTTAGTGTAATGTAGTGTTTAGTTTTATATTTTTGGTCATTGTAATGTAGTGTTTAGTTTTGTGTTTTTGGTTAGTGTTTAGTTTTGTGTTTGGTTAGTGTGATGTAGTGTTTAGTTTTGCATTTTTGGTTAGTGTGATGTAGTGTTTAGTTTTGTGTGGGGTAGTGTTATGTAGTGTTTAGTTTTGTGTTTTTGGTTAGTGTTCAGTTTTATGTTTGGTTAGTGTGATGTAGTGTTTAGTTTTGTATTTTTGGTTAGTGTGATGTAGTGTTTAGTTTTGTGTGGGGTAGTGTTATGTAGTATTTAGTTTTGTAAGAGTTTCTTTCGTTGTGATAAGTTGAGTGGTTTGTTATATAATTGTTTTTTTTTAAATATCTCACGTATACAATTGTTTTTTTTAACGTACCCTAAACTGGGCCTTCTTGTTTTAGTGCAAACGTGGATAAAAAATCCTGCGATGAGTGGTGGGATCTAAGCAAGCTGCCTAACGACTTTTACCTAAGAGGGGTTAACTGGTTCATTGCAGGCATGGATAATTATTTAGGTAAGCATCGATCACGAAATTTGATTAGTATTATAATAATCTTACCATTTACTGATCAATGTATTTAAGTATTAATTAATATATAGTTTTACTTTTTTTTTAAATAACCAACGTGTGATGTACCATCCTGTTTTACAAATAACTAAGCTTTTCTTTGTTAACTTATTTCGTTAACAATCATATTGCGTTTTTTGTTTACAAATGAAAAGTGAGTGATCTTCAAAAGAAGGCTGACTGTAAAAAAAACGAAGAGCGCCTGCCCAGAGACCCGCCTGAAACGTTCGAGTCAGTCATAACTGCAGAGGCAGACGGCAACACGACTGCTCATGTTGATATGTGTCCAGCCAACGGACCGTTCGCTTACCGACCATTTTATTCAACAAGCTCGGCAAGAGGGGCGAACGTCCAAGATCTTATTTGGTTGCACTTTGCTATTTTGTGCATGGTGATACATACACAATCGTAGAAGCACTTTGCCATTTTGTGCATTGTGATATATACACAATCGGAGTAGCACGTTGCCATTTTGTGTATGATGATAAATACACATTGTGGGGCAGATTTTGGTTCTGTACTGAAAAGCTTGTCTCACTGTACAAGGTGGTATGTTTTTAAAATTTGTTGGCATGAATAGTATGAATATTTGTAATTTACGTAGCATATTAAAACAGGCAATTTTTTTGGTACTAGCTATAATTAAATAGCTAGCTATAATTAACTCATCATTATAGATTTGCCTTTGTTAAACATCAGTTTTATTATAGATTTTCATCGCGAATATCTATTTATGAATTATGCCATTTTTGCACTGTGTAGCTTTGTATTGCTCATATACATTATTATACACATGTATATATATATATATATATATATATATATATATATATATATATATATATATATATATATATATATGTGTGTGTGTGTGTGTGTGTGTGTGCGACCACGTACACATATAGCATATACATTTATAGCATATAAATTTATAAATTTAATTATAATTTTTATCGCCTAATTGAGTTTAGTGTAGCAGTCAGACATGTTTGAACGTTGCTCAGAATGAAAAAAATGTAATGATTCAGTCATGAGTGACGCTAGGGTTAGCGTACAAAAGATGATGCTTGTTTAATATTGTGTACTGCTCAGTTAAAGAGATAAACCATAGTATGGTACTGGTGTATGGGGGAGGTCGTTATGTGTGGAGGTGTTCATGTGGTGTGTAAAGGTCGTGGATATATGTAGGTCATCATCTGGTGTGAAGGTCGTGGAGAGATAGAGGTCATCACCTTATGAAGGTCATGGACATATGGAGGTCATCACCTGGTGTGTATAGGTCATCAATTGGTTCCGTGGAGGGCATCACGTAGTTTTTGAGATCATCACTTGTTTGCTATAGTGGCAGGTACATATAGTAAGCAGATTTACCGGCGTGTGAAGTTCATCACACTGTTTCTGTAATTTACCACACTGTTGTAAGACACGGTGAATGGAGAAGGGAGGTGACTCAGTTCTTCTACATTCGTCAAAACATCATAAAAATCAGGTGGTGGTGCTTTACTTTTTGGTAATTATCTACTAATTAAAAGTTGATAATTAATTTTTAAAAGTGTACATCTTTTCAAGCAAAAAATCAAATTTTACATCTATTTTTAAAATCTTGTACCACAATTAAAATATTTTTTCTGTTAAAATCATTGATACAGCTCGAAACATGATGTTTTACTATTACAAATAAAAATTAGCAATATTTTTATAATCCGTCAAATTGTTCCTTTCTTCTTGTTTACACAGTTGTTGTTTTTTAAGCTATAGAGTAGATGTTCGCCGTTGTTACTTATTGAAATCGTAGTCAACTCCAAAGTTAAATATCAGCCCAATGAACAAAGCTGTGATAATAGAGAATACTATTAATGTCTGTAGATCGCGCCTACGGACTTGTACTAATAATGCATGCAATGTATGCTTAAGTTTAGTTAGTGCTGGCACGAGAGCTTCAAATTAAAACAAATTACAGGTTCAATTATCTAAAGCTTGAGAATACATTAGATCAGAAGTAGGTTATAAAATGTCTAGATTATTTTTAAGAATAATTGTCGTTAGGAAAGTTCTTACATGATTCAGTCTATAGCTGTCTTTCCCAGAATTATTGTTATTCCACCATGTAAAATTTCTAAAATTATTCCCCCCCCCCCCCCTACCGCGAAAGAAAATCATGATTTGGCTGACCAGTTCTAAATTTGGCCGGCAAATTCTCACTTTGGATGGTCAGTTCTTAATTTAGCTGGTCAGTTCTTTATTTGGATTGCCAGTTCTAAATTTGGCCGGCCAATTCTCACTTTGACTTGCCAGTTCTAAATTTGCCTGCCAGTTCTCACTTTGGCCGTACTTAAAGAAAAGGCGACAGAACAAAGTGCTGACCACACTGTCTCATAATATCCCCCTTAAGCAGGTAAACTCTACTTCACTTGCACAAAGAGCAGTCAGGTTCGAAAGATACTATTATATATTGAATACAGTGGGTAGAATGTTAGGAGAGTTATGAAAGTTTTTCTTTCTTTAAATAGCGACGCATCAATACAATAATAAATTTAAAGAAAGTCTGATTGTTTTCTTTTTTTAAGTGTAAAGACTAGCTGTAGAACTGTTTTTATTAATTAGACATTAGTTTTAAATTGTTGCACGCTATGGGGGTCGGCGTGGTCGAGTCGGTAAAGCTCATGGTTGCTAAACCGAAAAGCCCCGAGTTCGAACCCTCGGGCAGATGAGGCTTGTTAGCTGGGGACAGCCACTCCTCTAGAAGAGACAATTCCAACATTAAACAACTGCTGCCTTGTAGTTTGTTCTTGGTTGGACAAAGGCTATGGAAGCAAATCCAACAAGAAAAGCAGGCTGAAATCGGAGTCAATGGCCTCAATGGCGCATAACCAGTTAACACGTAACGCTTAATTGTGTTGGAGGCGTGGTCGAGTCGGCAAAAAGCTCATGGTTGATAAATTCGAACAAAGTCTCGAGTTCAAACCCACTGGCAGATAAATCTCGATTCCCTTCAACACTAATAATTAAGAACGAAGAAGAAGAAGTTGCACGCTATGATGCGCATGATGTGTTACCACACACAATCGTCATTCACACATTTTGTTGTTGCACCTACCGGTATCCGCTACCCGAGTAAAAACATTTAAAATGCTTTTTAAGACAAGCATTTTCATATGTTTTCTCATACTATTTGGATTGCAGCTTACGAACGCAGGTAGGCATTATTTTTATTTATAAAATACCATGATACAAAAATGTATTATTTATTATTTGGTCAACTCGAGGTCATCTAGATTTAGATTCTAGCATATAGATCTAGATTACATGTCTAGACGTCTAGACGTCTAGATCTAGATGTAGATAAGTCAAATTATTGATAGTTCTAGAACTAGATCTATATCTTTTATAGAGTCTAGAGTCTAGATAGATCTAGATTATATGTCTAGATCTAGATATCTCGTTGTCAAACTGAAACGTCTCGAGGTTGAACAGCTGGGGACAGCCACTCTTCTAGGAGAGACGACTCCAAAATTAAACAACTGCTGTCTCGTAGTTTGTTTTTGGTTGGTCAAAGGCTATGGAAGCAAATCCAAAAAGGAAAGAAGCCTTTTATCGGGAGTCAACCGCCTGGATGACGCTTAACCAATTGACATGTAATCATAGGCGTAGCGACCCTTCCCGGCGCCCGGGGACAAACTTTTCGATTTGCACCCCCCCCCCTCAAACTTTCGATTTACACCACCCTCAACCTTTCAATTTATCTTTCCAACCCATATATGCGCCCCCCCCCCCCCCCCCGCCTTCCCCCCCCCCCCCCTCGCAACGCTACTGCATATAATACTTAATTGTGTTGGATGGAAGCCTTTCACTCCAGAGTTAAGAAAGAAGAAGAAGAACTTAAAAACTTTGTCTGCAAAGTTTTGTAAACAAATAACTGGGATATGTGGGGGCTCTCAAAAACCGACCACGGAGTTCCTGTAAAGCCAATCAATGTTTGTCTTACGAAGGTGAAACATCGGGTTAAAACTTAGGCTTGATGAAAATAAATAGAAATGTAGCCTTAAACTAAAAGAAAATATTTTCAAGTTATGTGGACTTGCACATTTTATAACATTGATTCTAAAAAATATTAAAATTTCTGAAATTATCTTAAGCCTGAAGTTTTTATTTTTACTATTTTTTATCGGTTGCTTTGATTGCAAAATAAACAAAAATGTTAATATGAGCTAAAATCATCCTGCATACTATTAAAATTTTGCTGTGAGATATTTTCTCTCTGAGATATTTTCCCTCTGAGATCATGTGTCCATGGTATTATTTGTCCTGATATATTTTGTCCTGGTATCTTTTGTCCGTAAGATCATTTGTCATTGAGATCATTTGTCCTGAGATCATTTGTCCTGATATATTTTGTCCTGGTATCTTTTGTCAGTGAGATCATTTGTCATTGAGATCATTTGTCCTGAGATCATTTGTCCTGATATATTTTGTCCTGGTATCTTTTGTCCGTGAGATCATTTGTCCTGAGATCATTTGTCCGTTAGATATTTTGTCTGAGATCATTTGTCCTGAGATCATTTGTCCGTTAGATATTTTGTCTGAGATCATTTGTCCTGAGATCATTTGTCCGTTAGATATTTTGTCTGAGATCATTTGTCCTGAGATCATTTGTCCGTTAGATATTTTGTCTGAGATCATTTGTCCTGAGATCATTTGTCCGTTAGATAGTTTGTCTGAGATCATTTGTCCGTTAGATATTTTGTCTGAGATCATTTGTCCTGAGATCATTTGTCCGTTAGATATTTTGTCTGAGATCATTTGTCCTGAGATCATTTGTCCGTTAGATATTTTGTCTGAGATCATTTGTCTTGAGATAATTTTGTCATGGAATCGATGGAAGGATTCTCCATTTATTTAAAATGTCTCAGCATGTGGTACCGCCCAAACTGTGATGATCAGGGAGAAAGTCATTCGTATTACTAGAGGTTTTATATATAGTATGACTCGTCACTGGTACATAGTACGTACTATTTTGCATAGGGTATATGTATGTTAAAATACAAGATTCGCTTCATTTTATGGCAAAGGTAGTTCAAATAAGTACATAAGTCATGGAGGGTGTGTGTAGTGTCTAACACAATCTGTGAAAGCAACTAAAATATTTAACCAAATCAGAAACATGTTGTTTTTAAGCTGGCGATGATGACGACGATGATGATGATGATGAGGAGGATAGTGATGACGATGATGATGATGTGAGCACCTCACCAAGACCGCAACACGTAGGACCTGATCCAGGTAGAAAGCATGTTTGGATCCACCATTTCCACTGTAGACATTTTAAGTCTTTAAAAGCAGACATTTTTTCAGACTTTTATAACACGATGTATACGTATATTATTTCTGTATGTGTGTGTTTGTATCTGCTCTTTACAAATGTCTATCACTCTGTCGATATTTCCGTGTATGTGTATATATGCTTTATTCTTATGTGACTCCATTTTCCCTAGTTATATGACTCATGTGTATGTATGTGTAAATCAATTTTTTTCTTATATGTCTGTGTGTGTAAAATTAGGCAATAAATATTTGCCTTTTTTATTGAACGACTAATGATTATTGCGCCTTATTAAAGACAATTTTGTATGTTAAGCTAGTCATCTTCCTATGTTATGCACGACGACTTCTAATGTTATATACGTCTTTTCGTTTTGGGTTTGTCTTTTCATGCACCGTGCTAGTCTTATTTACCACACTATGTTAGTTATCTTTTTTTTGTAAATTATACCAATCACCTGTTCATGTTATGCTAGCCATCTTTACATAATATGGTAGTTGAAGAGCTTTTATATACTAGTTATGATTAGTCAAAAAATGACCTCTACGCTAGACATTATTAGACAAAAAATGACCTCTAAACTAGACATCCTTAGACAAAAATTTACCTCTAAACTAGACATCATTAGAAAAAAATTTACCTTAGACAAAAATTTACCTCTAAATTAGACATCATTAGACAAAAATTTACCTTAGACAAAAATTTACCTCTAAACTAGACATCATTAGACAAAAATTTACCTCTAAACTAGACATCATTAGAAAAAAATGTACCTTAGACAAAAATTTACCTCTAAATTAGACATCATTAGACAAAAATTTACCTTAGACAAAAATTTACCTCTAAACTAGACATCATTAGACAAAAATTTACTCTAAACTAGACATCCTTAGACAAAAATTTACCTCTAAACTAGACATCATTAGATAAAAATTTACCTTAGACAAAAATTTACCTCTAAACTAGACATCATTAGACAAAAATTTACCTTAGACAAAAATTTACCTCTAAACTAGACATCATTAGACAAAAAATGACCTCTAAACTAGACATCCTTAGACAAAAATTTACCTCTAAGCTAGAAAAAAATTGACCTCTAAATTAGACATCATTAGACAAAGATTGTCCTCTATGCCATTCATTGTTAGATAACAACTGAAATGCGAGTTTAGGTTTTTCAACCAAATACTACACATAGAGCTAAAATAATAGGGTCATAGTTTTATCTAGCTAAAAATTATGTTTAAAATATTGATCTTTTGTAACTTAGATCTATGATTGTAGCCCCTACGACTTATTATACATTTCTAAAATCCTATATTATAAAATAATGTATGATTCTTCAATTATCTATGATCATTTTTGAGAGAGCAGTCTTGTCTATTGTATTTAGCTCATAAAAAGTACTCTATTATTGTGACAACAATGCTACTTGAATATGACACAATCTGACCCAAGTTACTTGAATGTGACACACTCTGACTCAAGTTACTTGAATGTGACACAATCTGACTAAAGCTACTTGAATATGACACAATCTGACCCAAGTTACTTGAATGTGACACAACCTGACCCAAGTTACTTGAATGTGACACAACCTGACCAAAGTTACTTGAATGCGACACAATCTTAACCAAGTTACTTGAATGCGACACAATCTGACCCAAGTTACTTGAATGTGACACAATCTGACCCAAGTTACTTGAATGCGACACACTCTGACTCAAGTTACTTGAATGTGACACAACCTGACCCAAGTTACTTGAATGCGACACAATCTTAACCAAGTTACTTGAATGTGACACAATCTGACCCAAGTTACTTGAATGTGACACAATCTGACCCAAGTTACATGAATGTGACACAATCTGACCCAAGTTACTTGAATGCGACACACTCTGACTCAAGTTACTTGAATGTGACACAACCTGACCCAAGTTACTTGAATGTGACACAACCTGACCCAAGGTACTTGAATATGACACAACCTGACCCAAGTTATGTGACACAACCTGACCCAACTTACTTGAATGTGACACAACCTGACCCAAGTTACTTGAATATGACACAACCTGACCCAACTTACTTGAATGTGACACAATCTGACCCAACTTACTTGAATGTGACACAACCTGACCCAACTTACTTCAATGTGACATAATCTGACCCAAGTTATGTGACACAATCTGACCCAAGTTACTTGAATATGACACAACCTGACCCAAGTTACTTGAATGTGACACAATCTGACCCAAGTTATGTGACACAATCTGACCCAAGTTATGTGACACAACCTGACCCAAGTTACTTGAATGTGACACAACCTGACCCAAGTTACTTGAATATGACACAACCTGATCCAAAACAAAAAATTCAGAGGCAGAGCAGATGTTAAAGCACCTTGGGGATGTCTCATGGCCTTGGTTTGGCCAGCAGTGTAGCACAGAGTGCAGCAAACAGAGCTCGATTTACTCCCCTTGTTTCAACTTACGGTAAGTAGCAATGCCACGCTCCATTAAAGACAGGTTCTTAAGTTATAAACAAGTTAGGATAATTATATCAACGAGCTGACTCGCGACGGAGTTACTTGTTTGATTTCCTATTTTGCAGTGACTCATATTGTGTGAATTCCCAACGCTGCGACTGAAAATATTTTGCTTTAAAACACTATCAGTAGCTAGCTCGTGAAGGACGAGTATCCTCACCCTCACCTTTCTCTCCACCCTCCCTCCCCCCCCCCCCCACTTGCACTCGTGAAAGCAGCCGTCTGTGACGACAGTTTACAGACGACAATGAAAAAAAATCAAACAGAACTTGTTATTACCTCCCTTAGTTTCAAATCGTTTAAAACTAAATAGCCGTCACTAATTCGACCCGGCACTACGATTGTAAACAGCTCACCAGACTGGTGGGGGTGGGGGTGGTAGCGATATGGTCTGTTGAGCTTACGTGGTGGTGGTTTCCCTAATGGTCATTCCATGAAGAGAAGTATGCATATAGATAAGCCTATGCGATTAAAAGCAAAATCGCAGGAATATGGCATTTTATAAACTATGGGAAACTATACCTGCGTCTAGTGAAACTTGTCAAATAAGTTTTAGTGACACGATTGGGCTATGTGTCATTGGAATAATATGCATTTTTATCTTCTAAATCGACATATTTTAAAAACATCATTAAAAAGAAAATGAATAATCCAAATCGTGCAATAACGTGCATAATCCTAATCTTACACGAACGAAAATAAAACAAATTATAAGCATTTTTAGGAAGCTGTTTAAAACAGAATTAAATTAATGCTAGATTTTGTTCTTGACTAGACCGGATAAAGTGTAGTAAGTGAAATATAAAACATGTTTTAGCATGATTTGGGAAGCTGTTTAAGACAGAATAAAACTAATACTGGTTTTCGTTCTTGACTAGACCGGATAAAGTGGAGTCAGTAAAATATAAAACATGTTTTAGCATGATTTGGGAAGCTGTTTAAGACAGAATAAAACTAATACTGGTTTTCGTTCTTGACTAGACCGGATAAAGTGGAGTCAGTAAAATATAAAACATGTTTTAGCATGATTTGGGAAGCTGTTTAAGACAGAATAAAACTAATACTGGTTTTCGTTCTTGACTAGACCGGATAAAGTGGAGTCAGTAAAATATAAAACATGTTTTAGCATGATTTGGGAAGCTGTTTAAGACAGAATAAAAATAATACTGGTTTTCGTTCTTGACTAGACCGGATAAAGTGGAGTCAGTAAAATATAAAACATGTTTTAGCATGATTTGGGAAGCTGTTTAAGACAGGATAAAACTAATACTGGTTTTCGTTCTTGACTAGACCGGATAAAGTGGAGTCAGTAAAATATAAAACATGTTTTAGCATGATTTGGGAAGCTGTTTAAGACAGAATAAAACTAATACTGGTTTTCGTTCTTGAATAGACCGGATAAAGTGGAGTCAGTGCTAGAGAGAGCTGGCATCACCAAAGCACTAGTGTTCCGCACACAACTCTACGTTCAATTTTCAAGCCCAAGAGGTATCATTTACTTTCATCTATCATAACATATCGCCCCGTCCACTACAATCAATAGTATTTTGCTTTCTTACACAATACATCTATGAATGGTATTTTATTTTCTTAAAACAATGCATCTATGTATAGTATTTTATTTTCTTAAAACAATGCATCTATGAATGCTATTTTATTTTCTTAAAACAATACACCTATGAATAGTATTTTATTTTGTTACAACAAATCATCTATGAATGGTATTTTATTTTCTTAAAACAATACATCTATGAATAGTATTTTATTTTGCTTACAACAATACATCTATGAATGCTATTTTATTTTCTTAAAACAATACACCTATGAATAGTATTTTATTTTGTTACAACAAATCATCTATGAATGGTATTTTATTTTCTTAAAAAAATACATCTATGTATAGTATTTTATTTTCTTAAAAAAATACATATATGAATAGTATTTTATTTTGTTACAAACTACATCTATGAATAGTATTTTATTTTGTTAAAATAACACATCTATGTAAAGTATTTTATTTTCTTAAAACAACACATCTATACTTTATTTTACCGAAAACAAAAGGTGCAAAAAAAAAAAAATTCTTCTTCTTCGTTCTTAACTGTTGTGTGGAAAAAGATTCCCTCCAACACAATTAAGTGTTACGTACCAACTTGTTATGCGCCACTGAGGCCTGCTATTATTTTTGGATTGGCTTCCATAGCCTTTGTCCAACTAAGAACAAACTACAAGGCAGTAATTGTTTGACTTTGGAGTAGTCTCTCCCAGAGAAGTTGCTGTCCCCAGCTAACGAGCCTCATCTTCCCGGGGGTTAGAATCCGACCACGCGGACTTCTTGCACAAATATTAATTTTTAGGTCTCTGTCATCGTGGTGCAAACACTTAAATGCTAAATAATGTCGTATCTTATACAAAATATCGTCTTAAAATAAAGTAACTCATCAGTGGCAACACTAGGTCGGGTGTCACCCGGTGTGGCTTATCATGATGTCCCCCACCCCCCATTTTTTTCCGTGTCACCCCCCCCCCACCCCCCCCCCCCCCCCCGATAAAATTTTTTGAAGTGTTCACATTTAATATATTTAATACTAATGATGTTTATCTATAGTCGGTTGTTATATCATTCTTCTCCCTATATTTTTCATCTTTACGTTATGGTGTCACCCCATCCCCCCCCCCCCCCTTGTCGGGATCATCATTATATGTACTTAATATACTTATTAACTCTAATTTTTTTTAAAGTTTATTTTATGTAATTTGCAATCTTTTTTGTCTTGTTGTCACCCCCCTAAATGGTGTCATAGATGTATTGTTTTAAGAAAATAAAATACTATACATATATGTATCTTTGTAAGAAAATAAAATACTACACATATATGTATCTTTGTAAGAAAAGAAAATACTATACATATATGTATCTTTGTAAGAAAATAAAATACTATTCATAGATGTATTGTTGTAAAAAATAAAATACTATACATATATGTATCTTTATAAGAAAATAAAATACTATACATAGATGCATTGTTTTCGCGACGCCTCTGTAACTCATATCTGTATTTTTCTTTCTTTCCTCAGAACCTGTCGACGTGTGCGGCAAGCAGGTACCAATGCTAGCAGTGACCAGGTTTAAGTTAAATAAAAGAGGTCACGCTATACCAGCCAGGTTAAAGGTAAAGGTCAAAGTTTCAATAGTTAGGGGTTGTCCATAAATGACGTCATACTCACAGGGGGCAGGGGGGGGGTCCGTAATTTTGTGACGGTGTGTGACGAGGGGGAGGGGGGGGGGGGGGTTCAGATGTTGCGACGTCACACTTTTGCATTGTAAAAGAGAAATGTTAGAAAACGAATTTTAGACGTTATTTCGCGTTTTAGAAAACTGGTTTTAATAAAATGCAATAGGAATTGATTAAAAGACTCTGTTTCGACAGTGTTCAGACAAGATTTTGGAAGAAAAATTCAACTTCAATTTTGAGGGCTGAGGTGTGACGTCATTTTCAGGGGGGGGGGTCTGGCTTTTTGTGACGATGTGTGACGGAGGGGAGGGGGGGAGGTAAAATCGTTGAAAAAGTGTGACGTCATTTATGGATGACCCTTTACTGCTTGATTTAAAACAGTGACTCAAGATCAATCACATCAGTAAATTACTTACAATTTTAAATATTTACTGTCACTAAGAATAGTTAATAACAGTGGCGAAATTAAATATTGAAGCGCTAGAAATATGTGTAACTATTTACAAAAGCTAGAAATTGTAATAAACTTAAAAAGAACACAGTGGTTTTCTAGAGCGAAAAGTGTTAGCATGTATTCTTTAAATGTGTCTTTAAAATAATATAGATAAGGTTTCTTTAAAATCCTATAGACAAATTTATTTTAAAAATCCTATAGACAAATGTATGTTTGAAATCTTATACACAAATGTATTTTTAAAATCTGATATCCACATGTATCTTTAAGATCTTCTAGATAGAGTATCTTTATTACTTAAAATACTATTGACAAAAGATGTCCTGATTTTGTTCACAACAATAATGTTGGACAGGATTTCCTTGAACACAATCAAGTCATATGACGCGTTGATATCAGCCATCTCTATGTTCTGTGTTAGCTTCCATTGCTTTTATCCACTCAAGAAAAATCTGCAACTGGGCTGTTAAAGTTGTGTTCCGAGGGGTTTGAACTCAGGACATTTGGAAATATCTTGGTCCATCTCACCGTGACTTAAACGATGAGAAAATGTTTTTGTCATGCCAGTCTTGACTGATACCCACGTTATTTCAAGAGTTGCCTCTAGCGGACCCCAACGAAGACTTAATACTGAAGCCAGAATAGGTTTACAGTGCTATAGTGTCTCTCTTCACTAATTCAAATAAGATGCATGTATTTAAATACTAAATCAACTAAGCAAACGAGATTTTAATAACAGTTTAAACATTGGATACGGTGCCTAGGCAGGCTAATCTTATAAATAGATAAACTAGGCTCAAGAAACTTCAACATGAAAGATTATTTCTATAGTGGTAATTAGTTCATGAATCTCTTCAAGAACTTGTTTCCAGAATTTCTATTCAGTTTTCAACCATTGGCTGTACTAGTGATCGTACACATTGTAATTTGTCTTGTTTTTAATCATGGCAATGTCTAACATAGCACAGTCTAGTGAATAGTTATATCTATATTAGATTGGTTTTTTTTTAACAACTGGTGTGATTTGGGTTTAGGAAGGAGCTGAAATATATCGCAGAAAGCCTTCTTTAGACTGGGACATACGGACCAATTACAAGTACACGGTGTTATTCTGGGACGTGGGGCTGCTAAAGGTCCGTGGATATTGGTCTGAGGTTACAAAATCTCATGGTGTGGTTCATGGAAAGGTATGTAGACATAGGTAGCAAAAATTATCTACTGAGATAGACAGGGCCCTTGGAAAGGTATGTAGACATATGTAGCAAAAATTATCTAATGAGATAGGCAGGGTCCTTGGAAAGATATGCAGACACGTGTAAGAAAAAAGATCTACTTACGTTGAGGTTATTCTCATGGTTAAACAAAATTCATGAGATAATCGTCGAAAAGTAATGTACACCAAAAAAAAACGAAACAAAAATTACTTACTAAAGGTTTTCCCAAAAGTCTGTACTCCTGCTAATTTTTAATATTTTTTTAAATTTTTTAAAATGTTATAACTTTAAGACGGTCAAAATTGAGACGTGTGATGGTCAATGTAATAACAGATATTTTTTTTTCAAAAGGCAGTATCGGGGTAGACGGTAACCTAGGCTAGTAGATCCTACCTCCTACACTGCTCACACACGTTTCTCAAACTCGTATCTTATTTTAACAGAGGAACATCGCGTACACGCCTCCGGCTAACCCAACAAAGGCAGTGAACCCTATCCTTATCATTGTGATCCAAGAACTCGGCAGTTTCGATCCATCTACTATTGTAAAGAAATGTTGGAGAAGGGTGGCATCGAAGGAAGGCGCTGACGAATGTCGTAAGGCCGTGATGGCACTGCTAGGCGATGGTTCAAGTAATAGAAAAATCCTTCATTTTAAACATTGATGATCTTTTTAGTGTAGTGAAGGAGCAAACGATCGAACTAGTGGTCGTCGATCGGGTTGCTGATCATTCACTTTAAACATTGTAAAAACATTTAGTCTACAGTGGTAGTCGATGATCGCTGATTGCTAAAAACAAATAATTCATTTTAAACATTGCTAATCCCTGTACTCTAGTGAAGGAGTGAACTTGGGTTAATGTTGTTTACTTAGCTTGTAACGTCGCTGTGGTTTACTCTTTATGCTGAGAATTCTTCTCGATAACATGTTCGCCGTGTGTAAAGAAAATTAAAGTACCTTTTAATACCTCACGGTCCATGGGGCAGGTGAAGTAGAGCCCATGTGTTTCTGTGACCTCTGCATAAGGGTATGTTCTGGTCAGCACTTAGGGATGTCGTATGAACTTCAGACTTGCGGATTATTAGTCGAACGCTCTGCGATTCGACCACGTCGTTCCTAAAACGTATTAAACTTGAATGGGTTCCGCATCATTGGAGAGTGTATGTAGACTATTTACAATGGAATGTGGGTTTCGTTTAGTTTGTGTGCAGTGTAGATTGTCGATTAACGTTTGTATTATTGTCAATCTTAAACATTTTTTTTTCATTTAGTCTAGAGTTGTGTTACCCTTTTGTATGTGGGTCTTTAGGTGTTATGTGACTCGATTGATCGCTTTTATATGTTTTATTATGCAAACAACGTTTATAAAATTTGTATTGAAAATAAGTTGGCTTTTCTGCTTGATACCTTAACATTTAATAAGAGGCCCACACTTCTTTTTAATTATTCAAATAGTGGTTCATTATTGTAGTTATATTAAAATAAGATCATTGATGTTGTACTTTTTAGAGGATATTTATATAAAAACTTGTAAACCTTGTTTATATAAATAGTAGAGCACTATTATGCATAAGGAAAATAATTTTATTATAGACCGTATTTATAATTATGTGTTAAATATAATACACAATATGTTTTTTTTATCATGCTCTAAAAATTATTTTATCAAGTTTTTTTTTTCAAAAAATAATTAATTAATTTTTAAACAACAGATATTGTCGGCATGCAAGCCTATTATACTGATGGCTCGTCACTTTATGAACAGTACCGGGCGTGCATTGAAGGCTACATCTGCTCCACGGAATGTGTTGGAAAATTTAAGACTTGTAAGTGCGCCAATACAATTTTAACACAACTATATTACACAGATAAAAGACATTATGTGCGTGGCTGTTTGGGTAATAGAAATTGGTTACATCGTACTCGGGCAGATGAGGCTCGTTAGCTGGCGATAGCGACTCTTCTAGGAGAGACAACTCCAAAATCAAACAACTGCTGCCTTGTAGTTTGTTCTTGGTTGGACATAGGCTATGGAAGCAAATCCAAAAAGAAAAGCAGGCCTCAATGGCGCATAACCAGTTGACACGTATAGTTAATTGTGTTGGAGGGTATCCCTTCCAACTCTAAAATTAAAAACGAAGAATAAGAGAATACATCTTGTACTGTTTCACTACAAGACCAAACCACTCTCAAGCCTTGGGAGTCGCATTTTGTTTTCTCTCCGCCTCATTTACTTCATGCTATTATATATTCAGAATGTTTACATTAAATAGCTTTACGAAATGCTAGGCTTGAGAAGACTCATCAAGGGTATGACCCACTATGAAAATATTCATTACCATATTGGATATCCTTTCTTTAAATAGTATATATATATATATATATATATATATATATATATATATATATATATATATATATATATATATATATATATATATAAAATATATATATATATATATATATATATATATATATATATATATATATATATATATATATATATATATATATATATATATATATATATATATATATATATATATATATATATATATATATATATATATATATATATATATATATATATATATATATATATATATACATATATATATATATATATATATATATATATATATATATATATATATATATATATATATATATATATATATATATATAATTATATCTTATTCACTGTTAGATGCTTCCACTGAACAGAAGAGAATCAAATTTATCGAGCTGCAACCAGACAAACTGGACATGTTCGTTAGCGTAAGATTTTATTCACTGTATAATGAGTTGATATCGGCAACCAAATGTGGAGCTGATAACAAAATGAATGCACCGTAAGTGTTTACTTCTTAGAGCTCAACTGCTGTTTATTTTTGGAAATTTTGTAAAAAAAAATTTGTATACGAGTGTATATACTAATATATAAAAGCTCTGTTAAAAATAAATGAAATGTTTTCTTTCCTACACATAAGAATAAATGAAGGCTTTCAAATTAAACAACACTTATGGTAGTACGTCAATATTTCCCCTAGTCGCTTGTCTTAAGATTCTAGGAATCATTATGTAAAATTGTTTTTTACAAGGACTGCAAAACAGATTGTGTTGCGTTCATTGTTTTTGGATGTATTGTGTGTATATTTTGTTTGTTTGTTTGTTTTTAGTTAGAGTGATAAATTGTTTTGTTTTTATCGGCCTACATTGTGTGTTCTAATTTCTTCAGAGTACTACTTTCAATGTATTTAAAACATAGCGAAGCTACATACAGCTAGTATATATATATATACACATATATATATATATATACATATACATATACATATACATATATATATATATATATATATATATATATATATATATATATATATATATATATATATGTATATATATATATATATATATATATATATATATATATATATATATATATATATATTGGTAGGAAAGGCAGTAAAACAATATTGTTGTATTAGTATTCCACAAATTAATGAAAATCACAGGTACATTAGACATTTTTCCCAAGTACCTGTTGGTTTATTCGATCATGTATCTTACATCTACACCAACCCGACCCGAACACCACGACAACTCCTACCCCACCATATTGTCCAACTACCATTTGTATTACTATCTGCGTGAACTTTGCTGCAGTTACCAATTTGAGATATATATTATATAGATATAACTTTTCTATTTTGTTTTTATTTAATATAGTGCCTATGCTTTTTACGAGTAAGAAAAAAAACATTTATTACTATAAAAGAATAGCAGGAAAAATTGTATAAGTTCAAATGTTTTATTTTGTTACCATTTATTTCTTTGCATACAATAACAAGGTTTTATAAGTTGAAGGTGTACCTGAAAGGGATTTCGTATATTTCCTCAAAGTAGCCTGACCCTACTTTTTATCTTCCTATTGTGTAGGATCTACGAATATCGGCCTATGCCGGGAGACAACATGAAAGTTGACCAAAACTATAAGATTTCCAATCTGCTGTTAAAATTTTATGTCAATTTGGAACTAGAATTCTCTGGAACTGTGAATGATCTCATAGGTATTGTAAAACTGAAACTAAAAATGTATTGTTATCTATGACAACTAAGTAATGTGTAAATTAACTTCAGGACATTTGTTTTTCACTTCTAAATCGTAAAGATTCAATTATCAATAACTATTCGTGTTCAGAATATCGTACGGTCATAAGTAGGTTTTAGTGGGGGGTTTTTCCTTCTTTTTTATTTATTGTTGCAAGACAATATATCTATCAATGATGATTGTATTGCGTTTTTCTAATATAATTACTAATAATAGGTCTTCTTCTTCTTCGTTCTTAATTTTTAGTGTTGGAGGGAATCGAGCCATATCTGCCAGAGGGTTTGAACTCGAGACTTTTTCGAATTTTTATCAACCATTAGCTTTAGCCGACTCGACCACGCCTCCATCACAATTAATAATCGGTCAATTTTAAACAAAATTGGTATAGATTTCAAATGCAAAAATCGATCAATAAAAAGTGCAGTAGCTAAACTATTGTAATTAAAATATTGCATGGGCTTACAAGTTTAGAACTTAAATTTAATATGAATGTTGCATATTTTATCTTAAAAAATCTTTTATATCGACAGATACTTCCACTTTTTATGCCGTGCTTATTGTGTCTCCCGATGGGCACATACACAAAGGAAATTACAAAAATCCCGTTGGCTGTTTATTTTATGCCAATATGCAATTACCATGTGAGTATTTATAAACTTCCACCTACATAAGCAAAAACATCTTTAACTATATATCAGTTGTATGATATTTCTACACATTTGTATCAATATTAAAACTGCTAGTAAACAGAGTTTCTTTCAGGCATCTCTTCGGGGGGTGCTCTGCTCCCCTCCCCCTAAAAGAAAGTCTACACCCCCCCCCCCCCCCCGACCGAAATGGAATTTATATAAAAAAAATTGAAAAAAATATTTATATAAAAAATATATACTTTTAACAGTCTCCGCACCCCCGAAAATTTCAAGTGCCCCTCCCCCCGGAAAAAAAAATCTGGAAGAAACACTGTTAGTAAATTATTAGCAATTACATTTAGAATAAATTAATCATCATGCTGTTACAGTTTCACTTCTAAGCAGTTTATCAAATGTGTTTTTTTTTTTTACAGATTGTGTTGTAGTTTAATACATTCCGCATTTTTCTCCGATTTACCACTTTTACCACTTTTACCACTTTTACCACACAATTTATAGTTAATGTCTCCGGCATTGATAAACAAACGCACATGATCCAAGACTACACCAGAGTCCAACAGCTGCACAATAAAGAAGTGCATTATTACATCTTGTTGTACTCCCACAAAAATAAGATCTCAACTAACCCCCTCTGGTAGGTCAAGGCAACTATATCATATTTAATGTTGAATACGGATCCAAAATAAATAATAGTTATCGTAATAATAAGAAATATCTATATATATAATTCTCTTCTGGGAGCCGTTAGAAAACAAGCTGCAAGCGCCTCCTTGCAGTCCCCTCTCTTTCTCTCTATCACTATCACTACCACCACCACACCACCCCCACATTGTCTGGTGAGCTGTTTACATTTTACAATCATAGAGACGGGTTTGGTGACGTTTATTAGGGGCAGATAATTTAGTTTGAAACGATTTTAAACTTAGAGGAGGTAACTAAGAGGAGGCTGCTTTCACGGGGGGGGGGGGGGGGGGGGGAAGGGGGATTTAGTGTTTTTAAGCAAATAATTTCAGTAGCAGCATTGGTACTGTCGAATTCACAAATTATAAATTACTGAAAAGTAGAAAAAAAAAACTAAATAGCGGCGTATGATACGCAGCGGGTCGGCTCGTACTATTTAATGAAAGGCATCCAATTAAGTCAACTGTGTCAGCGGGTCTTGACCCACATTGCTAAATATCAGATGAATGGGTTGGTTAAAAAGGTTGAAATTCCGCCCGGCAGTTTCTATCCATTAAGACATGACGATAAATCAGTTTAAATTAAATCGTGTAAAAAACATTCACATCGATTAAACAAGTAGTGCTCGAAATACATCATTAGTTTATTGATTAAAATTATGTGTTTAATTTATAATATATGTGATGTTATCCTTAGGTAGCGTAAACAACCTGAATGGGTTGTTGTATGTCTGTTTTGTGTCTTAAAATATATAATGTATATGATAGTTTTTTTTGTACGCTCACCACACCGTGACATTATTGTAGTGATAACGTTGAAAAAGAAGCGTGTGATGAGTCCTGGGATATGAGCAAGCTGCCTAGCGATTTTACCCTAAGAGGGATAAACTGGTTCATCGCTGAGATGGATGGTTTTTTAAGTAGGGTTTGAGTTTAAATGTATTTATTGTTGTAGTTTTATAATTATCTTATTTACCAACCCATTTATGTCATTACTGATTCATTTAATTGCCAACAATATTCTTTATTTACCGATTAACGTGTTGCTTACCATTATATTTCTTTTCGATAATGTCAAGTATTTTCTCTTTATCACTCCACTTATTTGTTTGTCTGTCTTTTTATACTTTTAGTAATTTTACTACTTTTGTTACTTTGGTTACTTTTAACACTTTACTACTATTGCTACTGTTACTGCTGTTACTACTGTTACTAATTATACTACTTTTATTACTTTTACTACTTTTACAACTTTTACTATTTTTACTACTTTTAATACTTTTATTACTTTTACTACTTTTAATACTTTTACTACTTTTACTACTTTTACTACTTTTACTACTTTTACTACTTTTACTGCTTTTACTACTTTTACTATTTTTACTACTTTTACTACTTTTACTACTTTTACTACTTTTACTACTTTTACTACATGTTTACTACTTTTACTACTTGTATACTACTTGTAAACTACTTGTATACTACTTGTTTACTACTTGTTTACTACTTGTTTACTACTTGTTTACTACTTGTTTACTACTTGTTTACTACTTGTTTACTACTTGTTTACTACTTGTTTACTACTTGTTTACTACATGTATACTACTTGTTTACTACTTGTATACTACTTGTTTACTACTTGTTTACTACTTATATACTACTTGTATACTACTTGTATACTACTTGTTTACTACTTGTATACTACTTGTTTACTACTTGTATACTACTTGTATACTACTTGTTTACTACTTGTATACTACTTGTTTACTACTTGTTTACTACTTGTTTACTACTTGTTTACTACTTGTTTACTACTTGTTTACTACTTGTATACTACTTGTTTACTACTTGTATACTACTTGTATACTACTTGTTTACTACTTGTATACTACTTGTTTACTACTTTTTTACTACTTGTTTACTACTTGTATACTACTTGTTTACTACTTGTATACTACTTGTATACTACTTGTTTACTACTTGTTTACTACTTGTTTACTACTTGTTTACTACTTGTTTACTACTTGTTTACTACTTGTTTACTACTTGTTTACTACTTGTTCACTGCTTGTTTACTACTTGTTTACTACTTGTTTACAACTTTTACGTTTTACTATTATTAAAGCGAGTGAAGAAAACTCGGCTGACTGTGAATCGCAAGAAGTGCCCCTACCACGTGATCCCCCCGAGACGTTCGAGTACATCTTATCAGCAGATTCCGACGCGGACCCTAGCGAAGCCATTGAGATGTGTCCCCCGAAAGTAGATCCTCAGGACACTAGTCTGTCTACAAGCGCGGCACGACAAACAAGCGCTACACAGCACAAATGGTTGCTCTTGGCCTTTTGGGGTATAAGGGTATTGAATACACAAATGGGGTAAAGTTTTTTTTCTGTGCAGAGCATAGTTACCTCACCATAACTTTTAACTTGTGATCTACAAGCTGGTGTGGTTTTAAATTTTTTTTTATCCTGAATAATTGGCGTATGTGTATTTTTAATGACGTATAAAAAAGGGGTTATTTTTTTTATAAACTAGGATAACCCTATACATTTTATCTTTAATCAAAATCAGTTTAAGTATTTTTTTTTCTAAAAACAAACATCTATTACTGATTTTCGTCATTATTGTAAGAAAAATCTCTGTTGTGAACGTATAGATTTTTAATAACTAGTTATAATATCTCCCAAAATAACACTGGGACTTAAAGTAACGTTAGAACATGATTTTTCACTGATGAACCAGATTTTACAACTTATGTATATATATATATATATATATATATATATATATATATATATATATATATATATATATATATATATATATATATATATATATATATATACGTAATGGTCAATTTGCTTTTTAATGTGTGCATGCGTACGCAATGGGAATGCTGTAAGCCTCTCTTTGAATAACAAAACGTTTAATGAGCCTACCGTTGGTCAACTTGTTGAATGCAAAAAGAGATATGTTATTTTACTGGTGTGTTGAGGTCATCACATGGTATGTTGAGGTCATCACATGGTGTGTTGAGGTCATCACATGGTGTGTTGAGGTCATCACATGGTGTGTTGAGGTCATCACATGGTGTGTTGAGGTCATCACATGGTGTGTTGAGGTCATCACATGGTGTGTTGAGGTCATCACATGGTGTGTTGAGGTCATAACATGGTGTGTTGAGGTCATCATATGGTGTGGTGAGGTCATCACATGGTGTGTTGAGGTCATCACATGGTGTGGTGAGGTCATCATATGGTGTGGTGAGGTCATCATATGGTATGTGGGGGAGGGATTCATATGGTATGTGGCTGTCATCACACGGTGTGTGGAAGTCATCATATGGTATGTGGGGGGGGGATTCATATGGTATGTGGGGGGAGGGGGGATTCATATGGTATGTGGCTGTCATCACGCGGTGTCTGGAGGTCATCATATGGTATGTGGGGGAGGGGATTCATATGGTATGTGGCTGTCATCACACGGTGTCTGGAGGTCATCATATGGTATGTGGGGGAGGGGATTCATATGGTATGTGGCTGTCATCACACGGTGTGTGGAGGTCATCATATGGTATGTGGGGGGGGGGATTCATATGGTATGTGGCTGTCATCACACGGTGTCTGGAGGTCATCATATGGTATTAGGGGGGGGGTTCATATGGTGTGTGGTGGGGGGGATTCATATGGTATGTGGCTGTTATCACACGGTGTGTGCAGGTCATATCATGGCGTATGAATACAGAAGTTGGGGAGAGGAGATATCTCCAAAATGTTTTGGTTGTTAAAACATCATAAAAATAAACAACCTGATGCTTTATTTCCATAGTAAATTTAAATTGCTAAAATTTTAATTCTAAGTTCTACTATAAATGTAGGCCTCACGTTTACTAAACCAAAATGTAACAACTATTAAGAAAATATTTTACATTTTATAAATTTTGCTATACTAAAATGTAACCACTATTTTGAAAATATTTTACATTTTATAAATTTTGCTAAACTAAAATGTAACCACTATTTTGAAAATATTTTACATTTTATAAATTTTGCTATTAAAACTTTGATACGACTTCCAACAGTCTTATGTTTAATTATCCTAATTAGCAAATGTTCAAGAATGTCACCTTGTTTCTTTACACATGTTTACACTATTTTTGTGGGCTGTAGAGTGTGTTCATACCGTTCTTATTTAATGATTCAGTCGTCAGCATCAACGTTAAAAAAAAAGACTAGCACCGCATAAAACTTCAATGATATAGAATCAGATTAGTCTGTGGTTGGATGGGAATCCCATGGTTTTCTTACCCGAATCTCTGGGCAGATGAGGCTTGGTAGATGCAGAGGCGTAGCGAGGGGGGGGGGGGGGGGGCGGGGGGTGGACCGCACCGGGTGACACCATTTAGGGGGGTGACTCTAAGGCAAAATATTTATAGAGAAAAACTTGAGGGGGGTGCAAATCGAAAGTTTGAGGGGGGGGATGCAAATCGAAAGTTTGAAGGGAGGGGGTGCAAATCGAAAACTTGAGGGGGGGGTGCAAATCGAACGAAAATTTGAAAGTTTGGCCCCGGTAAGGGTCGCTACGCATCTGGGGGTGACACCATTAAGTGCCGCACCGGGTGACACCCGACCTCGCTACGCCACTGGGTAGTTGGTTACAGCATTTCATCTAGGAGAGAAATCTTCTTAAACAAACAAGTGGGGCCCATTAGGCCTCATGATCACCATCTCTATTTCACATACAATTGAAGCTAATACCAAACGTTTGTACCAAACCATGGTCCAGATATGTATTAGTATCACAATATTTATTCTTCTTCGTTCTTAATTTTCGGTGTTGAAAGGGATCCCTTCCAACACAATTAAAAATTACATGTCAACTGGTTATGCGCCATTGAGGCCGTTGACACCGTTTTCAGCCAGCTTTTTTAAAATTTGCTTCTATAGCAAATACCCCCAGTATCACGATAAATGGTCAACCTTTTATCTTTTCATCTAAAGCCCAGTCAAACGCCATTAGGATTCCTAAGGGTTCATCCATTGTATACCGAGGCAAAAATTAGCCATATTAAACCTATTTACTATGTATATATAAAAAATTAATATAGTTCATTCTAATTTGCAGTCACCAAGAACGCTTCGCCTTTCAACAAAATAAGCTCCAACGACTTAGAATCAGATTTAAAATATGACAAATAACGTAAATACTTCAACTAAGAAAATTAACAGATTTTTCAGTCTAAAGCTCTAGTATTTTACAATCTTTATTGTGCTGCTCACCACTGTAACGAATCTTAAGATAAATATTAGAAGGGTATCAATAGTTTTCTGCACATCATTTAGCACCCAGGGTTTTTCGCCAAGCCACTTTCACTTTATATTAAAAAATTGTTTCTTTTTAAAAAAAAATTTTAATTTCGTGTTTTTTGGTGGCACCGCAGATTTTAAATAGACAAATCTACTGACCCTTGCTACACCATCCAAGCTGGGATATCTCATTGTTCAAAGAAAATCTTTCGTGCATTAGCCACTACAATATTTAGGTGATCAACAATATCTTCACGTAACCATATGTGTCGCTACAATAGATAGGAAAAGTCAATGTAATCATACTAAATTTTTCCAAAAAAAATCTTTAAAAAAATATGGCAAGCGATAAAATTATAGTTACATTTGTAAAAATTAAAGCCTTTTGGGAACAATCGATAACACTCATTTTTTATATTTTTGTATCGAATATAAGCCGTTTCAATCCATATATTTTTCAAAAACTGCCCTCAACTTCTCCTTGAAGTCTACCGGAATGGCCAGAGAGATTAAAACAATTAAATTCAGAACAATTGTTTTCCATGATAAAAATACACAATAGTGATCTATGGTGTATAGCGTAGTATTGTATTTATTTTCAATAATAAAACATCCTCATCCACCACAACACCCTGACTCTACTAATCCAAATTGCTAAATTACTACTTTATTATTAGTAATAATTTATTTGACTATTTCTAGCTTTAATGAAATCGGAAGTAATTTTGTACTTATAACACAAATGCTATAAAATATTCAATTTTGGTTGAAGGATTTGCTTTCTGGCAACAAAAATTTGGAACCATTTGGAACCAGCTTGTCATGTCTTTTTAGAGTCGATATAACTTTTTAAATCTGATTTTGTAAATAAGACATACATAAATTCAATACAAGAAATGAATCTAAATATCACGGATTTCGAATAAAAAAACTTTATTTTCCCCTCCCTAAAAATAGTTTGACATACACAGCTTTTTAAATTATATTAATGGTTATAATTATCCTTCAACAGTACGATTGATGTTCGACTTAGTGATACTTCTTATTTTCAAAAACATTCCAGACAGCCCCCACACATTAAAAATTGAAATTTATATCTTTGGACGAGGGGAGGGGAGGTGCCCCAAAGGAGAAATATAAACCACACTACCCCATACCCATCCTTCCAACTACCCCCATCCCAAAATAGTTTAAGAACGCCTTAAAGGAAGTTTTGGGTGAACCACCCCCCCCCCCCCTTGAAAGAAAATTCTATCCCGTCCCACCCTGTGAGGCTTGGGGCAAAGATTAGAAGACACTGGTCCATAGTAGAATACATGTTACTGTAATCCTATCTCTAATCCTACACAAAATGAACTGTAGGCCTACTTACTTGGCTTGCTATTTTCAAAGCTAACGCCTCTCTTATAATTAGATACACGTGATTGTATTATTAATTGATACACTAATTACGGACTCCGTCTGGTCATAAATATGATATTTGTATTTTAACCCACTTGTATTTTAACCCACTTATAAACCACCAATAGTTTGTTTTGTATGAGTAAATAACACGCAATTTATTGATGCCACTTCATCGGGAAAACCCGCTTTTATTAAGTGTCACAGTTACTGTGTGTGACTGCGTGGTAGCTGATGCTCTACCTGTTTTGTTCTCATTGAGGTAAGTCGTACTTTAGTTTTCAGTTCTAGCGTTCACAAATATATTTAGATCTATGGCTATGTTGGCTTGTCTAATTGTAAATATGTTTAGTATAGCAGACTCAACTGTATACGTATCTATTAGGTAATTGTGATACTTACTATAAAAGCTTTGTGTGTCTAAGATAGCCTTTTACTTTAAGGCATTTGGTTAAGCGTAATAATTATTACTTTTAAAAAATTGAGAACACATAATTAATTGTATTTTTGCGATCTACAAATATATATATATATATATATATATATATATATATATATATATATATATATATATATATATATATATATATATATATATACATTTATTAGCGTCAAGCATTTATTTGATATTGCATCCTTCAAACCACTCAACTTAATTATTAAAACATAAAATAGATGATGCATGTGTAGCTTTAATTAAATTTAAAGAAAAATTTCAAATCCTTTAATTTACAGTGAGAAAATAAAGTCATATATTTAACTCCTCACAGTTTTCCAGTACAACACAGACAGATTGTTACAAAAATAGTTACACAATAGCAAAACTATATATATATATATATATATATATATATATATATATATATATATATATATATATATATATATATATATATATATATATATATATATTACTTTGATTTAGAAAAAATATTACGTCAAACGTCAAATACTTATTTGATCTCTTTACCAAATGGAATAGAAACCATAACATACAAAATTGAGCAAAATTTAAGTTCCCGAAATATTGGATAAAAGTAAAACTTTGATTTCAGAGGAACTTAACATTGTGTCCTTTCTGTTTCTTTTTTTCAAACACTGACATGAGATCGGCGTATCTTATTAGTGCAGACAATATCTTCCTAGATCATTTTGATCCCCACAATACCATAGCTTTTATCTCCTAATTGTCAGAAAATGCCCGACTTTGGTTCAGAAGTTTTGGCTAAATGACGTGGACATTTATTTCTTTTTCAAATTTCCCAGCACCGTGGACATAAAAATTGATAAGAATTTAGAGTTGAAGTTTAAGTAAACGAAAATATTGACGGACATGTTGACGACTTTTAATAGCTCCTGTAGCTCAATGCACAGTCTGTAACTGTTAACAAGGCTTCCTTCGCCGGAGAAATCTGGCAAGATGAGGCTGACCATAAACACGACAACATCCGGTGTGTTGCAGACGACGAAGATAAACGCTACTAAGTTGACTGCTTGAGTGGCGCGAAATTCTTTCTTGGATAAATTAATTTTTGATTGGTCGGGGATAGTTTTCGCAGTCGTTCTCCTTCCTCGATCTGTACATATTACGCTTGTACTTTTCACTGTGACCGTTGTTTTAACTCTTTGATCTGTGTTGCTCGTTGTTACACAGAAACTGAATGCATCTCCACTAGCCACGGACATTTTAAAGGCAACTGCTTCGCGGAGCTTCACCGTCATAAGCACCGTACATGTCAGTACAACTATTTCACCTACGACAGAAAAGGAGATGAAATTTAAGGCTTTTAGAACAGGTAAAATGTTAGCCAGAAAAATATCCGAAAAAGAAATTTCCAAGCGAGCGGAATTCGTTGAATAATCAAAACTTTCTGTAAAAGGAAAAACCGAAACGGTGAATGGTAATAGGGTGATAGAGGTTCCAATGTAAATGAAAGTTATAATGAAAATACTTCTTGATCTTGAAAACTGACCCCTGAATCTGAATGGCATAACGACGCAACAACATTTTTGTAGGGAAAGGAATATGGTGATGACGGTGGAAATATTGTAGAACATCACCGCATAAAACGGGCATACAAAGCTTATCCAATACAGACTTATGTAAGGTTTGATCTTAAAATTTAGATCTAAATATCCAAAAGCGGTCGCTGCGAGAAACATCAGCAAATAAAATAAATCGGAAATCGTCAATGCGAAAAAACAAACAGAGATCCCGTCTTGTAGACCGGCCTTTGAGAACACAATCAGTGTGAGAATGTTCGAGAAAACACCAACCAACCGGGCTATGACCTTCACGATCTGCTGCAAGATGACGACACTGATAAAGTACGATGTAGCGCTGTCGATGAGGTCTTGATGTGCTACATTGAAATCATTGCTAGTTAAAGTAGTAACCGTGATATTGTATGCCATGCTGAATAGGAATTGTTTCAATGTGAGGCTTAACTCCCCTCTTTTGATTTTGATGGTAAATTTCAGGTAACAATTTTTACTGGTTTTAATTTTTGCCCAATGGAATCAGTCTTGAAGAGATATTCTCTCCTTGTCTGTTCAAGCTCATATATAAATGAACTTTAATTTTATTGCCAAGTGAATGATTCACACGAGAAGGATATTAACTGTTCTAAAAATTTGGATAAAACACAAAAGAATATGTTTATTTCAACTGAATCAAAGCCAAAAATAGACTTCTAACTACGCGTATATTTTCAATTATCATCGGCTTCAATTCATCTTTTTGTTTTATTTCTTTTACTTAGTGCCGTGACCATTCACTATTCTGGAAAATCTTGCAATGTTTTTGCTTATTTAATCTGAACACTTGATAAAGAAATCGGAGAAAAACCCTAACCGTAAAACTGTCGAGTTTGTACTTGTCAGCCGTTTGTTCCAGAAGAAATATGTAAATAAATAGGCTACAGCGAGAAGTAAATAAGTATCGAGTACATTTAAACCTTGCAGAAAATCGAAACCACTCCCATGGCGTCATTGGATTAGATGGCTACCCCATCAATACTTCACACAGATCGTTGTCATTTACAATCTCGTGTAAAATATTTTTAATGATTTTTTTAAAAAATACTACAATTAAAAAAATGATTATATGGAATGGTACTTTTTGTTTCGAGGTAGGTCTAATTAAAAAATAAAATTAATGAACCACCATTCTTTGATGGTATTATTGTTCTATTTTTGCTTCTTTATACATTGAAAAATTCAATAGAAAGTATCGGATGAATTAAAAATTAATTACACACAAACTCTATAATTAACTTTTTGTTTCTCCGACGGTCGCATAATTACATGATGGAATTGTTACAACCACATTTCTCAGCTATCGATTTGTTTCGTTAAATTTAATATCTTTCCTTATTTACTGTTTCTATATCCAACTTTTTAAACAATGTGTGTCTGTTAGGGGGTGGGGGCATGGGACGATCATTGTTTTCCACGATATTTTTAGTACAGCGCTCCTGTATATTGTATATGATCCGTTTTGTTGTTTCAAAGATAGGAGTTCTATGTGGTTGGGACGTTTAAGCTCATAGCTGCTGAAACGAAAAGTCCCGAGTTCGAACCCCGCGTAGATGAAATAACCTTGTAGTTTGTTCTTAGTTGGACAAATCCAAGTTGATACTTAATTGTGTTTGAGATAAATTTTCCAACACTGGAATTAGAATATGACGAGAGAGTGAAGAATAGCAAAAAAAAAAACCATTGACAACAACTTTAAAAATTCTATACTTATTGCGCCATTTTTTTAAACATCGTGCGCTATTTTAGTTAAACATTCATGATTATAAACATTAAGTGCATTTTTCGATGCGTTTTTAGTTATTATTCTAGACAACTAAACAATACTCGAAAAAACACTAAAACAATACGTGTTTTTTTTTTTCTTCACCACTAATTAATTTAACTAGAATGTAAAGAAATAGTTTTAATTAGGTTACTCTGACGCTCAATATTGTAAACAAATATTTACCGGAAGAGAAGTGGGGCCTAAAGTACAAAAATAAAAGCGACTCTGATCATTAAACAAAAGCAAATCATCTTTACTACAGCCTGATGTGCTACGATAAGAAATTATTGTGCTATCTTTGTCGGGTATAAAAAGGAAATGTCCGTAATCAGTGGCGTAGCCAGGATCGTCTCAAGAGGGGGGGGGAGGGTTCCAATTTTTACCCGGGGACAAACTTTCGATTTGCACCCCTCCCCCTCAAACTTTCGATTTACACCCCCCCCCCCCCTCAAACTTTCGATTTGCACCCCCCCTCCCCCTCAAACTTCCGATTTGCACCCCACCCCCTCAAACTTTCGATTTGCACACCCCCCCCCCCCCTCATACTTTATATATATATATATATATATATATATATATATATATATATATATATATATATATATACCCCTAACCCCCCATCCCTGCCTACGCCACTGTCCGTAAATGATATCGATCGTCGGAAGTGTTACTGGCTGGAACATCTTAAAACCTGATGGTGCGTGCATATAATCTAAGAAAACAAAATTGGTCCAAGGTGCCATTGTGTAATGTTATCAATCCTAGTCTAAACTTCCACTGCCCCTAAAGGGCGACGTAACTTCGATAGCTCATGAAGGGCTTATTACTCTTCTGAGTACGACTTGGCCTATGTGGTATTTAGATTTGTGGATAGTCCAAGTTATATGGTTGAAACTATGCTCATTTGTGTTTGCGGGAGGGGGGGGGGGGTCGCATACACCTTCCCCTCATACCCCATATATATATATATATATATATATATATATATATATATATATATATATATATATATATATATATATATATATATATATATAATGTTTGGTATTGTTTTCCTTTGAAAAAAATAGGTTACTTCGACAAACTAGCTATTTTAAGACTGCATGTAGCTGAGACTGTTAAAGGATTATTTGAAACAAACTGAAAATGCCAGGCCCAGGAAGAAAAGTTCCATTGTCCTCACCAATAGACTGTTTCCTTTCGATGACGATGTGTTACATAACCACGACCAAAATAGTTTTTGACACGTTTCAACGATTTTGCGATGTGGTACATACACTGCATGCAATCTTCAGCGTGACAACCTATCCGAGTGACGGCAAAGCTTACTATGTTATTGTAGTGCTACCTTCACCAATATCTAATGGTAGCTTCTTGGTCAATACACATACGAATAAACTAACCAATAATTGCAATGCAAGCAAGCTAACCAATCAGAACGAGTATGAGATATTTAATAATAGCGATGAAAACCCTACATTTGCAAATGGAACGTATTCACCATCAATAAATAACAATGTAGATAATCATACAAATCAAGATTATGCAAATAATCAGAATATACTGAAGATTGGTAAGAACTTCGTGGAAAAACAAACTACCTACAGAAACGGGAGTAGGCGAGGTTTGAATAAATTGAACTCTAACAATCAGAAAGATCTTAAAGAGACTTCGTTCCCAAGTTTTAAAGACAATTTTACGAAAAACCATGGACATGGCACACTGGGGTCCATTCATTGTACTAGCAAAGAAAACATGAAAGTAAAAGAGCTGGGTACGATACTCAAAGATGATAACCTTACCAGGTACTGTACCGACAAAGAAAACATGAAAGTGAAAGATTTGGGTACGATACTCAAAGATGATAACATTACATGTACCGACAAAGAGAAAATTACAGTGGAAAGCTTGGGTGCAATACTCGAAAACATCACAAGTGATTGTACCGACATGAAATTAGAGGACCTGAGTAAAATAATCGACGATGACAGCAGCAAGAAAGACGACAATTCGCTTGATGTTGTTTTAAAGGACAGACAATTGCTTCCTCGAGACAACGAATTCCTTGTGTACATGCAAGACGGGGAGGATGTGTCAATGAGAGAAGAGCGGTTCCGGCTCCAGACTTTCAGCCACTACCCTCGCAACAGCTGCAAGTCTCCGGTACTTTTGGCCAGCAATGGATTTATGTACGCAGGGGATGGATCCGCTGGTGATGATTCTGTTGTTTGTTATTTCTGCCGTTTGATAGTGAAAAACTGGAGAGAAGGGGACGTCGAAGAAGTTCACAAAGAGTTATCTCCAAATTGCCCTATGGTTACGGGGATCAACTGTGATAACGTCCCTTTGGGTTTTTTGCCTAAAGAAGTTCTCGTAAACTTTTACAAACGTGCCAGTTGTTCAGAAGTTGGATTGTATCCAGGTGGACGGGCAGTTGAAAGAAAAGGTGAACTGGACTCCAACAAACACACCGAAAGAGCAACATCTTCGACTAGCTCCATTGCTGCATCTACCGAACTAGCTGAGGAACAAGCACCACATACTCCCAGCTCCCAAAGCAGTGAAAACGACAACGCTCCGACCAGCTCCATTGCTGCATCTACCGAACTAGCTGAGGCACAAACACGACATACTCCCACCTCCCAAAGCAGCGAAAACGACAACGCTTCGACTGTTATCTCCAACTCTGAGCCAACGAATCAATCAGAAACTCCACAGCAGTCTTCTGGTACCACCAGCACCACAACAGTAGACAGAAGAAACTCTCGCTCGCTAACGTACTCTGAGTTAGGCATCATAACAGAGAGGCCTAAGCGTCTGGAATATGTTCACAAACTGGCACGACTTAGAAGCTTTACAGACTGGCCTAGAGGGCATCACTTAACGCCGGAAGAATTAGCCAGTTGCGGTTTCTATTTCGCAGGTAACGCAGCTTTATAATTAAATGATTTATATACATCAAATTAGCATTTATATTTATAGTTACATCAAGTGAAAAGAATATGTATAACGTTTTTTTTTTAATTTTACACAGGTTATGGTGACTGTGCCAGATGTTTCTACTGTGGTGGTGGACTCAGGAACTGGGAAGATGAAGATGACGTGTGGGTAGAACATGCCAGATGGTTCCCCAGGTGTGCTTTTATCCGTCAACAGATGGGACAGGTGTTTGTGGACACCGTGCAAAAATTAAACGAGGACCACGACGAGGTGCTTTTATTTATCTTATCACTTATCACGATACGCTCCAATCTTACAATTATCGTAATTTTAACATCGTATCCTGTCTATCTGGAGTATACTTTGTTGTTTCTATTTTTAGTTGTACATTAATATTTAAAACAAAGACACTAATGGGACATTTTAATTAATGCATGATGTATTTCTATTTGTTATTGTAGATATCACTCCAGATGGTCATGAACGAAATGGGCACTTCCACGTCGACATTTCAGTTAGGCAAGTGTATATATGTATATGTGTCTGTACATTTTTGGCGAGTCAAAGGTTGGCAATATGTTACATTAGCGACGTGTATACTATACATGTCTAGAAAAAACAAAAGCTTGCATCAAGCTAATGCTATATGAAAATATGTTCCCACGGAATATGTATACTTTATTGCAGCTAGTATTTTTTTAGACATGTATTGTGTAATGTCGCAAGTGTAAGCGCCGTGTCAAAGCGCTCACCTCGGCAGGTATAGTTACACAATTGTACTAGTCACCTGACCCTGTACCTACATCAGAGCAGAGCCATACTGGTAGAAAAACTGCCAGTAACTTGAGGTAGTTTCTAGCTCATGCTAAGATTGATAAGCACTACTCATAACTGTAAAATCCAGTTAGTTTCTAGCACATTGTGAAGTTTGATACGAGTCCCTAGTAACTTGAACTTCTGTTAGCTCGTAGAACATTCTAAGTTTTATACGAACTTCTAGTAACTTGAACCTCTGTTAGATTCTAGAACATTCTAAGTTTTATACGAACTTCTAGTAACTTGAACCTCTGTTAGATTCTGGCACATTCTAAGACTCGTGCAATACATACCCTTGTACCCACTATGAAATAAAAGTTAACGGTTATTCCTTGTTCCAGACGGCAGAACGAACCAGTTAGAGAGAGACCCGGCAGTCCTGACGGTGATTGACATGGGCTATAACCGGAACGATGCCGTCAGCCGCGCGCAACACATTAAAGAGCAGAGTGAGTACTACTTGTTGTGGGTTTTTTAATAAACCTGGTCTGTTTTCATTGAGCTCTCGAGTAGCTGGAAGATATTTAGGAAGTTTCAATAATCAATTCATGGGCGGTAGTGCTTCTTTCATGCATCTAACGAGGGGGTTATAGTACCTGCCCCACCTAAGAGTATTGTACATTCTCCTCTCTCCCCCCCCCCCCTACACACAATTCATAAAACGGGAAATTTAAATAGAAAAAAAAATGTTTTAAGCATTGCCTTAACCCAAGCCAAGTTACAATTGCCTGAAATATCTGAGAGAAACCTTGATGGGTGGATAAAATTAAATTTTAAAAAAAAACATTGAGATGTGTCTAACATTATTTGCATGTATGGTATGTATATATGACTCAAATGATCCGAGTCCTTGTGCACTTAACTGTTACCATGTAACAGTAATACACTAGTAAGACGTAATCGATTGAAATACGAAAATATTACTTAATATACTTAATATTTTTTTCATTGTCACCTCCAGATAGCATTTTGTCTGCCGACACTCTTTTAGAGGATTTACAGCAAACGACAGCACCATCAGTTGAACGGCAGTGTGAGCTGTCTTGCAGGAGTAGCGCTGGAAACGGTCGAGAAAATTTAGGTAGCGTAATCAATGGACTTCGCAATTACTGTATAATAATTTTTTATGAGATCAAACGTGCTAATACGGTTAGTGCGACTGTAGCAAGGGGTAGATTTAGATCTGGGTCAACTAAAAAATGGGGTCACACCGTCCAGGCGTATTGTTTAGCCTTCCCCACGAGCAATAGTTTTTTTTTTATTACACTTAAAATTGCTAATTATTTAAACTTAACTCTAATTTCATTTTATTTCTCTAAACGTGTAAGAAAATGAAAGTGACTAGCGTATCGCAAATCTCAAACCAGCTGGATCAATGCCGCGTTTCGTCGTTTTTCTTGATCTATTTATAGTATGTAATTTTAAACTCAAGTCCTGCCAACTAAAATCGGGAATACCCTAACTTTACATGTCGAATAAGTGGATCACTCGGAGTACGGGGAAACCCGAATGCCATGATAAACAAAATGTGTTGGCCAAGTATTTCGTATTTACCGATTTAGACGGATTGTTTATTTTAAGGTAGTGCAAACGGGGCGTTGACCGAATTGACGTTGTCAACATGAAGTATTATTCTGGGTTGGGTTCACTTCTTTTTTCGTATTTTATTTTTTTAATTTTAAGACAATTTCTGCAACTTTTTAATTTCAATTACCCTTCTTTGTAAACAAATTAGGCACATTCTCGTGGATGACAAGCTGAGATACACATTCATTCACAGTTAGGGTCTAATACACATTCATTCACTTTTAGGATCTAATACACATTCATTCACAGTTTCATATTCTAATACACATTCACTGCACCGTTCTAATCTCACAAAAAAAATAGAGTCTAACACACAACCATTGCATCTTGCAATTTTAACACACAATTAGGGTCTATAAGTTGCCCCAATAATTTCCCCTTAAATTATCATACCTCATATTAATTTGACCTCTATGATATCTATATGCTAACCCTTCTTTCCCCACGACAACCCTAAGTTAATAATCTATACGGTTAAGTTATGGATATCACTTTAGCAATTGTAAAGCTATTGTGTCACTTTAATCACCCGCCCATTTATATTTACTAAATTACAAATTAACTAAATTCAAAAACAGTGTTAAATTATATCTACCACGTATAACATGGTGAAAGAATTCAATACCATTCCTGCCTTATTAGCTTATCAATACAGAATTAAATGGTTAATAATTATATTCAGTTTTGCCCCGTTCTCTGTAAACAAAAAAAGAGTTTAATGTATTAAATTATCGATGATTTCATTTTACTGTGAATTATTTTAGTGTAGTCAAACAAATTAGAAAGTTATAATCTAATACACGTGTATTTAACTAGATTTTTTTTACCTAACACAAGCGTGTGTAGTTTGATAATATTTTGCTAAAACTATTTTTTACAGAATCAATTCGACTGATAAAAGAACAGAACAACCGTCTACGTCAGCAGACTGTGTGTAAGATCTGTATGGACAAAGAGGTGGCTGTCGTCTTCCTGCCCTGTGGTCATCTGGCGTCGTGTGCGGACTGTGCCTCAGCCATGAGAGACTGCCCCATCTGTAGAGTGAACGTCAGGGGCATTGTCAGGGCATTTATGTCATAGGTCATCTTGACATCTCATCTTTTTAAAAGCCTTGAAAAAATAATTAGGAAATGTATTCAGTCTTTTACTTAGTTGATTTCTTGTTTTGAAATTTGTGTTTTAAAGCAAAATGATATTATATGTTTCTTATAAATGGATAATGTTGAAATGCTACAATAAAACAGTAATGAAATTGTGTATCTTTTATTCTGTTTTTACTTTCTTGTATACAAGGTATAGAGATAGTATTGTGATCGTACAGAAAAAATTAAAGGAAATTTTAAGTTTTCGCCATTTTACACCTAGCCATTATAACTTATACGGTATTTAAATGATGCATTATAATCGTTAATAAATCTAAATCGAGATTTCGACACATTTTAGATGTTTTATAAGCTTTCGAAGTCACATAAATTTAGTTTTGCCATCCTATTTGTCTATGTGTGTATCTGTAAACACGATACCTTTAGTGCCGTTCCAGTTATGTTGAGTAAACTACTCTACTTTCGGCTTCTTTATTAAAAGCTAATAATATTAGGTAAGCAGATAAAATTTCAAATATAAGTATAATACATTATGCGAAGGTTCCTTTAACTTTTGTACGATTTCCGGTAACCGGAAGTGGTAAATTGCCCTCGTTCTTTGGGAACATGATAACTTGAATACTGATTCAATTAGGTAGACGAAATTTCATATATAAGATCTTATACGTGTATTACTCTCAAATTTTGAGCGACAGTCGATGTCCAGAAGTGGTATTTTATTTCCGGTTTCTAAAATACAGATTAGTATATATATATATATATATATATATATATATATATATATATATATATATATATATATATATATATATATATATATATATCCACGTCAACGAACACCCATATCCACAGAAATAAATATTATTTTTCCAAGTGGACATAATTAACAGAGATACGATACCATCGTTTTGTTGAAAAGCACTTGATAATAGCATAGAAGACAAGAGTCTCGCTGTTGGCAAGTCATATTAAAAAAACGTGGGGATTCCCCATAAGTGTTGAACATGTCAGTGAAGGAAGACATGCAGCCCACGTAAATCCTCTTCTCACATTAAATTAGATGAATGAACACCAAGGTGTGGATGTGGTTCAGTGGCTGGTTGTAACAATAGTAAACAGAACACCGGACAGTCCCTGTAGCAGATCCTGTTGACGCCGCATGAATGGGTTACGTGCTGAAGCGAACTTACAATAACAAAAGTTTGACATTTCACAATGACATTGCTAAATCGGGTAATTTTGTGTGCGGTAACCCAGAGAGTCAACCAACCCCGATCCTAAGGGGGCTCTAGAAGGGGTGGGAAAAAATAAAAAGCTCAATTTAAACTGAAAGTTTTTATAAAAACAGTAGAAGTTAAGAAAATAAACGTCTACAAGGCTTTACACCCTGATTTGACTGTTTTCTACATCAAGGATAATTTGACCGGTGGGTAGCTAGACGGAGTACACCGTTCGGGGGGTAGCTCATGCTATAGGTGTGTTATGTGCTAGACGGAGAACACCGTCCGGCGGGTAGCTCATGCTGTAGGTGTGTTATGTGCTAGACGGAGTACACCATCCGGCGGGTAGCTCATGCTGTAGGTGTGTTATGTGCTAGACGGAGTACACCGTCCGGCGGGTAGCTCTTGCTGTAGGTGTTGTATGCTAGACGGAGTACACCGTCCGGCGGGTAGCTCATGCTGTAGGTGTTGTATGCTAGACGGAGTACACCGTCCGGCGGGTAGCTCATGCTGTAGGTGTTGTATGCTAGACGGAGTACATCGTCCGGCGGGTAGCTCATGCTGTATGTTTTGTATGCTAGACGGAGTACACCGTCCGGCGGGTAGCTCATGCTGTAGGTGTTGTATGCTAGACGGAGTACACCGTCCGGCGGGTAGCTCATGCTGTAGGTGTTGTATGCTAGACGGAGTAGACCGTCCGTGGCTAGCTAATGTGTTCCTGAATTTGTCGACATACCTCGCAAGCTTGTCAGTTTAATATAGATTTAGCGCCACGTAAACTAGACCACAGAACGAAAACTTATATATCGCCTGTAGCCTACTCGCACTCGCGCAGAGATTTCACAATATTACGTGGCACTTATCTCGTGTATATAAGCAGCAACGCAATCTATTGACATTAAATCTCAAGTAGATTAATTATCACATTTTCAATTTGTGATAATGTCAGTGAGTAATTGTAACTAATTTGTCTTAATTACCACAAGTAGCATATTAAAAATAATGACAGTTCTATCGGCATTAACTTTGTAGGCATATTTCCAACGCTTGAAAATCCTATTTAAAAAAAAAAAAAAACAGGCGAATCGAAGAAATGTGCTACAATGTCTGCAAGCGATTTGATACAAATTGATTTCAAAATTATCCTTGTAGCTGCAATATACGGCGTCCTTGTAGTAAGGGGAATAAACCCTTGTGATATCGGCCCCTGTGGTCCAGGTCAGCATTGGGATGAGCCATCCAGGAGTTGCGTCCCTTGTGAAGATGGGCTCACTTTTATGGACCAAATCGGCCATAGATGTGAGGCCTGTTCTCGTTGTAAAACACTAGAAGACCACGAGCGACAGACATCCAAATGTAACATCACCCATAATTTACAGTCGGAGTGTCTGGAAGGCTACCGTCGTAGGGACGACGTCTGCAAGAAAGGTATTCAATGGGCTGTAGGATAGTATTTTTTGTTTGTTTATCTAACGCTAGCTCATAGATCAATTTGAAAGTTGAAAGTTTCCTTTAAAGATGTTGATGTATGGACTTATTAAGTTAAAAAAAAGGTTACTTTTTTAGTGTTGTTTAAATAAAGCTTCAGGAATTGTTAAATATTTAAGGCTTATTATTATTATTATTATTATTATTATTATTATTATTATTATTATTATTATTATTATTATTATTATTATTATTATTATTATTATTATTATTATTATTATTATTATTATTATTATTATTATTATTATTATTATTATTATTATTATTATTATTATTATTATTATTATTATTATTATTATTATTATTATTATTATTATTATTATTGCTATTGCTATTGCTATTACTATTACTATTATTATTACTATTATTATTATTATTATTATTATTATTATTATTATTATTATTATTATTATTATTATTATTATTACTATTATTATTATTATTATTTGCGTACGAAAAATAACTCAGGCGATGTAACCAGATGGACTGGGGAGTTGTACTACCAAAATCTTAGACCTATTAGATCGACAAGTCGTTTATAAGCAATACATTTTTTAAAGATTTTTGCGTTTTACTATTGTGCTTAATTTATTTACAAAATTGCATTATTCTTTTCCCTGCTAGTGATGGAGTCAACATCAGCCGGCTCTAAGGATGCTGACCAAGTGACCACAGCAAACGGTGCACTGGAAAGCGTGACGACAAGACGCAAAACAGACGACCGCCAATGGACACACGTCACTACTTCTGCTGCTAAGTCGGGAGAACAGTCGACAATGCAAGAATCTTCATTTACTCCAGGAGTTACAGCTGCCGTTACACTCAGCGTTCTGATAATTCTGATAGGTTCTAGTATTTGGTGTTACCGTTTAGGCTTGTGTGCGACAGTCCGGAAAAAGTTTGTTAAGTACTGTGTATGATTTTCGTTCCTTAAAACTTGACTCAAAATAAATTCTCATTAAGATTCGTTTTCCTTTTACAAAAGATTAGAAATGTAAGAAAAAAAAATAAAGGTTTTTGTTTTTAGAGGGTAGCTTGTAGCAAGCGCTAATATCTTTAAACCAGCCTTTTATGTTTTATTTTTGGAACAGTTTCTTTTATGATATGGTACATAGATGGATCATATGTTTGTTAGAATGAGGTTATACAAGTGCCGTAAAAGATCAACCTATCAGAAACATTTATTTTACGCATTGGAATATGACATGGGTCGTAAAAGATCAACCTATCAGAAACATTTATTCTACGCATTGGAATATGACATGGGTATTTCGTTGACTAGTTTATTGTATAAAGAAACAAAATTGAAACAAACGGATATAACAGCTCGAAGTTTTTGATTTCGCAGCTGTGCTGCCTTCTCTTACACAGTCAACAACAAAAGCACAACTAATTGTACTGATTGAAGAAGCAGTAATAACCGGTTTAATGATAGTGACATTCTGATTAGAATCTGTAGCAATGAAACGCGCTTTAACATCTAAGCCAATGTGGAATTCCAATGCATTGTCAAAAAATTCAATCACGATCTATAGCTAAATGTGAAGTCTCTTTTACTGTGTGAATCGGAGCTAGGTTAAAGACAGTGGAGAATGAAATAAGAGCATGGAAAAAGTGGTGGTTAGGGCACAATATAAAAAAAGACAGTAAATAATATTACTAACCAGGTGTTGGTGTAAATTCCATGTGGAAAGTGGAAGAGAATGAGACAAAAAAGTCCTGAAAGAAATCGTTTGAAATTGAGATGGGAGAGACTGGATTAGGTTGAACAAAGTAACAAAGCATTAGCAGTCATCGTGTTGTACCATTTTTACATTGTTTAGTAGGTCTAGTGGCCTTAGCTAAATGAAAATTACAGTATTAGGACTTGTTATGAAACAAGCAATAAAAATGATATATTCTGTACAATATAATCATTTTTTAGCTCTTAAATTTTCTCCAAGAGAATCGTCTTCCGCCCACCTTCTCCGTCCGTATGCTACTTTACTGATCGGATAGCGATTCAAGAATCCGTGATATTTATTTCTCTTTAAAACAGTGATCCAGGCAAGATGTAATGCAATCAAAAGTATCTGATCTCTCACATTGAAGTCAAGAGAATTGTAACAATCTTACAAAGAACTAGTCGCATCTTCTTCTTCTTCGTTCTTAATTTTAGTGTTGAAAGGGAACCCCTCCAACACAATGAAGTATACGTGTCAACTGGTTATGAGCCATTGAGGCCGTTGACTCCGATTTCAGCCTGATTTTCATTTTGGATTTGCTCCCATAGCCTTTGTCCAACCAAGAACAAACTACAAGGCAACAGTTGTATGATTTTGGAGTTGTCTCTCCTAGAGGAGTGGCTGTCAACAGCTATCGAGCCTCATCTGCCCGAGGTCTAGAACTCAAGACTTTTCAGTTTAGCAACCATGAGCTTAACCGACTTGACCACGCCGACCCCAAACTGGCTGGTAAAATTGTACATTACGCTTTAATACAAGTGTTGAATTTAACTAATCACCGGTGTAAATCCTTCCCATTTACATGGCGAAAAAGCTTGCCACAGCCACCAGCATGTTTTTTTTTATTTTACTGTTACACAATACACTTTATTACAATTGGTTTCTTCTCTTGTTAAAGATTATCTACTCACCAATCCAGTGTAAATCCTTGCGATTTTATTTAGCGAAAAAGCGCCTCCCCCCCCCCCCCCCCCCCACCATCTTTAATACAATACAATTGGTTTCTTTTATAGGTGGTGACGTTTATCGACTAACCAATCTAGTGTAAATTATTTCGATTTTGGTAGCAAAAAAGCGCCCCCACCCCTCCCCCCCCCCCCCCAATTCTAGGTAAGGCTGGAAAGAAGTTTTTGCCGGTCTCTGTTTATAAAAGGTACATGTTTTACAGTTACGCTATCAATGTAGAAAACAGTTATATAAGTATATAAAGGCGGGTAGCTTTACATTTCTTAACTTTAGACTGTTTATAATTAAAACCTGCAGCATTAAATCAGCCGTAAAAACAAAATGTCCCCCCTTTTGGCGCCCCCCTAGCTTTGCCTCTAATTATATCATATATTTTAAAAATAAAAATGATACGATTTTATGCAATTTAGTTTGATTTAATATTTTACGTCAATAGTTCTGAATGTTCTGTTGAAAATATCAAATGCACCAAATAAAGTTGATTCAAATACTTGTGAGTTTTAAATACGTATATTTTTTTTTTAAAGCTCTTCTTTAAATTAATGTTTTATAAATAGAGAAAAGATTTTAAACCAGTAGCTTAGCGAAGGGGGGGGGGGGGGGGCGGGGGGGACATATGTCCCCGGGCGCCGACATTAGGGGGCGTCAAAATGGGTTGGAAAAATAAATTGAAAGGTTGAGGGGGGTGCAAATCGAAAGTTTGAGGGGGGGGGGGGTTGCAAATCGAAATCTTGAGGGGGGAGGTGCAAATCGAACGGTAACGGTCGCTACGCCTCTGCTTTAAACATAACAATTATGACAAGGTAAGTGTGTGGGGGAGCTAACTTAATAACTTCCACTTCTCCCATACCATCACCCCTCTCTCTCGTTACACTTTATCACAAACCATTGGTCATTTTCCGTAATATAACATTACCACTAACCCCCCAACCCCCACATATACCTACCCACAAATTTGTGTGACATTATTAATATGTAGACGTTAAAATTCTAAAGCTTTTCTGAGATGATATACTCGGGAAATATGTTTTTGCAAACGTGTGTTGTCTGGCAATCTCTAAACAGCAGCATACAATGCTGTCGCGGAACTTTCGAAAGTCCCAGACCTGAAAAACACCTGGCTGATAAAATTGTATTGCTACATTTTATGTGGCACCTAACTCAAACTGCACGACCAAGTTTAAGGCTGTAGACAAGTCCTGTTTGTTATATATAGATCTATATATAGTGCAGTTACATTACATTTCAAGCTCAAAAAGTTGATGCCATCCAAAATTTGAAACAATTATTTTCAATTAGTTTAAATGTAAATAAAAAGCTAATAAAAACTAAAATAATTTAAGGAAAAAGGCTTATAGTATTATGCTCACAAATCACGAATAAATCACAAATGAAAAAAATTCACTAAAAAGTAAAAAATAAATTGAGTTTGATGCAACATTACTAAAGCTATGTTATAACGCTGGTATGACTAAAAATATACTTCTTAACGTTCAAGTATGAAAATTGAACAAAGGTGTTACATTATGTTACAGATCATAAATATATCAATGGACTCCCTAGGAATGGGAATATGTTTTCCATAAGTGAGCGCCCAGATTTTTTTTTGTTTAAATTTAATTTTAAATTTCAGCTCGATCAGATAAAGAGAAGTGAGTTACATTTTTTTATTTCAAAAGTTGCTGAGAAGCACACGCGCTATAATGCAGTAGGTTGCCAAACATCACTTGGCTCTGTTTTGAAACTTGTAAACAAACATGGTTTCCAAGCCAAAAAAGAGTGATCCTTTATCCAGATATTTTAAAGACTTAGATGAGTGGGATTTAAGTAGCAGCGATGATGACGAATCTAAAGTAGAATCTATAAAATCAACTAATAATAAACCACAAAAAGATGATAATATACATTGAATGTAAATAATTCCAACCGTGGTGCAGATAATTACAACATTAGTGCACACACGACAACTCTCAACAAAAGTAAAAGAAATTCTGGAAGTGGAAATGCACCTGCTAACATCGATTTGAAATATGAAGAAGAAAAGAATAATAACGTGATGAAAACAGTACTTCCTTCTACTCATGATCGCCTTGCATAAAAAAATACACATTGTTTCTTAAAAGCCTTGGATAGTAAATAGTTGAATTGGGATAAGGTAGAAAATCGCCTAGACAATGACAATGCTGATCAACAAATAACAAATTTCAAAACGAATGCTGTTCCACCACCTTCATCCTATGAAAAAGTTACTGATCCAGACATTAAAGTTGTTGACAATGAAGGAAAGAAACGCAAAAAAAAATATGTGATGATCTGGAAGATCCAATGACTTCAACAAAAGCTGATAATGTGCATATAGATAAGGAAAAAGATTCAAGTTAACAGTATTTTTTTTTGACATTTTAAACTACACACACACGCATATATATATATATATATATATATATATATATATATATATATATATATATATATATATATATATATATATATATATATATATATATATATATATATACATATATATATATATACATATACATATATATATATATATTTATATATATATATATATATATATATATATATATATATATATATATATATATATATATATATATATAATAAAATTACATTTTTAAATAAGTGCATTTGAACAAAAAAATAATATCTGTAAATAAAATAAAAATAAGTACTTATTCTTTTTTCTTTGAGTAAGGGCCCACCTAAGTGTTAGCATGTAGATGGAAAGAGCTGATATCCTGTGTATATTGCACGCCTGATATCTTTTTGTTTATTCTTCATACAAAGTATCTGTTTAATTTTATCGTTTTACGTTATTCATAGTTCATAACCTATGATCGTTAGTACTTTGAACGTTATATGCATCGAAGTTTGCTTAATATGTTTTCAGAAACTGAGGAAATTTACCTTGTTACATGTTTTTAAATGATTATTTCAATTACAAAAGAAACTGTTTTTGATGAAACCCCCACTCGCAACACTTAGCAACTACTAGTTTGGACCCAAATGGCCACGCCTCTGAATGCAATCCATTGTTACATTTAAATAAACAAGCTGACCTAAGCCAAATAAGGCACGTAACTTTGGGAAGATATAGGCCTACATACCGTGAGGAGTAGTCAACTAACACCCATATCCACAAAAATAAATATTATTTTTCCCAGTGGAGACAATAAACATTGCATGTCATTATTTTATGGATAACTACTTGATAATAGCATAGATAACTCGGGTTTCGGTGATGGAAGGTAATATTAATAGAACATGGAGATTTCCCATTATTTATAGTACGTTGGTATTCCCCATAAGTATTGAACATGTCAGTGAAGGAAGACATGCAGCCCACGTAAAGCCCGTTCTCACATTAAATTAGATCAATTAACACTAAGGTGTGGACGTGGTTCAGTGGCAGGTTGTAACAATAGTAAACATGGTTCAGTGGCAGGTTGCAACAATAGTAAACATGGTTCAGTGGCAGGTTGCAACAATAGTAAACAGAACGACGTGTACACTGGACATTCCCTGTGACAGATCCTGTTGACGCCGCATGAATGGGTTACGTGCTGAAGCTTACTTTACTTACAATACCAAATGTTTGACATTTCGCAATGACATCGCTATATCGGGTAATTTCGTGTGCGGTAACCCAGAGAGTCACCCACATAAGGCCTTGCTGGGGAGGGGGGCGGCCACCCCGCCGATCCTAAGGGGGCTCTAAAATGGGAGGAAAAAAATTAAAAGCTCAATTTAAACTGAAAGTTTGAATTTAAATAATTCGAAGTTAAGAAAATAAAAGTCTGCAATGCTTTACATGTTGATTTGACTGTTTTCTACATCAAGGATCAACTGCCCGGTGGGTAGCTCATGCTGAAGGTGTTGTATGCTAGACGGAGCAGACCGTCCGACGGGTAGCTCATGATGGGTGGTGTATACTAGACGGAGTACACTGTCCGGCGGGTAGCTCATGATGAGTGGTGTATACTAGACGGAGTACACTGTCCGGCGGGTAGCTCATGATGAGTGGTGTATACTAGACGGAGTACACTGTCCGGCGGGTAGCTCATGATGAGTGGTGTATACTAGACGGAGTACACTGTCCGGCGGGTAGCTCATGATGAGTGGTGTATACTAGACGGAGTACACTGTCCGGCGGGTAGCTCATGATGAGTGGTGTATACTAGACGGAGTACACTGTCCGGCGGGTAGCTCATGCTGTAGGTGTTGTATGCTAGACGGAGCAGACCGTCCGGCGGGTAGCTCAGGTGTTGTACACCCAGGGAAGAATATCGTCCTAGGTGCAGTACGTGTTAGTCAGACCACCACAAGAAATGCGTAGAATACCTGAAACAGTAGAGGCGATATTTGTTCATTCATTCAAGCGTATTGGCGCGTGACTTCATGTACGTTCAATAACTTGTTGACACACACCAAGGCTTGTCTGGTTTAAAATAGATCTAGCGCCACGTAAATAGACCACAGAACCAAAGCCTATCTATCACTTGCGCGGAGATTTTAAAATATTACGTGGCATTACCTAGTGTATAAAAGCTGCCCACACAATCTCCTGCCACCTATGTCAAGTAGATAAACCATCACATTTATCATAACAGTGACTAATAAGTTGTAACTGAGTTGTCTTAAGTACGACAAGTAGTATGTTAAAAATAATTATAGTAGTAGCGGATTTAACTTAAATTAATGTATCCAAATTATGTGTATGGTTTAAATCAATGTGCGGTAAATAAATTAAACTCATCAAAAATAAGATTTGATTTAACACACACAAATCTGACACACTTGGATTTTTTTCTTTAAAATCTTGTAATACTTAAGTAATATAAAAACTTGAAAAATGAATCTTTATTTAACAAAACAAATTTTAAATTTCAAACTAATAAAAAATGTAATAATAATTATTATTTAAAATTATGTTTTTATTTTTTTCAGCGCAACACGAACAACAGAAAGTGGAAAATAAACTGAAGTGTGGATGTGTGAGATGGATAAACATAACATACCAATCCAACATCCAGACACAGACCTGTTTCCTATGTATCCAACCCAAATGATTGCCCTCTACACCGTAGGCAATAAGGAATTATTTCACGCGCAAAGTTTGCAGGATTACGACTATCTCCGTATAACATGGGCGTCACAATGTGTTTTTATTGTTCAATTGATCAACGTAGCGAGAGATGTTTGCTTTAGGATTTATGTTCTAGGATTTCAATTACATCTCCGTAACTGTTTGACGGTTCGGTCAAAAGTTGTAAAGCCGATGATAAAATATGATAGTGATATTCGAAAATATAATTCAAAAGCAAAAGCCATTCGAAAAGTAATAAGTAAGCAAATTTCGCAAAAGAAGCAAATTAACGAAAAATGTATTAGAATTAGTATCAAGAATATCTGCAAAGAGTATTTTCACAAAAGAGTAAGAGCAAATGAAAAAAATCAAGTATATGTTGGGCTTGAGAAAAAGCAAGATCAAATAAAACAAAAAGGACAAGGTTCTGAAAGCTACACTCGTCCCGAATTAACTTTACGTGATCTTTTAACCAAGATCAACTTCAAGCCGCCGTTGCAAAGAGTTACTGTGTGTATGCAAGCATCACGTCCAATGTTCCACCCACCCAAAGTCAATAACATTTCGTGGAACTGTCTAAGACACGAGATGCTTCGACTGGCCACCTTCAAAAATTACCCAAGCGCCACTGCCCAGTATGCATCCAGCTTGGCTAGCAACGGATTCGTATATACGGGCAATGGGTCACGCAGTGACGACACAGTCACGTGTTATTTTTGTTTGAGAACTAAAAATAACTGGGCTCGGGCTGATGTTATACCGGATGTGCATCAAGACATGTCTCCAGAGTGCTCCATGGTTACGGGCATCAATTGTAACAACGTCCCCATGGCAACAGGGGTTAAATTTGAAGAACTTCAACATTATTTAGAGCAATATATAACCAATGGTGCTAGAGAGGATGTTTCAATAGACGCCACCGAAGCCGTGAACTGCAGTGGTCAAGATACCCCGACCTCAGACCCCGTGCACGGTCCAGACGGTGACACCCCAGCGCTGTACGAGTCTGATCACGTTACGGAACCGCCTGACAGTCACGTGATATCTCCTCCCTCAGCGACTCAGCATTTCGGCACCGCATCCATTACTTTACCATCAACATCACGACTTTCGACTACAACAACAAATCCTGTATTGCCATCACACGGCCAACATTCTACAAGCAACTCTACTCTACCTTCCCCGTGCGTACCTACACTCCCACCCTCTGAGACTACAGTCACTAGGCATCAGCCCCCTCCCTCTCACCATACAAGACACACCCATGCCACTGCCGTTTCAAGAAGAAACAGGCCCCCACAAACCCCAACACTATCAGAGCTAGCTATCATCACTGACAGACCAAAGCGCATTGACTTCGCCCATAAACTCACCAGATTACAAAGTCTGGCCAACTGGCCGAGGGGTCATCACCTGACCCCGGAGGATTTAGCAAGCAGCGGATTTTATTATGGTGGTCAGTTTGTTATTTATATAATACAGTTATTGCTTGTAATCACGTAAAATATTAACTGAATGCGTGCATATGTGGTTACAAACATCAAATTTAGTGATTTATTTTTTCGTTTTTTGTCTAAAATTTGTCAGCATTAAACAATATTCAAACAATTATTTAATTACTGAAACATTCTTTGCAAAGATGTTTCATTAGTTAAATCATTTTATTGATAAAAAAAATTATAATCAATCTTAGAGGTTCATTAATTTTGTTTTTGTGTGTGTTCTGAACATGCCAAGGCAAACTGATGCTTTAAATTACATGTGTATGGGACAATTTAAAAAGTGTGTCCTGAACGGTTGTTTCTGTAAATTTTGGTTGTTGCTATGTATCAGAAGTAGATATAAGTTGATTTTTCGCATTTCAAAAAACTATGTTGAAAGTTATAAATAATTTTTTTAATTGGTATTAAGTCACACAAAAATGTAGTGCTTTATCATGTTTTCGGATTTAGAATAATAGATATACTAATAATTTTAAAACAAATCCAACAGGTTATGGTGACTGTGCCAGATGTTTCTACTGTGGTGGTGGACTCAAAAACTGGGAAGATGAAGATGACGTGTGGGTAGAACATGCCAGATGGTTCCCTAAGTGTGCCTTCATCCGTCAACAGATGGGACAGGTGTTTGTGGATACTGTACAACGTCTAAACGAGGATCATACGCTGGTAGGTTTTAATCAATGAAAAAAAAATCAATCTAAAAAAAAAATTGTAAATAAATCTATTTTAAAAAACAACTTTAATTTAAAATTCAATTTTCAATTTAATATCATCACTAACATATTGTACAGACAGATTTAATATTGTGAATTGGTTTTCTAATTCTAAAAGGGGGAATAATTTTTCTTAAGTGAATGTTTATTAATTTATGAAGTGTTTGTCTCCCCTTTTATAGTGACTTAAATAAACTATTCTCAATTTCATGGTGAATTGGAAAAATAAAGTAAACTTTTGTTTTCTAAGTTTTACAAAACTAAGTCTAATGATGACGTTTACAATTTTCTTGTTTTCTTAGATTACACTACAGATGGTTTCGGAAAAGTTGAATCATTCACCTTCATCCCAGTTAGGTCAGTGCTCATTATAAATTAACGTACATTAGAAATATATATATATATATATATATATATATATATATATATATATATATATATATATATATATATATATATATATATATATATATATATGAATAGGCCCATGTATTAGTGTGTGTATATGCGTGTAATTCGAAGAAAACTTAAGCATTTCAACATTAACTTTAACTGCTACAGCAATTAAAGAAAATCCACTGAAGAGAGATCCCGCTGTTTTGACAATCGTAGACATGGGCTACAGACTGGACGATGTGGTCAGCTTCGCTCAGCGTGTTAAAGAAGACAGTAAGTGCTGGGTACTCCACTGTTTACTCAGTAGTCATGAGGGACGTTTCTTGTAAAATTATGCAATCAAAACAATCAATCGTAAATTAATCATAGTGGAAAATAGGGGGGAAAAAGATAAAACAATTGCCAAGATATCTTGTGTTTTAAAACATAAAAAGAAATAAAAAGTATGTGTAAATATCAATTTCTATTTTACACGCATTTCAAATATAGATATAAAATTATTTTCTATGTTTTTTTACAACTAATTGTATAAAAGAATACAATTAAAGTTAATAAATTAATATTAATTATGTGTAGGTAACGTCATCTCAACTGATACAATTCTTCAAATGATGCAAAAATCTAATGAAGGAAGGAGTCACGATACGAAGCAAGCAGTTTCAACATTTCAAGAAAAGGATATAAACAATTTTCTAGGTAATTTCTAATCATATCACATTATCTCATTAAAAACATTTTTAAAAATTAATCTTGGACTTCGATTCTTTCATTTCTTTTGTAATTAGTTCAAGGTTAATTGACATCGCTGATGAGTAAATATTATTTCCCTTCACATCTTGATTTGACTTGACTTAGTCCTCTTTGCTCCTTATGGAACATAGGGCCTCCACCATTTCCTTCCATTTCGTCTGATTCACGTCCTTCACATCTTACTTGCTCACAAACACCTTCACAAGCAAGCCTGATACAACTAAAACTATCTTACTTTTACAAACTGTTAGGTTGTTTTTTTTTTAAATAAAATTAGTTGCCGTAATATTGCAATATCTAAATGTTCTTGAACTTGAATCAACAGAAATGATAAGAACAATAAAAGAACAGAACAACCAGCTACGTCAGCAGACTGTGTGTAAGATCTGTATGGACCAGGAGGTGGCTGTCGTCTTCCTGCCCTGTGGTCATCTGGTGTCGTGTGCGGACTGTGCATCAGCCATGAGAGACTGTCCTCTCTGCAGATCTAATATTAAAGGCGTGGCTAGGGTTTTTCTTGCCTGATACTACAATTGTTTTTTAATTACTGAAATATACGGTTAAGCAGAAACAGAAATAAAACATGTACAACATAGTAATTGTTTATGAGGGATAATAAATTATTCATTGATTTACTTGTGTGAGAAAAATAAAGTATGTGTCCCACTTTATATTTACATACATTAAATATGTGTGTGTGTGTGTGCTTGCGTGTATGTGTGTTTGTGAATAAGATTACAAATAAGCTACCGAAAGTACATATAGTGTGTGTTAAGAACATTTTAATTCTCTTTTTTTTTTTTCTTTTTTTTTTTAAGTTAAGTACATTTTAATTCCCGTTTGAATATATATATCAACTATTCAATGTGATTGGTGCTAGATCTCTACATTGTTTAATTGTGACAAATAAATTAAACTTACATTTAACTATGTTAGTTGATCTTTAACTTTGATAGCTCTGATAATAATAATTAATCAGACTTAAATATATTATTTTATGCTGTATTTTTATTTTATAAAACATTAATAAAGAGTTGGTTTTTATAAAATATTTTGAAAATGGTCTTATCTCTTAACCGTATTTTTTATCTTGATAATTTAAGTGGGTACTTCTCTCCCCTTACATATATGTTGAAGAGCCCGTAAGCTGCGGGCTATGTACCCATATAAAGAGAGAGAGAGAGAGAGCTGTTATTTTGCTGAATGTATAATTTATAATCTATGTTCGGATACTCAACCATTAAAATAAACCATTTTCATTACCTGTTATTGGCGTCAATAGTTTAATGATTTATAAACAACACTCGCGAAAACTAGTTGGACCGTTTAATACCAGTTATTTATGTCTCTTTTGTTATTGTAATAGTCAACTTTTATTTTATTACTTCCGGTCACCGGAAAATTTGACAGAAAACGGAAAATTAGATCTTTTACTTATTTGTGAAATATTATTGTTTCCACCAGAAAGAGTACTCAAGTTATAGATTTTTGAAAAACCGAAAGTAGAATAAGCTAAACTTCTGGTAACGGAAATGGCTTAAAAGTTTATACAGGACTAAACATTTGATATATTTAATATTAATAATACTTATATACTAGATAAATGGCCCGTTGAGGAAGGGTACAACGGGCGCTAGGCTGATAGTGCTGTCTCTTTTCTCTAAACTAAAACCAACCCACCCCCCCACACACCCCCCCCAACCCCCCCGACCCCCAGACACCACCCCCACCCCCCACCACACACCACCCCCACCCCCACACACCACCCCCCACCCCCACCCCCCACACACACCACCCCCTCCACACACCGCCCCCCCACCCCCACCCCCCCACCCCTCCAACCCCCCCTCCACCGCCCCCCCCCCAAAAAAAAAACCATGTCTACCGTCCCATTTAACGAAATATAATTATATACTTTTTCCAGTGTCCGCCCCCTCCCAGAAAATTCTACCCCCGCCCCCGAAAATTTCAAGTACCCCCACCCCTCTCCGGGGAGGAAAAAGTCTGAAAGAAACACTGAAACCAACCCACCCCCCCCCCACACCACCCCCACCCCCACACACCATCCCCACCCCCCACCCCCACCCCCCACACACACCACCCCCTCCACACACCGCCCCCCCACCCCCACCCCCACCCCCACCCCCACCCCCCCACCCCTCCAACCCCCCCCCCCCTCCACCGCCCCCCCCCCCCCAAAAAAAAAACCATGTCTACCGTCCCATTCAACGAAATATAATTATATACTTTTTCCAGTGTCCGCCCCCTCCCAGAAAATTCTACCCCCGCCCCCGAAAATTTCAAGTACCCCCCACCCCTCTCCGGGGAGGAAAAAGTCTGAAAGAAACACTGAAACCAACCCACCCCCCACACACCACCCCCACCCCCCACACACCACCCCCACACCCCCCCCCCCCCACACACACCACCCCCCACCCCACCCCTCCACCCCCCCCCCCCCCCCCAAAAAAAAAAAACATGTCTACCGTCCCATTGCAAGAAAACCACTTTTTAGATTAGACACATTAATTTTATTATAGAGTATCGATGAGGAAATTTCTTTTGAGTTGGGGAGGGGGAGGGGCTCAGACGTTCTTACGCGGGGGGTGGGGCTTCGCCCCTACCCGAAGAATTGTATGCAAGAAACTCTTCACGCAAACCACTTAGATTAGACCAAATTGCCTTTGTATTGAATGTTTACACGATAATCAATGACGTCATATAACTGTGTGCACTCTCTGGGTTTGAGATTATTTTCTACTCTGTGCGCTAAATGTGTCGACGTCATACTTCGTTTTTCGAATTACTATGCATGTTTTTAAATTGCTTGTCTTTTCTCTAGAGCGTTCTTGTCAGACAGACAGATAGATAGATAGATAGACAGACAGCGAAACTATTATTATAGACGAGAAAAATGGCCCGTTGAGGAAGGATACACCGGGCGCTAGGCTGATAGTGCTGTCTCTTTTCTCTAAACTAAAACCACCCCCCCCCACCCCCCACCCCCACACCCCCCCACCCACCCCCCACCCCCACACACACCACCCCCCACCCCCCCACCCCCACACACACCACCCCCCACCCCCCCACCCCCACACACACCACCCCCCACCCCCCCATCCCCACACACACCACCCCCCACCCACCTACCACACCCCCCACCCCCCCCCCCTAAAAAACATGTCTACCGTCCCATTCAACGAAATATAATTATTTACTTTTTCCAGTGTCCGCCCCCTCCCCGAAAATTCTACCCCCGCCCCCGAAAATTTCAAGTACCCTCACCCCTCTCCGTGGAGGAAAAAGTCTGAAAGAAACACTGGTGTCGCGCATAGCCACTACGCGAAGAATTGCATTAAAGAAATTGCAAGAAAACCACTTTTTAGATTAGACACATTAATTAGGCGGTAATTTTATTATAGAGTATCGATGAGGAAATTTCTTTTGAGTTGGGGAGAGGGGGGGGGGGCTCAGACGTTCTTACGCGGGGGTGGGGCTTCGCCCCTACCCGAAGAATTGTATGAAAGAAACTTCACGCAAACCACTTAGATTAGACCAAATTAGACCAAATCAATGACGTCATATCAATGTGTGCACTATCCGGCTTGAGATTATTTTCTACTCTGTGCGCTAAATGTGTCGACGTCATACTTCGTTTTTCGAATTACTATGCATGTTTTTATTTTCCTTGTGTTTTCTCTAGAGCGTTCTTGTCAGACAGATAGATAGATAGATAGATAGACAGACAGCGAAACTATTAATATTAATGACATTTCATCAATTTAGATTTGTGAAAATCTCGATGTTGATTTTGTGCACGATTACAAGTTTTCCTTTATACTTCATATACGAGAACGTAAAAACCTATTCTATTCTCTTTAAAAAAAAAATTGTCTATACCAAATGGCGCCTTATAAAAGTCGGCGCCCTGGCGACTGGCCATCTGATCCCCTACAAACACTTCTGCTTCCCGCCAATGGCAGAACCAAGGGAAACAATGGCAGAACCCAGTACGTACTACCTTCTAAGTCTAAGTAGAGATTTCAGTCTAACAGAAACAATAACGATTTCTAGGGGAGGGAATAAAATCAAATTTAATTCTTTTAGTATATCAATTGTTTATTCGATAGTCTTTCAAGCATAATTGAATATTTAATTGGCATTAATAAGTTTTTAATATTTTAAATTTATTATTTATAAAGTTTGTGAAGTTTTATTTTTAAATCCTTTAACAATAATAAAAACAATATCGTAATTATATCTTATATAAACGCTTATTACCCAAAAATGAATTTTAATTATAAATAACAATCTTATTATAGATAATTGGAGACTTTTTTTTGGTATAATAGTAAAAAAATTTTGGATCCCTTAACTTAGGGACAATTTGGTAAAAATAGTGAAATTAAGTTAGTGACAAACACCAGGGGTCGGCAACCTGCGGCTCGCGAGCCACATGCGACTCTTTTGCTGTCAAGATGCGGCTCTCCAGCTCCTTGCACCAACATTCATTTTTAAAACTCATATTAAATATCATAATATAAAGAAAAACAACATAAAACAGAATTAAAACACTTATCAGAGAACACTGAGAATATGTGCAGTAGAAAGTATACCCCCCCCCCCCATGATTTCGATTTGCATCCCCCCCCTCAACCTTTCAATTTATTTTTCCAACCCATTTTGGCGCCCCTAAGGTCGGCGCCCGGGGACATATGTCCGTCCCCCCCCCCCGCCCCCCTCGCTACGCTACTGGACCACGCCCAGCCCTACAGTCGTGCTGTAGCCAGCCCCGTGGCAACAATCCCATGTTTGCCACTACCCAAGTGCCGACTTTTTCGAATGTTTTTAAATGGGAATGTTATTTTATTTAGAATGCATTTCCATATGTGTCAGTAATCATTAAATTGACCTGAGTGTCGTAGGTTTTTTTTAGCTATTAGCTTTCTATTGTTGAGCCGGGTACTGGTCGGACTATAGGTTACGAGTTTACCCTGTGTTCAGTAGGGTGGGAGCTAAGCCTGGTGAGAACCGGAGATATCCGTTAAGAAAGAAAAAAATGTTACCAGCTTCTAAAGTGGATTGGGATAGTCCTATAGTTACATTATTTGATAACTAAGTTTATTATTATGGCGAAACATGTGTATGTTTTTATATAAAATATAATTTTATAAAATATTGAAATAAAAATGTGGCTCTTTAAAAACTGGGAAATTTTGAAAATTGTAACTTTTGGCTCTTCCGTCTCAAAAGGTTGCCGACCCCTGATCAACACTAAAGCAGTGAAGGCCAGGAACATCTTTATATTTGAAGATTAATTGCCTGTTACTTTAAAGGCTTTCCTTTTTCTCGGTTAGCTGCACTTAATTTACACGGCCTTCCATTTTACATATTTAGTACCCTCATATATCGTGCTTCTATGAAACTGTTTTTGATTGACATTATTTATTTACTTTATTATAATCAAACTGCATATAAATGTACTAAACTATTAAAATAAACTTCTGTAACAATGGTTTAAGATGTTAACTTAGTCTCTATTAGTCTCCATTCATAAGGCACTCTGTGCAAGGATTAAAATAAAAAATACCCTTTCGCACCTGGCTGTGAAGGCAGAAGAAGCAGTGTTCACCTGTTTACGTGACCAACCGGCTTTACTTTCACAAACTTGATTCGGGTACCCATTAGAGCTGATAGGACTCAGGGACATCCTAACCACTTGTGCTAGGGATCCGAACCTAATTGTTTACCTATCGACCACAGCATCCCATACGAGTATAGTTTACTCATTAGGGGCATGAATCTTGGCATTGTTACGTTTGTTCTCATTGTTGTATTTAATAACATTTACAGTAACTTTTAATGAGAAATTTTATATTTAACAGAAAGACAAATCTAAATATTTTTGTATTATCATCGAATATATATAACAATAAGCCAACTTAGATATAAATTGATTAAGATTTAAATTTCATAGGTAAATTTCATAGGTAAATTCCAATATCACCTTGCGCTGACAGTCCGATATATATTTCGTGATTTCATTAGTTTGCAAAAAAAAAAAAAAAAGAAAAAAAAAAGAAAAAAAAAACGCTATAGTACCATAACCCAACGGACAGGGTTTTCCTGAAACCTCGCTATTTGGGCTTGTAAGTCTTGCCTCTCTCTCTCTTAAAATTCGAAGAGATAAACATTTTGGAACTTAAAGGGGTAGGCTCCAGAAAAAACCAACTTCTCAATTAAAACGTTTTATTGATTTATTTGTGGATATCTAAGTTAGGGTACTTAAAGGAAAATATTTGCAAGCATCATGGACTCTTGAAAATTTGGTTGCTATGGCAACGGCGGCCATCTTGCAACAGACCATATCACTATCACCCGCCGCCAGTCTGGTGAGCAGTGGTTCACGCCGAATGTTTACAATCGTAGAGTAGCTTTGAATAAGTGACGGCTATTAGGGCAGATAATTTATTTTCTAAACGATTTAAAACTAAAGGGAGGTAACAAGTTCTGTCTTATCTTTTCATTGTCGTCTGTAAACTGTCGTCAAGGTCGGCAGCTTTCGAGAGAGGGAGGGGGGGGGGAGGGGGGGGTTGAGTAATCGTCCTTCACGTGTTACTGATGGTGTTTTACGGCAAAATATTTCAGTCGCAGCATTGGTAGTGTCGAATTCATAAATCATGAATTACTGAAAAGTAGAAAATAAAACAACGAAATAGCGGCGTAGCAGTAGCATAGCGCGGCTCGTTAAAATTGTTAACAAGTTACTCGAATTTTTTTTTTTTTTAAAGTCGTCCCATTATTTTGGGGATCCAAAATTAAGTGTTTTACTTCCAATAGCAGCAGACGATTGCATGAATGTCATCGAAATTGACTAGAAGTAAGTTAAAATAAAGCTACTGTGTTTATATTTTCAAACAACCTACACTTAAGTAGTCAATTGGTAAAATATATTGTTTTGACGAGGTTACATAATTTATATATAAAATTAATTATAATGATTATGTAATGAAATTTCAGGAGTTTTATTGTGTTTTTCTAGCATGTCTTAGTTACACTTGTTTAATTTAGCTACTCTTGTGAAAGTTATTTCCCTTGAATAAAATTTTGGTATTTGGATTTCAAAATGGGAGATAATTTGTTCTTTAACTCTACATTCATTTCAGATTCCTGCACCTTAGATTAACCGCTTACTTAAAATTAAAATTTTAAGTTATTATTTGCTATTGTAAAAATTATAAAGATCAGAAGATCTTAACAATAAAATTTGGTAGATTGCATTATCAAGTTGAAAAAGAAATACATCAGTAGCCGTAATTGTAGATTGCAATACTTAATATTAGTAGATATACAGTATGCAATATTGCAACTAAACCGTCTAAAATCGTCTTAGTCGCAAATTAAAACCTAACATGGCGTCCGTCTGTTGATTATTTATGAAAAGAGCTCTTTCAATATAAATATAGTATAGATCTAATAGCTTTATAGTTTCTCGATCTAATTTTAAAGATTAAACAATATAATCTTTTAAAAATTTAAGTAAAGCACCTGACTTATCAAGATGACAACAGCTGCTAGACCAACATGGGATAAAGCCAAAGGAGGTCGTGGTAAAGGAGAGGGTGATCTTAGTGTTCTCTCCAAACAATCTTCAAGTAGAGATCTTCCATCCCACACCAAATCAAAATACAGACAAGAAGGTCAAGGCACACAAGAAGAACTTAGAAATCGTGACTTTCGTCGTGAATTAGAGGAAAGAGAAAGATCTTCACGAGAGAAGAGGGACAGAGGAAGAGATTCTGGTAACAGTAGTAGTAAAAGACCAAGAATTGAACAGATACCTGCAGCTAACCTTGATGCAGATGATCCAGTTGATGATGATGAAGATGAAGAGGATTCTGATGATGAAGATGACACAGCTGAACTATTAGCAGAGCTACAAAGAATAAAGAAAGAGAGAATAGAAGAAAAAGCAAAAATGGAAGCTGAAAGAAAGGCAGAGGAAGAAAGGATTCGAACAGAAAATATTCTCATGGGTAACCCATTAATGCAGCCAGAAAAGCAATCAGCCACAGACTTTAAAGTTAAAAGGAGATGGGATGAAGATGTTGTGTTCAAGAATTGTGCCAAAGGTGATGAGACAAGAACTTCAAGAGGTTTTATAAATGACACATTACGCTCTGAATTTCATAAAAAATTTATGGAGAAATATGTAAAATAGCCCTTTCATTTTCTCTTGTAATTATAGAAATAAAAATCAAAAATCAAAAAAAAAAAAAAATTAATCATCTGATTAATTAAGCTTCTTGTTCATATTTTCACCCTCTCCTAACGTATTATACTTGTCGGCTGAAATCTATAAGATTTATAAACTTGTATTTTTCAAAAACTAAAAATCTTTACATAAATAATCACACAGTCATTTTACCATTATAACTAAAGAAAGTAAAGCTTTAAACAGGTAAGTTCCGTTCTGGAACTCACCTTTTGTTGTCTACATATTAATTATAAAGTTTATGTAATTTATAATAAATTAATATGCCACTTTTAATCCATTGTTTTCTTATACAAATGTTTTATTACTTAATTTATGTAAAAGGGGGCGTTTTAATAAGTTTTGCCTAGGGCGCTAAATAACCTGGCGCCGGCACTGACAAGAAATTACATCGGCCTACCAATTACTTAAGCCTAAGATTACGAATCACAAAAACTTGCCAAGCCACTAAACGAATATTTAATTATTTCAAAATATATCTCCCATCTTAAGGGAAAAACCTTGTCTTAAATTTGACTATTCGCCACATTTTACAGAGGCGTAGCGACGGGGGGGGGGGGGGGCGGGGGGGGACATATGTCCCTGGGTGCCGACCTTAGGGGGGGGGGCGCCAAAATGGGTTGGAACAACAAATTGAAAGTTTGACGGGGGGTGCAAATGAAATGTTCGAGGGGGATGCAAATCGAAAGATTGAGGGGGGGTGCAAATCGAAAGTTTGTACCCGGGCGCCGGCAAGGGTCGCTAAGCCTCTGATATTTTAAACATTTGTTGATACTTTATGAACTTAGTCCGAAGGAATTCCCCGAGGAAACCCAGCATTTATTACGTCAAACGAACAGGAGTGTTTACTATTTTTATCTACCAATCGTTTCTTTCGAAAAAAAAATCAATGGAACACTCCCAGTGCGCAATAATTTATATATGATCACATCCAAGTTAAATTAGATTGGAGGAAAACCCGTTTACAGAACACTACATCTTGAGATATTGTTGTCCTTATTTTTAAATATAGGCATACGTAGAACGCATTTCTGTAATCTCTACACCCATATTTCATTGAGTGTTCACAAGAGATATATAGACTTAGTCTAGTTTTTTAAACCGAGCTGTGCTGGTAGGCTTGCAAATAAAATCTATCGGTGGATTATATAATTAAGAGACCTGAGTTTAGAACTGGCAAAATATAATTTAAAAAGATAGGTCCTACTTGTTAATTGACTTAAAATTGTGTTCGATGAGATGAATGTACAGGGTTTAGAGTATAATTCTACAATTTATTTAAAATTAAATACTGGTTTCGTTAAAGGTTTAAAATGGACAATAAAAGAGTTTTGTCCCTTGAGTTTATGTGGCCAGTTTTACGTACTCGTGCAAGATCATCCTCATGTTAATATTTCTCACATGATTGGTGTACAGAAGTCGAGACATCTGAATGTTCATGGGTATCCTTGTGGTCTGTGACACTATCCCTTCACATGCTGAGGTCACAGAAACATGTCAACTCTACTTCACCTGCCTGTGGGCCGTCAGGTTCGAAACGGAATATTATACTACTCTGATTACCTACCATCACAGAAACTACATAGGAGAGGTAAATAGTCGTGCACTTTGTTTAGTAAATTGAAATTTGTTTTATTTTATATGGTGTGTCATAACAATTCAAGTTTAATACACTTACTTCAGTGAATCTTGCTGGATACATATCAGAATATCTACCCATAAAAATACTCTTTAGTTTTTCCTGAATGTTTTTTATATTTTGTTTATAACACTATGGGGCAGTGTGGCCTAGTCGATAGACTTTCTTCGGGGGGGGGGGGGGGGCGGACACTGTTAAAGGATATATTTCCTATATAAATTATATAAATTTCACTTCGTTCGGGGGAAGCGGTAAATTTTTTTTTGGGGGGGGGGGGGGGGGCAGAGCCCGCCGAGGTCACAGAAACAAGTGAACTCTATCTCACTTGCCCCATAGACCCTGAGGTTTGGAAGGGAAATTTTACTTCTAAAAAAATTAAGTACAAGTAGGCCTATATATTTTTCTATTTAGAACTAGGGTAATCCAACTGTTGGCTTACAAACTTGAGTCAACATCCATAAATTATGATAGTCATTTGTGCAATGATTCTGACATCTTGAATAATAGTTTATAACAAGATGTTTAAGTTATATTTCTAAATAGATAAACACTATTATAAAAAGTAATACATTGGCAATGAGGTCATGAAGTTCTGTTAAAACAATACTAGAATGAAGGTGATAAATATAAATATTTTGTAGTTCCACAGTTTGGTCAACATTAAACTTAAAGAGATGTACAGAGAAGAAGATTGATTATAAAATGTTTATTGTAATTATCACAGTAAAAAATAAAATTTACTGTAAGAACAGAAAATCTGTAAAAATTAAAACAATGTGTAAATATTATTTTAAAATAAATGCAGTTTTGCTAAGTGTGAAGTAAAATTACAGTACAAAATTTAAAACAATTTTAATTGAAGATCTAACTAAATAAATTACAATAATACATTAATTAGGCTAATGCAAGATTATTAAATGAATAATGATATTTTATGGTTATTTGAACACATAATGGTTTAATTTTCCTCAAACATTACATTTTATATACCTTAAGCAAACAAAACATTCTCTACAACTTAAAATTGTAAAGAACATTTTCCATGTTCTATATTTATTAGCCATACATAAAAGTTACATCTCTGTATTTAACTATAAAAACAAAATTGTATGATGAATTATGCAGATTTTGGAATGCAGGAAATATGATATTATGAAAAAGTAACAAGAAAAAAATAAAAATTGTATGAAAATTATATCACTCTAAGGGCAAGTCACATTATGTCCAGATGAAAATCTTTTATTAAATGCATAAATATTCCATTGGCAGTGAATGCACATTGAGCTAAACAACAAGATTAATATATAGAATAAATATTTGAAAAAAGTAAAACAAAATAAGCATACAGGTTCAATAAATTTAAATAATCTATCAATACTGCAATAACTTAAAAAAATCTTTTGAAAATTAGTACATTACACAAACACCCATTTTGAAAATTTAATATAAAATACCTGCAGTTTGTATAAGTAAATAAACAAATTTGGCAGCTTTTTCACAAGATTTAGCAAACACTATATAGACTCTGCGTTAGTAAACATTTTCTTTCATGTCGAAAATTAAAGAAAACATTTGTTTTCAAACAGAGAAAGGTTCATTGTCTTTACTGATAGAAAAGCTTGGCATACTCATGGCTCTAGTTTTTCTCTCCTGCATTTCATTATTCTGCATCTCAATGTCCTCAACCTCAATAGAAGGCACCACTTTACCAGAGGGCTTTAGCCTGAGCCCAGAGAAAGCAGAGAAGCTTGCAATGCTCTGGGTGCGCCTCGTGACCCACTCAGTCAATGTTTCATGGGTTGGTCTCTCGTCCAGAACTTTCCTTACGCAGGACCTCAGTATGTACGCCAGGTCTTCCACCCGGGGGTCGTGGGAGACAGCGTCCCTGAAGAGGGTGATGATCTGCGTGCACTCTGGTCCGTTGACTTTGTAGCAGAGTTCCTCCAGTTCCAGCCTCTCCATCTGAGGGATCTCATACAGCCGAGGGTGGGACTCCATCAACCAGCTGTAATCAACACCTACGTCAACAAAGAGTTAAAAAAATTTGAAAAGCAATACTAAAATTGTATTTCAAAGAGTAAACAAATTTAAAAAGCAATACTAAAATTGTATTTCAAAGAGTAAACAAATTTGAAAAGAAATACTAAAAATGTATTTTAAACATTCATTCACTATTTAAAACCAAAGTGTTTGAATTGTAATTTAATGTTTAGCCACAACGAAGATATTCCAAGAATTTATTGAATCAGAATTTATTGTGTAGTATATTGTTTCAGTAGAATATAGTAATTTTCCCTACATTTACAGGTATATAATAAAGACTAAAGTTCTGGAAAGTAATGGCATATAACTAACCGTGACAACACACACAATCCTTTAATGTGCTGAGATCAAGGAAACAGGTAACAGGGTTCGTACTACTTTTTCAAAATGAAATTCCAGACTTTTTCCAGACATTTTCCAGACTTTTTGGAAAAATTCCAGACTTTATACAGATAATGTGTTCGCGAAAAATTTATAAAATGATGCACCATTTGTACTCTCATAATTACTTGTACTAAATTGACATTTATTTTAGGCAGTTGAGATATATTTATATTGAACTTTCTTTAGCCAAATTGACAGAAAATCACTTTTCTAAGTTTGCCTACTCAACTCCACCTAAAGTTTTAACAATTAAAATAATTGATTAAAATGCTGCAGCTATTTTGTTTTAAACATTAGACTTATGTAATCTGTTCATGATCAAATTGCTTATGTTTTCAATTAAACTATCATTAAAATGGTATTGCATAATAGTGAGAGTTAATTACTTTAAAGAATACTAACGTAATGTATTAATTTAGGCCTGCTCTTGTTAAGTAGCCTAATATAGGCTACTTGTAAAGAAAAAAATTGGAGCAAAAAAAAAAAAAACATTCTGCAGGTTGTAACCACATCACTCACTGTTTATGCTTATACTTATGTACGTATACTACTTATAGCTGAGGAACGGGTCTGACTGCAATAAAAAAAAAATGCCGGTATCCTCCTCCCCCTCCCCCCCCCCCCCACACAACCACAAGACACGGTGAAGGGGTCATTGTGAGGTCATAGTAGTCTAGGCTTCAGTATGCCTGTTTAATACGTCATACCATGAACTGAGATGTGACTTATACCCCCCACCCAGCAGTACCAACAACAAACTTGGGGTCATGGTGAGTTCACACAAGTGACCGTAGTTACAAGAAGGGGCGGGGTAGTCTAGCTTTAATCGTCAGCATTGAAATCTAAGCTTGTGTTTTAAAAACCATCCCAGCGTGTAAAGAAAACACGGTATTTATATCTACCCTAACATTATTGCAAGAGCGTGTCGTCAAACTTTCTGAAACCCTCCTTCCGACTTTTCCGAGTGTGACGTCATTTATGGACGACTGAAGCAAACAGAAATACAGGTATGAACCCAAGGAGGCCTCGCGACTTATTAATCTTATAAATGTTAATATTAACCCAAAGTAAGTGAACGCGTGTGGAAGGGGGAGGGGGGGGTAAAATCCGAAATTTCTTTGGATGTCATAAACGGATGACCCTCAGAGACAAATAAATTATATCTAAACTACCATTCATACACCTCCCACATAATTTTTTTGTTATGACTGTCTGCGTGCAAACTTAAACAATGAAAAATAGCGGGTAAAATCGAGAGCCTAACAATTCTGAAGGCGATCATTCTTTCATTAAATTTAAATGACAATTTTAAATACTTGTAACACATTCACACGGTCAGTCGCAACACAAAATATCTCTTCCCTCCCTTCCCCTCCTCTTCCAATGACGTAGTATCTGAGCATCCGTTTTTTTCTGCGAACCAGCAAAAAAAGTCACAGCAGTGTAAACCAGCGCGGGGAAAAAATTGGAGTAATTTCACCTAAAAATAGCAATTTTTTAACTTGGAAAATATGGACTTCGGAGTTTTGTTTCTAAAACTGGATTCCAGACTTTTTCCAGACTTTTAAAAAATCCAGCCCAAAAACTAGCGATTTTCCAGACTTTTTTAAGTCTTAAATTCACTTTTCTAAATTCAAGACTTTTTCCAGACTTTCCAGACTGCGTACGAACCCTGAGGTAAGATCTATATTTAACAAATACTGAATATGTTTAACCGGGAATAAATATTTTTACCTTAGCCCTAACCCAAACTACAATGCTACCTCACCCTAGAAACAAAGCTGGCAAAAAAAAAAAAAAAAAAAGAAAAAAAAAATACTCTGTATTTGCACAACCAGTATTCATGCAAGTACACTAACACCAACCTGTTTTCAGTCTGCGTTCCTCCTGTTCCTGATCATGACGAAATCTATCCAGTTCTTTAATATGGAAGTCTAACTCAGACATAAGGGTGTCACATGCCACCATATGCTCGTCCTTCTCTGGTGGTCTGTACACCTCACCGGAGCCCATGCTCCTGCGCCATAGATTCTTTAAGGACATCATTGCTGTAGCATGACTGAAAAGACAACCTCGTCAGTAATCTCAAGTTATCAAATTAACCCTGCTTCAGTCTCGCTGTGAACGACACCTCTCTTCTATTTTATGTCCATAGTTTAACAGGACAGTACATATTTTTAAAAAAACAATTCTGGGGTTGGTTTTGTATATGTAATTTGTGGTCAAATCTTGCAACCCAATTTTAACCCATTTCCGACAATTCAAACTTTCAATTTAATCACAGGTACCCAAACGTTTTTGAGTTGCGTTTCCTTTTAATAAAAGGACCCCCAAACAATTAAAATGAATATTTTTGTTAGTTTTAGTCTACAAGTTGGCAAACCCCAGAAAATACTTCAGGGGCTGTTAACAATAGATTGAAAACTCAATAGTTAAATCCATGTCCTTGACAGTGCAAGAACATCTAATTTTTAATCGGGTATGTGTTACTGATGTCTGATAATGACACGACAATGGGACCTTCTTAAAAAAGGTGTTAAGTTACTGGTAGTTAACTATAACATACAGCTTGCTAATGTCAATGCTTACCCTATCCCTAACCCTAGTCCTACCACAACCTTAATGATATTAGTAGTTCTGACTCCAGTAGTAGTTAGGTACACTACCTCATTACCACTACTAACCACCTATTTTCAAATGAGTTTATTTATTGAAAACTGTAGCCCATATGCTAATCATACTAAAATTAAATGAATATTATTACCCCTAACTAACATATAGGCCAATATTTGTTTTAATTATCATCTATTCTTCTTTTACACTATGCAGTCACTGAACCAGTCACTTACTGGTGTCACTCCATGTGAAGTGAAGTGTAAATAAAATGAATGGGCTACATAGCTTTATTCATTAGTCAGTCGTGGATTGACTCGCTAGATATTAAAGTAGATCTAGAATCTAGAAAAATTGTTATAATTCTAATCTACACTAAGTGTACTGTACACATAGTCTGTATGTGGACGATGTGTAGTGTACACAGTTGAGTAAAGTCATTAGTTAGTTACTTTACCAACTTTATAAACTTTATTACAACTAGTAGCAGTAGTAGAGACTACTTTATCAAGATCTAGCATGATTAATCAAGAAGTTTAAAACTAGTCGTCCAGGTTTTTTTTTTACAAAAGTACTCAACTAGACTACTGTCTAGATCAGTGGTTCTTAAACTTTTTAGTGGTCCACCTGCTTCATAATTGCATTCACAGAAACTTTCTTAAAAAGAAATTTTTTTTTTCAAATTCAAAACAGTTATATATTTTATTGGTTTGGACTACAAGATAATGTTTTACATGTGATTAAATATTAAGAAAGAAATCATGCAATGTAGTGTACCAGCACGACAGTCACAAGTCGAATAATAAGCCACAATATAGAAATAAAAAGTAGGCTAATTTTTACAGAGCGTAAATACGCGGTCAACGAGCGCCTGTATATGTGGTATTGACAGGTTTCTTGATGTTATTGTGTCGTGACTTCAAGGGTTCCACAATATAGAAATCTTACAATACAGAATATCAGATGTGTTATCTTGCTCTGGCACACTTTATTACTAAGTCTGATGTCATGTTGCTGTGTCTTCCTATTTGAACTGTCACAGGCCGCTGCCACTAGTTCTAATGTCTGCACTGACAAAATCCTATTACAGATCGTACAAGTTGGGTGTGTGTAGTCTGGTGTGTGTCTGAAGTGTCTTGACTTCAGCTGAACCCATGAGTGCTGCATGAGAATGACTCACCAAACCCCTGGGGTTTGACTGACTCCAGGTTAAGAACCACTGGTCTAGATCTAGACTACCAACTATCTATCTATAGTCTATAGACTATAGTAGTCAGTAATTAAAATAACCACCTACCAAATTGTAAATTAATGCAGTTACACACCCTCCCCCTACGAATGTGACGTCATTTCGTCTTATGGCCAACCCCTTAGTTAGTAGTTTCTACTAGTTTGGCTTACTACTACTGAGTACCACTACTACAAGATTCTAGTACTAAGTACTAAGAAGCTGTTACTGTTAACTTGTTATTTGTTAAGAAGTTACTACTACTACTACTACTACTACTAGATCTAGTCACTAACTAGCTCTAGATACTAGATCATTTAGTAGTAATTGAAGATATAACTTATATTAAAAGTCATTTGTGAAATAAAAGTCAAAGCAAGCCAAACTCTAAGTCAGTCTGAGTGAATGGCTGAATGTCGCACTGAATGGTGAGAAACTCACCTCACACCTGTCTGTTATGATTGATTTTTAAAATAGTATTTTTAATTTTTGCCGTTCCATATTTGAAAACTTTATTATCAAAAATGTTGGTCTAATCACTGTTGGACCTAGATCTAGATCTAGCAACTTAGACTATTAGATATCTAATAGTCAACTACATTATTATGAAAATTACAAATTGATACAATACAGTTTGACGAGGAAGTAACACAAATAAAATTCTATTAAATCTCAGTAGAAAAAAAAGATTCTGACCCGGAAGTACTTTTAAATAACCTTTACCTTGTTCGATAAAGTCACGTAACTCTAGTAAAATAATCAGCTTGTTATTGTATAACACTTTATTGACTGGGTTGGTCCAAGCGCTAAGAGTAAACCCTACTAAGACTCTAAGCTAAGATTGTCATCTTGTTACAATAACTCCACCTATTTTGATTGCTCAAGTTCGTTAGGCTCATTCAATAATAATAATAATGGTCTGATTGATAATAAATGGTAAGCTACAAATGCTAAAATTAATTAAATAGTAATAATTTAGTAATAAATAATAAATTAGTTTAGTAGCCATACACTACACTCCTACACACTTCTACTACTAGAATCTACTGTCGGTAATCTATCGTTTTAGGTACGTAAAATCGCCCACGGCTAGTAATGTACGAAAAAGTTACCTCATTTTCAAGGCTTTAATAGAAGTATATTGTGATATATTTGTGTCAAATATTATAGATAAATGAATAATAAACCTAAATCAATGGCTAAATAGTAAATATATATCAATATATATATATATACTATATAGGCAAGAAATTAACTTTAAACAGCAGTGTTTGCGAGCAGGATTTGCTATATAAAAAGCGGCCATCTGTAAGTTAGAGTGGCTTCCCCTGAATCTTGCGCTATAAGTTTACATTAAAAGAAAAATAAACAAGATGGCTAGTCTAAATTTATTACTGAAAAGTTTTAATTCAATTGTTTGAAAATAGGTACATAAATAAAACAAGGAAACATTTTTGTATTTTTCAAAACATAAATCCTCCTCAAAATGTGAAATAATTATTAAAATTTAAGGACTCACCTGTTTTTCACATTACTAGTCGCGGGCGATTTTACGTACCTAAAACGATAGATTACCCTGTCTACTACTAGCTTACACTTTCACTTACACTACACTACACTTACTACTACTACACTAGTGACTAACTACACTTCAGAAGTAAGTACTAAGTACAGTTCACTACAATCAGTTACACTACAGTAGAATTCTAGTTCTAGTGTGTAGTCACTGTGTGACAGTAGATCTAGTGTAGATCTAGTCACTACATCCCAATACAGTTAACTCCAACTCATCAACTCTAACCACTATATTTGTGACTATATAGCCTATATATTATATATATATACTAAACTTATATACTAATATTAGTACTAATAATAGTATTACTATTATATAGTAAAAAAATATATAGGCCTATAGATTAGAATAGGCCTATATCATCTATATTAAACTACGTAAAATCTATCGTTTTAGTTAGGTACGTAAAATCAGCAGAGACTAGCTAACTAGTACTGGTAGTGTGAAAAAAAAGTGAATCATTTGGCTTAAATTTTAGTAATTCTCTCACCATTTTAGGTGGAATTATGTTTTAAAAGTTTTAAAAAAATGTTTCATGGCCTACCTTTTATTAACCCTTTATTTACGGAATTAGGTTCTGAATGAAATTTTTAATTAAACAATGTGTTATCATATTGCTTTTGGCACACTTAAAGCAAATTTTGTTTCATACATTTTTAATGGCCCAAACATATATTGGTACTTATAAGTACCGTCAGTAATGTAGTCAATTTTTTCCAAAAACTTTTTTCCGACATGTCATGCTCCCTCATTCTTATCTGTGGTCTTTCTGGTGACAACTACTAGTAATACTAGTATAATTGTAGCTTAGTAGAATGTTATGACAAGTCTACACTAGTGTAAAGTTCATCAATAGAAGTGAGCTCAATGTGTTAAGGATAGACTTAAAGGCCTACTGTTTTCTGTTTACTGATTAAAATTTACCATGTAGTATGGACTATTACTAGTCTACAGGTATACATTACCTAAATGCTAGCTATTGTAGGCAAGACAGTTTATTGCAGCAAATATAACTAACAAAATAAATCTTACTACTAGAACTAGACTAGACAAATTAAGTATAATAAACTTAGTAAAAGAGCCTGCAACTGCTACCTCTATTCTTGTTATTCTTTTACTACTTGAAATCAACATGTAATTACAATATTTCTTAGGTAAACCATATGCTAACCTTCTTATATATGTGTACATATCATTTTTTGAGTACGTTTCGATAATTAATTATCAAAATAACATTTATGTCACTCCACATAAAAAATCTGCCGTTTCCTAGAAATCCTAAAAAAAATGACAGTGTGCCCTGACGGTACTTATAAGTCCACTAATACAAAGACAATTTAATTAAAATTGTATAACTAGAAGTTAAATGCATTTGTCTGACTATTGAAGGTGCCATTAAAAAATATTTGGGGTTGAAAACTTGAAAAAATAAGGATAAAACAAAGGGAAATCAGGAACTTGTGTGAGAACTGTACAGAACAATTGTGAACTACCGATACAGCATGACAGTGAAAAAGGCGCCACACCATAAATTTTCAAAAAACATCGATCCCTCCAACTACCGGCGACTCAGGGGAGATAATACTATTAATTACATCAATAATTTTAAAAATTCGCATTAAATTAAAAATAATACAGGCACTTAATTAAAGTGGTACTCATAAGTACCGTCAGTAGATAGAGGGTTAAAAAATTTTGCCTACTACTACTACTAGAGGTTCAGATGAATCTATTCTAATTTACAGATGACCACTTTTTAAATAGCAAATTTTGCTCTCAAGCACAGCTGTTTGAAGTTTATTTCTGGCCTATATTGATACTAGCCATGGTTACCCGTTTCATGTGATTTATAGGCCTATATATTTTTATTGTTATACTTATTTAGAAAAAATAATTTATATAAATTATAAAATAGTTAATGGTTAAAACGTGATAAAGCAAAAAAATAACTAAATAGCTAAAAATTTGACACATTTAAAGTAGCATAAGCTACAAATACCTATTAGAAAATTTAAAACCAATTTATATACATTATTAGTCAACACAACACCATATTAATAAATGCACACACTGATTAAGAGACTTAAATGATTCAGTTAAAAACCTGTCTGTTCAATGGTCATTATGAATATATGCCTTTGGGGGATAAACAGTTTTTTTTTTAATTACCAGCGTGCAGCTATGTGGCCGAACGGATCCAGCGATGGTGTTCTGGAAAGAAAGCAGAGCAGGAACCAGTGAGGCCTATTAGTGAGCGCACCTGTGCCATGAGAGGAGGAGGGGGTCAGCGGCAGCAACGCTGCCACACTGAAAGTGAGTTTTTCAATAGTTCCATGTCTGAATTATTGGACAGCGTGATTGCTAAATTACAAAGGTTTGAGTTTAGTTTCCATCTCAGTTCCCTAGGACAGGTGTAGGCAACCTTTTGAGACAGAAGAGCCAAAAGTTACAATTTTCAAAATTTCCCAGCTTTTAAAGAGCCACTAACATTTTTTAAAAATTTCAATATTTTATTTTTTGATTAGGATTAGGTAAGTTAATTTGATTTATTATTTAAAATAAATAGCTTTATGTATGAAATAATATTTATTCATATAAAAAGGTAAACCTATTTCGCCAGAATAATGAAATTTGTAATAAAAAAATAAAAATATAGGATTGTCCCAATCAACTTTAGAAGCTGTTAACTTTTGTCCCTTCTTTACGGACATCACGGGCTCAGTAGGTGTCTCCCATTAGCCAGGCAGGCCTCAACACGGAATACTCCAACCAACTGACTTAGGTATTGCTTTATCGTGTACCAGGCGCTTCTATCCTTTGGTTCTCACATGCCTTATCTCCCACCCCACTGAAGGCAGGGTAAACTCGTACCCTGCCGTCCAGCACCAGGCTCAACTGTAGGAAGCTAATAACTGAAAAACTACGTCACTCATGTAAAATTAATGATTATTGACGGATAAGGAAATGCATTTAAAATGAAATAACATCATCATTTAAGTCACCATTTGCGCAGTGGCAAGCATAGAAAGGTCGCCACGGGGCTGGCCGTACACTTTCTACTGTACCTATTCTCTATGTTCTCTGATGAGTTTTTTTTTCTTCTGTTTAAAATTTTGTTTCTTTACAGTATAAATTTTGTTATGAGTTTTGAAAATAAAATAATATAACTATTAATATTTGAGCAAGGAGCTAGAGAGCCGCATCTTGACATCAAAAGAGCCGCATGCGGCTCGCGAGCCGCACGTTGCCAACCCCTGCCCTAGGACATATATATGATATCTGCATGTGATTGGTACTTTGTCTGCCCCTTGGATTGATAATGATAGTTCTTGAAACTAACTAATATCTAGATTATTAGTCTCCAGTAGCAAATCCATAAAGAAAAGCAGGCTGAAATCAGATTCATTGGCCTCAATGGCGCATAACCAGTTGACACGTAATCCTCAATTGTGAGGGAAGCATGGTGGAGTCGGCAAAAGCTCATGGTTGATAAATTCGAAAAAAGTCTCGAGCTCAAACTCTCTGGCATAAGGCTCGATCCCCCCCAACACTAAAAATTAAGAACGAAGAAGAAGAAGAGTTTCCAGTATTTTCCCTGATTACTTTCTGATTGTTGAAGGAATTGGTAGATTTCATAATAAATTACATGAGATTCACTTGATTTTATTAGACAATGCAGAAGTATGGTGTACATAGAAATATTTAGGCACATATAAATGTGTTCCAAGGGCTGTAATTAGGGTGAGAGAGGGAAGGGGGGGGGGGCTCATACAAAACTAGATGTTTGTAAGCAGTACATTTAAATCTAATTAAAAAGTTCAGGGTTTATATTTATAAACCTGAATTTAAATTTTTGAATTGTTTTCCTCAGCTAAACAACCATCACCTTACCATGATGTCAACAATGGACATGTAACATGTGATGATGATTTAGACAAGAAAAACTGATAATATCTTCTCTTGGAGATTTGGAAAATTATCTTCAAGAGATTAAATTTCTTATTTTGTTCTATTTATTAATTTATCCCAAAAAATTTTTTTGACAACTAAACGATTAAAATAAACTTAAGTAAATTTGTAATGAGACAAAAGTGCAAACTAAGACACATTTACATGAACTTTAAAGTAGGGAAATTATTTTATTAACTTTCAAATTTAGAAAATTGTTCTTTTAACTTTTAAACTAAGAAAATGTGTACATGAACTTCTTTTAAAGTGTTTAGTGAGGTGAAGAAGAGATACTTCAGATAATTCTCAACAGTTTTAAACTGTATGAAGACCAAGCCTTAAATGTTGTCACTTGAGAACTTTGGCTTGGACTGACAGCTTTTGGCTAGTTTTACCTTGAGAATTATGTGATTTTTAACTTCTAAAAATAAAATAAAATATAGGTATAAAGCAGGTAAAGTAACATTTGTTGTTAGATATAGTTGTGTCAAATATTTCAGTGTTAAATGTACTTGCACAGATAATTTTTTAGTAGGACAACAATCGTTTTGTCTCTGAAAAAATTGCTAATGCATTTTTAAAATTCTGTGATCTTTCCCATTGCTAAGCAATTCCATATTTGTTGAAGCTTTTTCTAAGCTAAGCTTTTAAATATTGCTAAAATTGTTATGTGCTACTATATAAATAATTTTTTGACATATTGCTTTTTTTAAAATAATGAATAGTGACTTCTCCTTTACTGAAATTTTGTTGATAGAGATATTTGTATTTATTTTTTAAATATATAATTAGACTTACATTACTGCAATAGACAGTTGTTATCTACATGCAGCACTGTGTTGTTATTTTTTTGTAAGACTGAAGATATTAAACTATTTTTACATATACTGGAATTTCATTAAAAAAATTAAAAAATAGGAAAACGACCTACATAGTAAATACAATAATTTTAGTCACACCATCCCAAAGGAAATACAACGATTAAAATGTGTCAATGTACTATATTATTTAGTGATAAGCTTTTATTTTACGGCAATATTTAATTTTACTAAACCATCAAAATAATATTTAAAATACATACGTGGCGAAACTTGTATTTATTTTGCTTATCAACTTGTAATTGTAATTATTACCAAACAATAAATAGTTGTTTTTTTCTACTTTTGAAGTTCAGTTTTATGTTTGCTACTATTACAATGAATTATTTTTTACCCTGTTTATCATATTTCCGTTTTTTGTAAAATAAAATGTCCTACCCCTATTCTTGGTGTGATTTAGATGAATTCAAGAACGGTTTCACTGGTCTTAAGGTGGTCTTACAGTAGTGGTACAAGCTGACCAAGCTGACCATAGCAAACAATAACATAAATCAGTGTGAACTATATCATATGATGCATGTTCCTGTATTAAATAAATAACAAACAAAACCCAAACAATACAATCCTACATTCATGTGTTTTCAAAAAGTTAAAATGTGCAAAATGTGGGACTACGCAAAGTTTTTCAATTGTATTCTAGATCTAGTCAAATACATAGATAAGGCTGCTAACAGAAAATTTGCCCAAATAAAAGGGCTCGTATAGCAGTGTCGTAGCGAGGTCGGGTGTCACCCGGTGCGGCACTTAACGGTGTCACCCCCCAGAGGCGTAGCGACCCTACCCGGGGACCCCCCTCAAGTTTGTGATTTGCACCCCCCCCCCCTCAAGTTTTTCTCTATATATTTTGCTATTTTTTGCCTTGGTGTCACCCCCCTAAATGGTGTCACTCGGTGCGGTCCGCACCCCCCCCCCCACCTCGCTGCGCCCCTGCCTTTTGTGTCTATATTTCTTTGAGAGTATAGATTTTCGACACTCTTCTCCAATCGAAAACAAAACAAATAAATAAATTATATGTTGAGAATGACATGAGGTTGGTGTTAACAAAAACTCAAACGTGAATGCTGAGACTAGTTAATAACATGCAATTTTATCATCGTATTAAAACAGTGATCAAGAATAATTTATATTGAAAGTCTACTAGAAAATCTTATTTTGGTGCTTATTAATGTCCTTACTAATTTCGACTTTTTAATTCAATGGGGGTCGCGGGTCATTTACTTTTTATAAAAGGGGGTCGCCACTCGAAAAAGTTTGGGAACCACTGCGCTATAGCGATCACTAAATCAACATTAAAAATTAGATAATCATCTGAAATGCTCAAAATTAAAAGATTTAGATTAGTTATTATAATTATATTAACAGAGGCGTGGCTAGGGTAGGGCGGATGGCGCGACCGCCAGAGGCACCGACCCAAAGTGGGCGCTAAACGTGATAGATAATAATATAAAAAGGTCATTACTAAATTATATACTGTCGAAATAAAGAATATAGACTGCTAGTTGGCATTACGGGCTTATTAGATTGTTTTCTACAACAATTGTGAGACACCAAAATAAAAAGGCAATGTGACGTAAAAAGCACCCAACTCATCCAAATGAGGGGGGGGGGGGGGAAGAGGCGCAGCTTTCACCAAAGCGAATAACTTTATATAGGCCTATTTTGGGGTGGGGGCGCAAAATTGATAGTTTGTCCTGGCCATCGAAATAGATCGCTACGCCTTTTGTATATTACCCTGTCCATTTTTATATACTATAATCAAATATGATAATTATTAGGTACATATTAATGATGGCAATTACACATTATTGCGACCCCCACGCCCCCCCCCCCTTATGGATAGCGCCCATCGCCGGCCCTGATCATGAGGTGCCGCATTGAGTTCACCCGACCTAGCGTCGCCACTTTCTACTGTTAATAAACCACTGCCTCTCTATGAATCACCGCATAACTGTGTCATTACTCATATCTCTAACTGTGCCTATAAACAAAAATAGGTCTATTTTTTTTTTTTTACATCGTCGCATAAACCAACATTCCACAGCTAAAAATACGATCGTGTGACCTTTAGATTGAATTAGACTGGTGTTTTCCGGTTACGAAATCACACAACCAATCATTGCCAAATGAATAATAAAAAATGTCATAAGTATAAAAAGGAGCCGCGTGAACGTATAACTTTAACTAACACTAGGTCGAATGAAATTTTAGATGGGTCGGTGTTAAAAATGTAAGTATTTGTAGTTTTAAATCAACAGTTTTGTAATATATATATATATATATATATATATATATATATATATATATATATATATATATATATATATATATATATATATTTATATATATATAAATATATATATATAGTTATATATATATATATATATATATATATATATATATATATATATATATATATATATATATATATATAAAACTATATATATATATATATATATATATATATAACTATATATATATATATATATATATATATATATATATATATATATATATATATATATATATATATATATATATATATATATATATATATATATATATATATATATATATATATATATATATATATATATATATATATATATATATATATATATATATATATATATATATATATATATATATATATATATATATATATATATATATATATATATATATATATATAGTTATATATATATATATATATATATATATATATAT